TGTATCATAAGGTCTGTCATTGAGTCGACTGGCGTGGTTTCGATTCCCCGGTTGTACGTGACAAGGAGTAGGGTCGCCTGTCCAACCTTGTGGGTTTTCTCTGGGTCCTCCGGTTTCCTCCCACTGCTAAAGACCCCGATGCACAAGCGAATGATTGGAATAAAATTGAACCATATGTTAGTCTCGAAATGACCTAGTTTGTGTTGAGTGGATGTTAAACCCTATTTCTCTCTCTCTCTCTCACATGTAACAAGCCTGCCTCTCTCGTTTATAGTAATTAGATCCTTCTGAAGATAGGTAGATTATATAGTTTGCTTCCTTAACCATTATATAATATGATATAACCTATGTTTGTGTAGATTTGTTGAGGAAGTATAACTTTACTGTAGGTTATATAGTATACACGTACAGACTAGAGCAGGTGCTTGTACAGTTGATCAGGAATATTATTAATTGAGGCAAGTCTTTTAACTAAATATCATCCATCGTCTCAAACATTACAAACACGACTTATTGGTCAATTTAAATTAACACTGATGTTGTGATCTTACCGTGAAAAGTTGGGCTTTTGATATCCAATATATAAGACAAAATGAAAATTTTAAAATCGGCACACGAATCACTTATTAGAATGCTGTCGAGCGCCATCTGTAATGAAGCGACTCTATGAACAAGGCTAAACATATCCCAGAGGAGAATACTACTGGTGTAGACTGGAATAACCAGATGCCAAAAACTGCCGTTCAATTTGGGCTCTTCACATATTTTGCCGAACATAACTGTTTAGAAATTAGAGTAAAAATAGAAACGATTGAATGTAAATGAGTTTATATACATTCATATTACATTATTATATGCATTCCAAGTGTTCATTTCTAAGTGCCAAAGAATAGAGAATTAACTTCTTTAATATACATGTATGACCTATAGTATATTGTTTAATATACATGTATGGACTAGAGTATATTGTTTATAGCAGGTGCTTGTAGAGGAAGAATAACATTGTAATTTGTATTACATACTTAGAGAGATGTGATTAATGCATGGTATTTGTAGGTAGATATATAGTAATGGTGTGGTATATGTGAGAGTGGGTGGGTACAACTCGTAATACACAGTGAAATATTGCAAATGGAGATTTATGATACATGAATTACATGTATATTTACTGTGTGAGTTATATGTATATTTATAGTGGTAGTTACATTTATATTTACTGTGTGAGTTATATGTATATTGAATGTGGGAGTTACATGTATATTCACTGGAATATATATGGAAATACACAGGAGACCAATGCATATTGAGTTTGATCCATGAGTATTAAATAATGTATCTTCACTGGGAGTTATATGTATATTCACTGGGGGCGATATGTATATTCACTGGGAGTTATTTCAGACTACACTCATGAAACACATGTTGGACTTTATTGAAGAATCCAGTATATAAATATATATATTCACAATGTTATTGCAGAATCCAGTATATTAATATATGTATTCAGTGTGTTATTGAGGGAGGAATCCAGTATATTAATATATGTATTCAGTGTGTTATTGAGGAATATACTGGTACTAAACACTCTGTTAAAGATGTATTGTTTAAGATTTAGATAAATGAAATGAAATGGAGTTTAACGTCCTACTGTTTTGCTCCTAAACTGGGCTAATGAGGACGGGCATACGCCATACTGTGTGCTATGAGGGAAATTTTTGCCCGGGCAGCAGCGCTACGGCCTACTCTTATATCGAATTCCAACTGCCAAGGGATCTTTTACGTGGACGCCAATTTGTACACGGGACCTCAGTTTTTCGTCCCATCCGGACGACTAGACAGCTGTCCTTGTCAGGCCCTCCATCCTGCTTCACTGACGAGGGGGAACCACGCCGGAAAATCTGGATGAACTTTCTCGCCAATGCAGGGATCGAACATCCGAACTCCAGGCTAGCGAGCCAGCATCTTACCCACTTAGCTACGTGATCCCCCCAGATTTAGATAAAGAAATGGCCGTTCTTGCTATAATAGTTCTCAAATAGATAATGAATATATTGAAAATATCATTCAAATTACTTTATTCTGTGCGAAGTTATTACTGTTTGTAGTTTTGAGACGATGTGGCATATTTTTTATTATTGTAACCACGATACTGGTTATTTGAGACCTAGCCCCAATTTCACCATTTTAAAATTAAATCATTAATCCTTTTAAATCTCCGCCATCCGATGCTCTAGAGAGTTGATTATAGGCTTGTCTAATTAATAAATAATATGACATTTGAAGCCAAAAGGATGATTTAGCTGTGTTATTGGGGAATGTATGTATACTCATTGTTTGTAAAATGAAATGGTGTTTAACTTCCTACTGTTCTGCTCCTACTGGGCTAATAAAATCTACGTCCTACTCTTATTTCACTCTACACGAGCAGTATTCTCCTGTTGGATGCCTGGAGGTCGGGTGTTCGATCCCTGCATTGGCCGAGAAAGTTCATCCAGATTTTCCGGCGTGATTCTCCCTTGTCAGTGATGCAGGACGGAGGGGCTGACAAGGAAAGCTGTCTAGTCAGTGATGCAGGACGGAGGGCTGACAAGGAAAGCTGTCTAGTCGTTCGGATGGGACAAAAAACCGAGGTCCCGTGTACACATTGGCGTGCACGTAAAAGATCCCTTGGCAGTTGGAATTCGATATAACAGTAGGCCGTAGTGCCGCTGTCCGGGCAAAATTTCCCTCATAGCACACTGTATGGCGTATGCCCGTCCTCATTAGCCCAGGTTAGGAGCAGAACAGTAGGACGTTAAACTCCATTTTATTTCATTTCATTTCCTGTTGGATGTTCCAACCTCATGGGTTTTCTCCGGGTCCTCCGGTTTCCTCCCACTGCTAAAAACCCCTACACGCAAGTGAATTATTGAAATAAAATTAAACCATATGTTAGTCCCGAAATGACCTAGTTTTTGTCGAGTGGACGTTAAACCCCATTTCTCTCTCTCTCCCTGTTGGATGTGTTCATCAAGTCGCTTCATTACAAATGGCGCTCGAAATTATTCTGGCATACAAATAAAGTGTCAAGTTTAAAATGTTTGTTTTGTCTTAGGTGACCTATTTTGGGGTAATTTTATGCCTTTGATGTATAATTGTAGAGGGCAATAAATATCCTGTATCAGAATATGTATGTCAAGTCATTGTCTCGTGACAAATTGATATCCTCATCTTCCTTCCTAATACACCTCTTTATGGCTCATGTCTCATATCAACGACAAAATTTCCTTCATAGCGCACTGTATGGTGTATGTCCGTCTATTTTAGTCCAGTCATTGCAGAACAGTAGGACGTTAAACCCCATTTCATTTCATTTCATTTATTGTAAAATTTAGGATATTAGAACTCCATGTATTCGTTTTTGAAATACAAACCACTTCCTGATTTTCTTAATGTATTTGAATTGTCAGTTAGACGTATAGGAAGAGTTTTGTCTGCAGCATCTTCCTAATTAGTTGTCGTTAACACACCCTGATCAATTAGATTAATTATCACTTTCTTTGAATAACAGAAATAACTTGAAGATGTCTCATGTCTCTAAAACAAAAAGTTTTCCGTGATATAGACACAGGTTACAATTCTATGGAAGGCAATTACTGTTTATTACTGAGCGATGTTTCACCTAGTCTTCTCTAGTCATTATCAAACAATGATTAAATATAACGAGACGATATATACATGTACACAACAATACTTGGTTAGTAATGTTGACTTATTGTAGTGATAATGACACAGGTCACAATTCTGTGGAAGTTTACTAAATATTTTATAGGTGTTAATTTTAATAATATTCACATCTTATAACATGACATTTCAACTAGACTTCTCTATTTCATGTTAATAACTAAACAATTTGTCAGTGATCGTGAAGATCTAGACTCGACAAAACACAATATTGCTGCAGCAGTAGTAATAACTGGACTGGTTGTTTAAATAGGCCTACATTATGTAAATCTGCCTATTGCAGGTCTTTCTTTAGGCCTTAATTGTTATGTACATTATAATCAACTCTATGCCATCGGATGGGTCGGATTTTAAGTACATTAGAGCGTTTCTGCCATTTAATGATTTATTTTAAATATGGAGAAGCTAGGCTAAGGCTTGAATGACCAGTTCGGTGGCTACATTCAATGCACACATCTTTCCGAAACTGCAACCATTGATAAATTGGCTGAGAATAAAGTATTTATATCACAGTCAAATCTTCCCTATTTTTATTGAATTAGTGAAAATTGAGTGAATTCCTTTAAAGAGATGGTATAAGGTATCACAAGACACAAATTAAAGATAACCGTACCAGTTATTTTCTATGATCTATAATCCAAGCTATCACCTCTGACTATAATCTGCAAATAGCAAGAAGTGTCATGTACAAGGCAGGTTATGCCTACTCTTTCTGAAACACTTTGAGGGGGGTTGGGTGGTCGAATGGTTTAACGCAGTCCTGTTAGATCATAAGGTCTGTTTGAGTTAAGTTTCACGGTTTTGATTCCCTGCTCATACATCACAATCAACAGGTTTCCCCTTGTCAGTGGCGCAGGAAGGAGGGCCTGACAAGGACAGCTGCCTAGTTGTTTGGACGGGACGAAAACCTGAGGTCCTGTGTATACATTGGCGTGCACGTAAAAGATCCCTTGGCAGTTGGAATTCGATGTAAGAGTAGGCGATAGTGCCGCTGACTGGGCAAAATTTCCCTCAAAGTCTGGCCTGCCTTCATTAGCCCAGTTGGAGTCCAACACCTCGTTGGAAGCGGACGTAAAATACAACTAACTCATCATCATCAGAACACTAGGATGTTAAACCCAATTTCATATGTGACAAGGAGTAGGGTAGTCTGTCCAACCTTCATGGGTTTTCTCCGGGTCCTACAAATTTCTACCATATTAAACCCCATTTCTCTTTTCTCTCTCTCCCTTCCAGTTCCGTAGTTAACACACTTGACTAATAAAAACTGGTCTTCTCGACTCTTTCCTGGATTCCGATCCACAACACACGTACATATGACTAACAGGAAATGTCCTTTATTACAGTGATATAGATATATCTTTTGACATGGTTTTATCTTAAAATAATGATAAAGATAGTCGAGTTTATGTTTTATATGAGAACTAGGAAGTAAATTATCGCGGAGAGGCCATTTTGTGTTTATGTATTGTGAATATGTGAAACCTGATTTCTTTTTTAAACACTCGTAAGGTGAAGTATATAGAACAACCATTAAGCTGCACTACTTTCTTCCACAGTGAACTATAAAAGATAAAAGGTATGCTGACACAAACTGATTTCAACACTGGTTTAATAGCATTTTAAAGTACTTTTCACCCGTCTTGGGACTATTCATAAATAATGTCATTGTATAAAGATGGACAGTATAGTATATTTATATCTATATATATATATGTCACTTTTGTTTGCGTTAATACAGATATGGATCAGTGCATACATGTACGTAAAGCAGCAATCATAATGTTGATTTAAAAATACATTATGTAAGATTGAGATACAGGGTTGGCTGTTCTTGCTATAATAGTGCAAAAATACATAAGAAATGAATATATTGAAAATATCATTCAGATTACTTTATTCTGGGCAAAGGTATCAGTGTTTGAATTTTTGACAAGACTTAGATAGTCTCAATTGTTAAAACATACATTATGCAAGAGCTAAATCTGTCTTATTGCACATCTTTCTTTAGGCCTTATATGTGATATAAATTATTAATCAGACATTAATTGTCTGCGATATCACCTCGGTGGAAGCGGACGTAAAATACAAGTAACTCATCATCATCATTAATTAACTTATCCAGGCCATAATCAACTCTAGATGCCATTGGATGGCTCCAATATGTAGTAGATTTGAATACGTTTTGTGGTTGATGAAATAACCGTAAAAATGTTGTTTATTGTAACAACGTAGTAATGGCAATCGAGGCTAGACAAAAATTGTATCACTAGTAGGATGGATCAGAGTGAAGTAATTTGCCAAAGGGAGATTATCCATTGTTGATATGTTTTGATTTTTTCCACATTTTCCAGTCATCGTTTTTTAAGGCGAGCGATCGCTCTCAAGCGCCTGCCACACACCCGAATGTCGACCGAGGGGAGCCTTTTTGCCCTCTCCTTAAAATTGAAAATCGCGCACCTTTATAAAGTCATTGGGGGTTTATTGTTATTTATGAATCCAGGAATGACCCTCTAACATGCAGTTTTTAATCTTCAGAACCATTTCTCATACACAAAACTAATCACTCTCCTTAATATCAGATCCCTCTCCTTAATTTCTAAATCACTCTTCTTATCGAAACTGGGAGAACTTTTTTACGGGAGTTATTTTTTCAATTTATTGATTATGGGGATCTTTTTTCGGCTCTCCTCTAAAATACAAACAACAACGACTGATTTTCGTATGGAATAAGACTCAAGAAGAAAAAAAATGTACATTTTACATATTGAGTATAATGTTTTTTCATTATCTATTTTGAAACTATTACAGTGTGTAATAAAGACCAAAACATAATATGGAACACAATTTACTATTTTAATTAAAGTGACGTTGCTTTGAGGGTTCTTAACGTTTTCAAGCAAATGATGATGAATATAATATATAAAATAGTAGTTGTGTTTCATGATTATGGTTTTGTGTTTATTATTACGTCAATTGCTAAATGCCGCTCAAAGAAGATATTACAGTGAGAATTGTCAGCTCTTTATCTAAATCTTACATAATACAATAAATACTGTCATTCAGAGATTTATATTGTATGAAATATCAAACTCTGCTGATGTCATCCAGTCTGTGTACATTGTGTTTTCCTTGCATTATTATCCTTCTAGTCACCTCTTTTATACACAATCAAGTTGTAAACTCATTGTAAATTAAATTATGTTATAAATATCATTGAGAAAATACCATAAAATATATATAGTCATATTTCAGTATAATTATTTTTTAAAGTTTACTATGGCCCCCACCAGGTATATATTTTAGTATAATTTTTATTAAAGTTTACTATCAGACCCCCACCAGATATATATTTTCATTGTCGATGGTGGTTTATAGCCCATTCAAACGCTTAAGTTGAACTGGTTTAAAAAACCCGGGGATCGTTAAACCAATTTACCTTTGTCGTCTAAACTCAAATGTAGGGCAAAAAAAACAGTTTAAAAACCCCAGCTCACGACCTGTCTTCGAAACAGCTTTTTATTTTAAACTGGTTCATCTTGGCTGTCCGAACGCATTGGCTTAAAAAAACCCTGGGAAAATGGCGACGCCATGCAGTGCCAGTGTTACCGAAAGCGTGCAAGAACTGACTAAAGAGAGAGAGAAATGGAGTTTAACGTCCACTAGGTCATTTCGGGACTAACATATGGTTTAATTTTATTTCAATAATTCGCTTGCGCGTAGGGGTCTTTAGCAGTGGGAGGAAACCGGAGGACCCGGAGAAAACCCACGAGGTTGGACAGGCGACCCTACTCCTTGCCACGTACAACCGGAGATTTGAAACCACGCCAGTCGACTCAATGACAGACTTTATGATACAGCGCGCGCACGCTAACCATTCAGCCATCCAACCCCCCAACTGAATAAAGAATATGAAGCTACCCATGCGTTGTCAAGTATTACCTGCAACTGAAGAGGTCAGAGTAGTTAAACTCGGCACGTGTGAACGCAACACAATGCTGTCTTAAAACCCCTGGTAATTTTGAACTGGTTTAAAAATAAGCGTCTGAAAGGTGTATTAGACAAGAAACGGAGGTGTTTTCAGTAGAGGGATTTTGGGGTGGGTGCATCGCTCAAACATATAATCAATGGTTCGTCTTATACTTTCATTCCCTTAGTTGAAATGAAATAGGGTTTGATGTCCTGCTGTTCTGCTCCAGTCTGATAAAAATGCTGATCTATATTTTATTTCATTTTTTTATACTTTCGATGGCTTCCACTACTCAACGTATCATAGTGTTTCATTGGCTAATCCCTCATATCATCCAGAACGCAAGTTATATAACAACTCTCCCAGATCCTAGTGTAGTAAAGACAAGTAAAACAAAATTTTGAACTATAAAAAACGAAACGAAATAGGGTCTGTGTTTTAATTAGATTGGTTCTGCTCCCACTTGAAGCCCACTGGGAGCCCACTGGGAGCCCACTGGGGGCCCTCAGTTGAGCCTTGAGGCACAGTGTTTATGTCGATTCAATTGATTCAATAGAATGTGTTGGATGCTTTTCAGATATCTAGAAATTGAACATTTAATTGATTTCACTAAATTAATATTAGTAAATATTTAATTGGAGACAAAAATTAGAACAAAGTTCCATTAGTATTACTTGACATATCATAATGCTAAAAGGGGTTTGGGTCGCCGAATGGTTAGCACGTACTCGTTGTATCATAAGGTCTGTCATTGAGTCAACTGGCGTGGTTTCGATTTCCCGGTTGTACGTGACAAGGAGTAGGGTCGTCTGTCCAACCTTGTGAGTTTTCTCCAGGTTCCCTGGTTTCCTCCCACTGCTAAAGACCCCAACGCACAAGAGAATTATTGAAATAAAATTGAACCATATGTTAGTCCCGAAATGACCTAGTTTGTGTCAAGTGGACCTTAAACCCCATCTCTCTCTCTCTCTCTCTCTCTCCCTCTCTCTCTCTCTCTCTCTCTCTCTCTCTCTCATGCTAAAAAATATGTTCAGATTGACTTGAAAATCTATTTGAATTGTTTAAGGGACTACCAGTTTGGTCAGATAAATACATCTGTACTATTCAGTATGTACTTACGAAGATAAAAGTACGCAGTATATGTTCAACGGGCAAATATTCTGATTTCTCAGAAGAAAAAACAAACTTCCTTCCTCTCTTAGTAGCCGTTTTCCATCTCCCGGGTTCTACGATAAAATATTAGTTGTCAACATTTCAGTCTCTACTAAAGAAATTTGTTCTTTAGAATACAAAACTAGCCAGCGTGTTTTCATTTGGCAAATATACTGACTTCTAAATAAAAAAATAAAAAAAAACCTTCCCCGCTTTGAAAAACCTGAGGTCTTTTGACGTGAATTCCTACTGTCAAAGATTCTTTTATGAAAAAACAAGATCTTGTGTACAACTTGGCATGAATATAAAAGATCCCTTGGCAGTTGGAATTCTAGGAGAGAGAGAGAAATGGGATTTAACATCCACTCGACACAAACTAGGTGATTTTGGTACTAACATATGCTTCCATTTTATTTCAATAAATCTTTGCTTAAAAATTCATAAAAATCGTTTAAGATCACCAAAAAATCATCTAATTTGTACTTGTGTCCAGTTTAAAGCTGACTGATTAATTTTGATAATAGGTGTCCAATTTACAAGTGTTTAACTTCTCGATCAATTAAACAACTCAATTAATGATTGATGTATAATGAGGGGATCACGTGGCTAAGTGGGTAAGACGCTAGTTCGCAACCATGGTGGTCGGGTGTTCGATCCCTGCATTGGCCGAGAAAGTTCATCCAGATTTTCCGGCGTGGTTCTCCCTTGTCAGTGATGCAGGACGGAGGGGCTGACAAGGAAAGCTGTCTAGTCGTTCGGATGGGACGAAAAACCAATTTCCCGTGTACACATTGGCGTGCATGTAAAAGATCCCTTGGCAGTTGGAATTCGATATAAGAGTAGGCCGTAGTGCCGCTGTCCGGGCAAAATTTCCCTCATAGCACACTGTATGGCGTATGCCCGTCTTCATTAGCCCAGGTTAGGAGCAGAAAAGTAGGACGTTAAACTCCATTTCATTTCATTTCATTTATTGATGTATAATGATTAATTTTTTAACAGTGGTCCGGAAGTTAAATATTGTAAATTGGACATTCATTATCAAAATTAATCAGTTAGCTTTAAACTGAACACAAGTACAAATTAGATGTTTTTTGGTGATTTTAAACGATTTTTATGAATTTTTAAGCAAAAATTTGATATTAAAGTAGCTAAGTCTCTAACTCAATATCATCCAAAGTCTTACACGTTGAAAATACGAATTATTTGTCAATTCAAATCAACATTGATGTTGTGATCTTACCAGGAAAAGGCAGGCTTCTGATATCCAATATTTAAGACAAAATAAACATTTTACCATTGGTACACGAATCGTGTACCATAGTGCGTTTTAGTGTCATTTGCAACAAGTGACAAAAAGAACGAGGCTAGACATATTCAACTGGAGAGCCTGCTTAATAGACTGGAATAACCAGACGCTAGAAATTGCTATAGGGTTGAGACACATGCTGTATTTCGCTGGACATAACTGATTTGAAATTAGAGTCAAAAAGGAAACAATTGAATGTAAATCAGTTTATATACAATCAGATTACATTATTATATGCGTTGCGATCCATTTGGGTCAATTTCTAGGTCCTAAATATTTGCGATTTAGCTCCTTTGAAGATACATTATGTAAGATTTAGATAAAGACCTGACCATTCTTGCTATAATAGTTCGAAAAAAGATAATGTAAAATGAATAATTTGAAAATTTCATTCAAATTGCGTGCGAGCGAAGATATTAGCCTTTGAAGGTTTGACAAGAAGTGTGCAATAATTTCACCCACCGTACTGGTTTTTCGAAGCTAAGTCTCGCTCCTCCATTTTTAGCTTAAATCAAAATATGGCTGAACTGTTCTAATCTATTTAATATCAGAGAAATCCGATGCCATTGAGAGTTGATTATGGCGTGGATAAGTTAATTAATGTCTAATTAATATTTAGAAAACCTTCCAGGCCTAAAGAAAGATCTGCAATAGGCAGATTTAGCTCTTGTATGATGTATGTTTAAATGAATGTGAAAGCAAATACCTGGGTTACAATGTTATCTACGATTTTATCTACTAAATTTACGAGAAAATGGTTCGTGTCAATAAAAATAGGGCCGTCTGTGTCTCATTGGTCCGTCTTCATTAGCCCAGACGGAGCAGAACAGTAGGATGACCGGATGTTAAACATCATTTCATTTCCTCTGTATTCAGTTGTTAGCCCTGTCAGAACAGTAGAACATTAAATTCATAGGTATTCAGTTGTTAGCCCTGTCGGAACAGTAGAATGTTAAACACCATTTGATAGGTAATCACCTGTTAATGCAATCTATGTAGACTATCTCACTTGTCTTAAGATGTGAACGGTGCAACAGCTAAAACAAATAACCAACATAAAAAACACAATTGGTTTGTTAGTTGGATTGGGGATTTCCTTTGTACGTTGTTTATTTACAAGCACATGCACGTCAATATTTACCTGGAACAAGAGAAAGAAGGTCCATTAAAACAATGACCATGTTAAAATAAGGTCTAGAGTTGTTGATATTACTAATAGGATGTTTAATTGTTATACCTGTGAGAGAGAGAGGGAGAGGGTTTAAGGACCACGAGAAAACCCACCAGGTTGGACTGTCAAACCTACTCTTTGACCTTACTCTTTGTCACAACAACCAGGGAATAGAAATCAAGCCAGGTGAGAGACAGAGAGAAATGGGGTTTAACACTACTTGACACAAACTAGGTCATTTCGGGACTAACATACAGTTCAGTTTTATTTAAGTAATTCTCTTGCACGTAGGGGTCTTTAGCAGAGGGAGGAAACTGAAGGACCCAGAGAAAACCCACCAAGCTGGATTGTCGACCCTACTTTTTGTCACATAAAAACAGGGAATAGAAATCAGGCCAGTTGAGAGAGAAAGAGAAATGGGGTTTATCATCTACTGGACACAAACTAGGTCATTTCGGGACTAACATATGGTTCAATATTATTTCAATAATTTGCTTGCGCGTAGGTTTTTTTTTTAACAGTGGGAGGAAACTGGAGGACCTGGAGAAAACCCATGACGTTGGACAGTGATCTTGTATGTCTGATATCTTAGGTAGGCACTCCTAGGACTAGTTCTTAATGGAGGGCTAAATTTGGGGTATTTGTGTTGGGTCCAGTTCACTCCACATTTAATTGCCTGGTATGCTAATCTAAATAACATGTCCGACTTGAGTAACATTCTTAGGGCGAACTATACTTAAACATTAAAACGTATATTTCCTTGGTGGTAAAAACCGTCAATAATGATTATACGTTTATTTATAGAGTGCTTAATCCACAAAACATGCTCATGGTGCATAATACACTAGTGTCTAAAAATATACACAAACAGATACGTTTAAAATTGAATTGAGTGTGGAGGTTTCAAGGTCTTTTTTTCCACTTTGAAAGACAGACCACCACACGATTAAGTCTGTAGAGGTTTTAAGGTAGTTTATACCACTATGAAAGACCGACCACCAACAGGATTGAGTAACTGTGATGAATTACAAATGGTGTGAACTTGCCGTAAAGTTGATATAGTAACCATGGGCTATACATACATGTAATTTAGATTTTTGATCTTAAGTGGTCTTTAAAAAAAAGTTACGATAATAATTAGGTTGTCTGATGTATTAATTGGTCAAATTTGAATCTTTGATTTGATTTTTCCTGGTTATTAGACTCATTACAAAAAAAAATACTTTTGATTTTCTGTTGAAATCGTAATATATCTATTTCGACAATAGGTATCATATTTTCAGCTATGTTTCTTTATTGGCTATACATGTATCTTTCTGTGTTGTCTATATAATAAGTGTATATTAGATAGATAATTCCTGGATTTAAATAAAATATATTTCAAACCATTACAGATGTTTAAAGATGGCGATGGGAAGTATATAATCTACCATGACCTAAATTTTGAATGGTCATGCCCATTCACATTAGAATGGTCTGATTTGGGTAAGAATACACTTGATTGTGTATTGAACTCTTTGATTTTGTATTGAACTCTTTGATTGATTGTGTATCATGCTGTATATCTGATATAATATTGAACTCTTTGATTGATTGTGAATCGTGCTGTATATCTGATATAGTATTGAACTCTTTGATTGATTGTGTATCGTGCTATATATCCGATATAGTATTGAACTCTTTGATTGATTGTGTATTGAACTCTTTGTTTTAATTGTTTATTGTTATATATAGTTGATATGGTATTTGATTGTGTATGGTTTAAACTCTATATTTGATTGTTTATGGTCTGCAACTTTGTAGTTATTGTATATGGTATTGAACTCTATATAGGGCTGTACGGTATTCAACTCTATAGATCATTGTGTATTTGATTGTGCTTGATCTGAACACTTGTTTTTAATTGTGTATGATCTGAACACTTGTTTTTAATGTGTATGATCTGAACACTTGTTTTTAATTGTGTTTGATTTTAAACTGTGCTTGATTGTGTTTTGTGTTAAACTGTGTATTTCATTGTGTATGATGTTAAAATGTGTATTTGATTGTGTTTTGTGTTAAACTGTGTATTTAATTATGCATGATTTTAAACTGTGCTGGATTGTGATTTGTGTTAAACTGTGCTTGATTGTGATTTGTGTTAAACTGTGTATTTGGTTGTGTTTTGTGTTAAACTGTGTATTTAATTATGCATGATTTTAAACTGTGCTTGATTGTTTTTTGTGTTAAACTGTGCTTGATTGTGATTTGTGTTAAACTGTGTATTTGGTTGTGCGTGATCTTAAACTATGTATTTGTGTATATGGTGCTAAAGTTTAAACTCTGTATTGACTGTGTGTTAAAGTATCTTAGACCATGTATAGCATTATGTGTATGATATTATATATTATAGTTTATGTTATTGTGTACGTGTATCATTTGTTAATACCTGTTCGGCTATATATATATGTATGTTTTAGATTAAATTATCCATGTTATCTGTACATGTCTCGCCCGGCTGACTGTCAATCATGTTGGGACAAAAGAAGAATGAATTATTTCTGTATTATATACTAAATGTATCTAATATCAAATCCATCTAATATCATATTACATTCGCTATCTATTATCTATTTTTCATCCTCGTCTATTAATAAGATCCACACTCTGTACTTACATCATAAATACTTGTTGCATGGCCAGAGAAATTTTACTTTCCATAGATTCAAAGCGTCCAGGTAACATTTGCAGTTTACGGAAAATACTTGGAAATTAAGTTTTTATACACCCACATTTTCATGCATTATATCGTCGCCCCTGTTCGTACAGACAATATAGAGGTGACCATTTTTATCCTAGTTTGACGAAACTTGATATCTATGTTTATATCCCAAAGATTCTCGTTCCTATTGATATTGGCGTGGATTAAACTCAGTTTTCCCTCATTTCTCTGTCTTGCATCTAAATAAAATCTATTTAAGTCACCATCATCTAACCCATTCATTTTACACCATGGGTCCCCCCTTGTCAGTGGTGCAGGGCAGAGGGTCTGACAAGGGATAATGTCTAGTCGTTCGGATGGCACGTAAAACCTATGTCCCGTGAACACATTGGCGTGCATGTAAAAGATCCCTTGACAGTTGGAATTTGATTTAAGAGTAGGCGGTAGCACCACTGACCAGGAAAAATTCTCTCATAGAACACTGCATGACATCCCTCATCATAGCACACTGTATGTCATTAGCCCAGTAGGACTTTAAACCCCAGTTTCATTTCTATCGTTTCTTTATTCTTTTAGCTGATGTGATCTTGTAGAGAATATAGGGATGGGAATAATATGCTGTAAAAAGGGGCCAGTTACCCCAAGTCCCCGTAAACCCCTCCGTTCCCTCCCTTCAGCTGTAGAACTCAATGGAGGGGGAGGTCAGTTATCTCCACCTCGTCCTCTACCTGTTAACGACGTACAGGTACATGTACAAGCGATCACCATAGGTATGTTATAATTTCTAATAACCCCTCGCTTTTTTTTTTGATAACCTTCTTTTATCATTACAGCTTCTTTAACATGGGTAACGAGTGCTGTAAGTTTGGTCACAGGCCAGGTAAATCAGCCACACTGCCATCTGTGGGGGTTTTAAACGGTGGGGCTGGGTCCCCGTCACCCACCTCACCCAATGATGTCTCAATCGCTATGACAGCCTTGCGACCCTTACCCCCTCCACCACCTGAAACAGGTTTGTATAAATTAATTGTTAATAAATATAATCAAGACTATGTTGTCATGGTTACATGACTGGTAACGTACAGGGAGGTTGACTGAGAGAATTTAATTTCAGAGCTTGAATGAATACCCTGCATTGTCATCACTGCCACTGCCATTGTCAGATGAACTGTGCTCAAGAATTATGATATTGATATGTTAGAAATTATCTGCCTTATCAATAACCTTGCTACTGCTAATTAATCATTGAAATTTATTTGCCTCCTATTTTTAATTTCAATCTCGTTTCCCCATCTTCCAAGTAGCTTAATAACACAATATGATAAACGATTTATTATTTTTGACCAACACCACCCCCCCGCTTTCCCCACCACCACATTTTACATTTTAAATTTAAATTTAAAAAAATAACAAATCTTTTTTTTTTTGCAGAATTTTTTATTTCATTTAAATTTTGTTATACATGATAATAAAAGTGGTAATATTACGTTTCAGTGGGAAGTCCATTTTTTTAGAAAATGAAGTTTTATATTACTGGCTGGGGGGAGGAGGGGAGGGGGGAGCATGCTCATATTATTATGGGATACATTTTCAAAACAAGACATGGCAGAATTTTAAAGATGCTTTATTTAAGAGTTAAATCGACTTATCTGGTGAGCATGTGCAATAAATACCATCGGTGTAGACTGGAAAAACCAGACGCTAAAGATTGCCATTCACATGAGACTTCTGGGATATTTCGCTGAACATAACTGATTTGAAATTAGAGTAAAAACAGAAACGATTGAATGTAAATCAGTTTATCTACATTCATATTACAGTATTATATGCGTTGCTACCCATTTGTGTCAATTTCTAGGTGCCAAAGAATAGAGACTTAGCTCCTTTAAACTGAGAACTATAGAGTGGGATAAACCTGCCATTGTTATTACAATATTTTAATTACGATATTAACAAAATAAATCAATTGAATTTATTGTGAAGCGTTATATGAGTTTATTTTATTTCCTGGTTGAAATTTGATATTATAATATTTAGTTACGTTATTGAATAGAGTTAGATTATATTGAGGAAAAATTGATTTTGACTATTATTAAATAAACGTACAAATTGCCTAATATAGATGCTGATATAAACCACAATACCATGAAATACCATTAAATTTAAAAATTTAAATAAATAAATTTGATAAATTAAAGACACATAATGTGAGATTTAGATAAAGACCTGACTGTTCTTGCTATAATAATTCAAAAAAACATAATGAAAAATAAAAAAATTATAAGTTTTATTCAAATTACTTTATTCTGAATGAAGTTGTGACTGTTTGAAGATATAGTGTAGTTGATTCATTATCATAGCAATGGATGTTTTAATCCATTTAAATCTCAGCCATTCGATAATCTACAAGATTGATTATAGTCTTGCTATGTTCAGAAATTTCAATATGATAATTTATATAACATTTGAAGCTGTAAGAAAGACGCGATAAAACTGACGGCAACTAACGGCAACTGACAGCTTATGTCGTACGACTGAATTTATTCACGACTTGACGCAACCACGAGCAACCAGTTGATAATAGTCGTAAGCGCGCTCATGTCACCTGGCGTCAGTTCAAGAATCGGGGCTACAACTGATCACTTGACCGACACATGATAACCTTCAAAATGGCCTTATTCCACTTGTCACCCACGGTTGTTACCGTCTCCCTGGATACCATGTGACTAAATAACTGAATCTTATTGGCTACGTCAGCGAAGCGCCGACTTAAGCCAGTCGTAGGCGCGCTCATGTCGCTTGCGACTAGGGACAACTAGTTGTCTCCAGTTGTAGGAGTAGAACATGTGTGACTCAGAGAAACTGGAGACGACTGGACGGCGACTGGTTGCCGTCCGACTTACACCAGTCATAACTTAAGAGCGCTCAGCTCGCCCAGGTAGTCACGACTGATCAGTTCCAGTTGATCGTAAACCAGTCGCTGATTTCGAGTCTCTGTAGGTGTTATCGCGTCGTAGGGCGACATAAGCTAGGCTTAAGGTACCCATCATGTTCTTCTTGGGGGCGATGCTTGTCGAAAAAAGCCTAAGGCTCTGCAAATTTAAGTATTATCGACATGAAACTTGGCATGTTTGTTCTTTCAAAATTACGTATCAAAATTCCAATATGGTGGTGATGATGTCATCTTCGTTTCTTGGTCCAAACATGTTGAGTTCTATCATACTAGTTTTGAACTTTAAAAATACTAGGAATAATCGAATAAATAAATGTATAAATTGACGTAGATGCCCATATATTGTAATGTATAAATTGACTATTGTAGATGCCTATATTGTACGTGTTATGTCCATATTGGACAAGCTATGTACTATGCCTATAATGTACGTGCTATGAATTTATAAATTGAATTTTGTAGATGTCTATATTGTACATGCTATGTCCATAATGGACAAGCTATATTGTACGTGCTATGAATGTATAAATTGACTGTTTTAGATGCCTATATTGTACGTGCTATGTATGACTTTGAGGGAATGAATGAAGATGATTTACCATTTAAAAAAGGTGACAGACTAGAGATTGATGAAACAAGGTAGGTCGGGATTATCTTCTATTTAAATTTTTAAAGAATTCACAGTAATTGGTGAAACATGAAAGTGTCATTTGGATTGATTTTAATATGATTATTTTTGTTTGGATCATTTGAATTGTTTTTGTGAAGACTAAGTTTAAAGGTGTGTGCTCTAATATTCTCTTGTGTCTATATCGGGGGGGGGGGGGGATCACGGTGGCTAAGTGGGCAAGACGCTGGCTCGCTAGCCTGGAGGTCGGGTGTTCGATCCCTGCATTGGCCGAGAAAGTTCATCCAGATTTTCCGGCGTGGTTCTCCCTTGTCAGTGATGCAGCAAGGAGGGGCTGACAAGGAAAGCTGTCTAGTCGTTCGGATGGGACGAAAAACCGAGGTCCCGTGTACATATTGGTGTGCACGTAAAAGATCCCTTGGCAGTTGGAGTTCGATATAAGAGTAGGCCGTAGTGCCGCTGTCCGGGCAAAATTTCCCTCATAGCACACTGTATGGCGTATGCCCGTCTTCATTAGCCCAGGTTAGGAGCAGAATAGTAGGACGTTAAACTCCATTTCATTTCATTTCTATATCGGGGGAGGTGGGGAATGGTTAACATGTGCGTGTTGCATCATAAGGTCTGTCGTTGAGTCAACTGGCATGGTTTCGATTCCCCGGTTGTACGTGACAAGGAGTAGGGTCGCCTGTCCAACCTCGTGGGTTTTCTCCAGGCCCTTCAGTTTCCTCCCACAGCTAAAGACCACTACGTGCAAGCATATTATGGAAATAAAATTGTACCATATGTTAGTCCCAAAATGACCTAGTTACTCTCTCTCTCTCTCTCTAATAAACAGAATGATTTTGATTTGTGCTAGGGAGCCACTGTGACTCGGTGAGTAACCTCTGGCAAACTAACAAGGGGGTTTCGAGAAAGGTCATCAGGATTTTCTGGCGTGGTTGCTCCTTGTCAGTGGCGCAAGACAGAGGGCCTGGCAAGGGAACATGTATAGTAGTTTAGATCAGACAAAAAAACGAGGTCCTGTGTACACATTGGCATGCAGGCTAAAGATCCCTTGACAATTGGAATTCAGTATAAGTGTAGGCCACTGTGCAGGCAAAATTTCCCTCATAGCACACTATATGACGTACGCTCGTCTTCATTAGCCCAGTCGGAGCAGAACAGTAGGACAAAAGATGTTGGCTGAGAAAGCTCATTGAGATTTTTCACTGATTTTTCTTCTTGTCCAGAAAGAGGCTCTAGTTGTTGGGATGGGACAAAAGAGTGACATATCGACCACGCACTTTAGCAAAATGAAATGAAATGGAACACCCGACCTCCAGGCTAGCGAGCCAGCGTCTTACCCACTTAGCCATGTGATCCCCCCACTTAAGCAAAACTTTGACAGTTGCATAAAGCATTCATTGAAGAGCGGACTAAAAGCTGCTGTCCAGGTAAAATTTATCTCAAAGACTGTATGTAAAAAGCCGGTGTTCATTAGCCTAGTTGGTGTCGAAAATCAGAATTTTAAACTTTATTTGATTTATTTCAGTCAAACAGGTGATTGGTGGGTAGCAACACATTTAAGAACGAAACAGAAAGGTTATATACCCAGTAATTACGTTTGTCAAGATGATAATTCACCACAAAGTCAGGAGTAAGTAGAAATATTATTTTATTACAGCATTTCTAGCCTCTCTAACATAAATAATATAAAATTAAAGAATCCCAGCTCAACAGAATACCCAACAGATTTGTAGAAGTAGAAGATTGTTTAATGGGTCGACGTTTCGGGTGCAATACCCTTTATCAAGATAAATTATTGAAATAAAATTGAACCATATGTTAGTCTCGAAATGACCTATATCACGCAATGTCTTAAGCTCAAGACCATTAAACAAGATAAAGGGTATTGCACCCGAAACGTCGACCCATTAAACAATCTTCTACTTCTACAAATCTGTTGTGTATTCTGTTGAGCGGGGATTCTTTAATTTTATTTTACTACTCTGTCCCGCCGGTATCATCTTTTGATCCAGTCTCCACGCAGATGTATCAACCTGTCCAGCTTTAATTACTCTCTAAGGGAGTGTTGCCGTACCCTTTTCCTGTTTCCATAAATGATATAACTTTAACATGTCCCAATTAGTCGAGCGTTAAGACCACTGGATACACGATTATATCACTCAATAACACATTCTACAGTAGTGTGATAAAGTTCGTAATCTACTGAGCGATATCTCCTAAAGAGATATGGCTTTGCATGAATTTGATTGGTCAATTAAAAAAGAACTACTTTTTATATCAAAAAGAAACCACTTTTTGGATCCAGTAACATTGTTGCAGGAAAGTTCTCAATTACCATAAATGTGTTTGCTTCGTCGTGTTTTTGACCTTAATTAAAAGAAACACCAGGTCAATATTTAGGACTTTGCATTGGGAGACTTGCTGTCAAAAAATGATGTATCACTACGCCATAATGTAATCTGGTTGAGTAAAATTAAATGTATACCAAAGAATTATATTTATTTATTTGTGTGTGTAAGAAAGGATTGGGTGATAAATAAAATCAACACTCGTCGATAAAGTAAAAAAAGACTCCACTTATTCTCTATATATCAAATAGGTTTCCTCCCACTGCTAAAGATCCCTACATGCAAGCAAATTATTGAAATAAAATTGAACCATATGTTAGTCTCGAAAGGACCTAGTTTGTGTTGAGTGGACGTTAAACCCCATTTCTCTCTCCCCCTCTGTGTCTCCCAATTGAAAATTGCCAATAAAGTAAGCATGTTTTAATGAATGATGGATTCTCTCTCATTTATCCAGGAGTTTTAATTTATAAGTAATTGTAGTTTTGAAGATTGTCAAGTTAAAATGGTAAACACAGTTTCATTAAGTGTGGTTTAATTGTCGAGAGCGAGACATCAAGTAATATATTGAAACAGCACGAGGAGCGTCAGTCCCAAGCTGTTGTTTCAATATATTACGCAATATCTCAAGACCATTAAACAACTTAAAATACAGACACTTGCACATGCTTTGCAAACAAATACGTCACACAGGTCCAAAATTTCAACTAGTATAAATAATGTATAATTGCCCGTACCATAAGGCAACACAAATAAAATAACTTGTTTCTCGGGCACCGCCCGCACGCAAAATTGGTTGCGCGTGCAGTCTATTTATTAGTCTTGATGAAAAAAAATAAATAAATAACGCCCGCCCGCACATCGACAAGCAAGTCGTAAAAAAAATATCCTGCATGTACCTACATCCGCCATACATGTATATCTATTCAAATGTATTAAAACTGATTCAGATGAACATGCTGTCTTTTTTATCCGAACAATGGCGAAGTTTGGCAGATTTGCCTTTTTTATTGATATCGAAAGAACCTCCATTTTGTATCACGTGATATTAATTACCTCCCCTGATAAACTAGAATTTGATTCGTGTTAAAAGTCATTGGCGACAATATTTCAATCATTCGATCGTAATCGGCTCATTATTGTTTGGAAAATCCTATTGATAAAATAATGAACCGTAGAACAGGTTAATTAATTATAGCTAAGAATACGATACGATGACGATAGTCGTCATAATGCATACCTTAGAAACTGGGTCATTATTAGCACATTTACGGTAGTTTCGATAATCCGGAAAATAATAATTGGATTACCGATTTGATGGTTTTACTGACCAGTTGTTAGTTAGATTTAAATAGTCATTCAATATAAACACCGGATAGAACACCGGATATCCTGAGAAACACACCGAATATCCCAAGAAACAGTATTTCCGGCAATCTCCAATACCGATGACACGGTGTGACATGCATTGGTTGGAATTCGGTAAATAATTATAAATAAACCGGCGATACTAGATTTAGTTTTAAATACTGTTTACCATGATTATTATTTTTGATACACCTGGTGAAAGAGGCTTAGTTTTTAAAAATATTGTTGTCTTTATGGAGGGCTATTACATAGTCGTATGGAATTTTATTTTAAACCAATTTCAATTATGTGAATTAAATATGGAAAATTATTTTCCTTTCAGTCAGTGTTCAGTCTCAGTGTTTTAGTAGACTTGATTTTGGGTTTATGTTTTAAGTATGTACAATAAAGTTGAATATAACGGAAAGCAAAAACGTAAACAAGTAATGACTTTCTCATTTAAAAAAAAAAAAAAGAAAGACCGCCCTCCCGCCCCAACAATTTTCAGCAATAGCCAAATTTTATTTTGCACCATCAATGAGTAAAAAAAAAAAAAGAAACCGCCCTCCCTCCCTACAGTTTCAGCTGTCAGTTGCCCGAGAAACAAGACATTTATTTTGTGTGGCCTAATGTTACATAATGTATAATGTTAATAATTGTGTATTTTAAAACTGTATAATGTTAATAATTGTGTATTTTAAAACTGTATAATGTTAATAATTGTGTATTTTAAAACTGTATAATGTTAATAATTGTGTATTTTAAAACTGTATAATGTTAATAATTGTGTATTTTAAAACTGTATAATGTTAATAATTGTGTATTTTAAAACTGTATAATGTTAATAATTGTGTCTTTTAGTTGGTTGTATGATGGATTCTCTCTATTAGCCAGGGATTTTAATTCATTATAGATGTAAAATGTTAATAATTGTGTCTTTTAGTTGGTGGTATGATTTTGATAGAAGAGAATCAGATAAGATGTTATTATTAGCTGGTAATCCAAAGGGTACATTCTTAGTCCGTGAAGCCACAGGTGAGTTATTTATACAGGTGTCACCTCCCACTCGTTTTCTAGTTAAACAGGTACTGGACTCACTAACCTAGAGGTCTGAGGTTTTTACCTGCAGGGCTGGCCACGAATAAATTGATGTTGTTTGCGTGAGCACACATTTTGTAACATTGTTTCAATATCAAATCATAAGGAAATTGCTATTCTTGGCACAGAGTTTGCAGTAAACATGTGTGAACATCGCTTTCTGTTTTTGACAGTCATAGTCATACGACTCTTCTTTAAAACCAATCTCCGTATGGATTTCTTCACCCCACGACATAAATGTGGATACATAAATGTGGATAGGGCAATCAGGTTTCCTTTGGCCATTATTACGCTATGATTGAAAATTATACGACTGCACAATAATGGAATAAAAACCGAAGTTCTGATAAAATAAGAAATACTGATAAATATAAGTTTGAAACGTGTTTATTTAGCGTGAATGCCGGATGTAAACATTCTTTACTTTAGACTCGATTATCACGCGTTTGTTACTGGTGTTCGTGGGAAAACCAGTCATGACGTCAGGTCTCAAGTGTATTTTTAGTAACATGAGTGGCGAGTAACTTCATTAGCCAATCAAATTTAAGGAGGAAATGCCGCGTGCAGCTCGGTGAATCTCAGTTTGACAGACGAATTTATGACGTTAATGACACTGTCGGGTTAGTTTCGGCAATAAACTTATCAATATTTTGATTATTTTTACAGGTTTTTCTTAAAATTTTGCGCGAGCAACGAACCGCTCGCGTAAATGTAGATTTACGCGATCACAGCGCGAGCGCGAGCAACTGCTCACATCTCGTGGCAAGCCCTGACCTGGTATTCATCCTGAGAATGGTTTCACTTGTCTGTGGAGCAGGACAGAGGACATGACAAGGAATAAAACCTAGTTGTTCTGATTGTATGAAAAACTGAGATCCTGTGTATGCTGTTATCCCTCATATCACACTGCATACAGTATGCCCATCATTATTTGACTAGGATTTTTTGTGTTTTTTTAAAATATATTTGGGGGGTTGGATGGCTGAATGGTTAGCGTGCGCGCGCTGTACCATAAAGTCTGTCATTGAGTCGACTGGCGTGGTTTCGAATCCCCGGTTGTACGTGACAAGGAGTAGGGTCGCCTGTCCAACCTCGTGGGTTTTCTCCGGGTCCTCCGGTTTCCTCCCACTGCTAAAGACCCCTATGCGCCAGCGAATTATTGAAATAAAATTAAACCATATGTTAGTCCCGAAATGACCTAGTTGTGTCGAGTGGACGTTAAACCCCATTTCTCTCTCTCTCTTAAATATATTTATTTTCCATCATTCATACATTATATACCCCGAATTATACTACACAGTAAACCCCCCAACAAACTACATGGATACTGGTATGACAAACCTTACTGACGACAGTTAACAGGGAAAAGCTCAGCTGAAAAGACCTTCAAAATTTGTTCATCTATCTTGAACTTTGTCACCTAGTATAAATTGTTCTTTTTCAAAATAGTATAATAATTCTTTTTTAAATACATTCAGAATTGGTTTATTTTCTCTAAGCCTTTGTTTATATATGTGTAACTTAGCTAAACTATATATCAAATTTGGAATTTTATTATCATCAGTATCAATGCCAAATAAACATGTTATCAAGGTGATATCAAAATCATTGTTTGGCTTTAGTTTAATCCAGGTTCCTAGTTGACTAGTTGCTGGGGAACAGTTGGACATGAAACACCCATACATTCATTCATTCATTCTCAGATTTTCATCCCAATTATTAGATTTCTTTGCTGTTCTACTTCTAAAACTAAATAATTTTTCATTCCTTGCAAGCTCTATTGTCACTGATTGTATTAAAGTTACAATACCACTCTTATTGTAACTGAATAATATGTCCCAATCTTTATTCTGGTCAACAAATTGTATTATTTTACAATATTCCAATTAATTGATGATACAAATTTCATCTTAACACACCTAATTTAAAAAAATTGGAAAAATTCAACTAAATGATTTAAAAAGCCTGACGTAAAGCTTTTCAAATGTGACTTGGATTTAAAAATATTTTTGAACCCTTTGGACAAGTAAAATAGGATTTAATGGATAATTTACACAACAGGTAGGACACTAACACATCTAGTACTTAGAATAAGGCTATTTTTTATTTTCTGGAGCTGTCAAGCCAGCAAGAGTGTTATTGTCCCTTTAAGGGAATCGGTAGGCCTATATAGAATAATTCTTAGTGTAATTATCATATCATCTTCACCAGAAGCCTTGATCTCGCTTTAACTCCGTACATCTTATCAAACCCTTCACGTAATACCTGGCATATTTCGGCACTTATTTCCACTGGCTATAGACCCAGCTGGGGAGCCTATCAGATTCCTCGATCATTGTGAATACCAAGTCTCACGCTTTCCGGCTAAAATGTCGACCTTTGGTGATCAAGTTGCAGAGTTCAAGGTTCGTTCAATGTGAAGATTTCCGCGAAGGTTGCCATGTTTGATTGAGTGTGTTTGTGTCACAGCCTCTGATTGGACGCTACTGTTCACCTATCTTCGGTAAAGGGAGATAACGTAGCTATAAGTTTGGGAACTGCAAAGCAGTGTAGTAATGTCTAGATGTTGTAAAACCCGTTGTCATTGCTTCATAAATATGGCATCACATATTATCAAGTAATTGTTGTGTAAATTAAAAACACTTATATGGATATACTACTTCTGAATTTATTAACATGCTACATTTCGATACACATACAGATATCGTTAACACAAATGTGGTGCAATATATAGATAACAATTGGAAAACCATATAACAGATTAGTAATAAATTCATAAGTAGTATATCCATATAAGTGTTTTTAATTTGTGAAATCTACCTCTATATGTCTTATAAGGAAAATGTTATTTATTTCGGATAAATCATCATATATATTATCAGATAGATGTTGTGTATTTCGGATAAATCATCATATATATTATCAGATAGATGTTGTGTATTTCGGATAAATCATCATATATATTATCAGATAGATGTTGTGTATTTCGGATAAATCATCATATATATTATCAAATAGATGTTGTGTATTTCGGATAAATCATCATATATATTATCAGATAGATGTTGTGTATTTCCGTATATAAATTTTGTGTTGTGTATTTCCAATATATAAATGTTTTTGTTTTATTTCAGATAAATCTTCGTATGTATTATCCGTACGAGACACAGAGAAGACAACAGGAGATCCTTGTGTTAAACATTACAGAATTCGCAAAATGGACAGTGGAGGATTTTTTATTAGTCCAAAACGTACTTTCAAATCTATGGTAGATTTAATCGAAAACTATAAAGGTAATTATTTTATAAATGGTTTGGGGGATTGAATGGTTAGCGTGCTCGCGCTGTATCATCAAGTCTGTCATTGAGTCGACTGGCGTGGTTTCGAATCCCCAGTTGTACGTGACAAGGATTAGGGTCGCCTGTCCGACCTTCGTGGATTTTCTCCGGGTCCTCCGGTTTCCTCCCACTGCTAAAGACCCCTACGCGCAAGCGAATTATTGAAATAAAATTAAAACCATATGTTAGTCCCGAAATGACCTAGTTTGTGTCGAGTGGACGTTAAACCCCATTTCTCTCTCTCTCTTTATAAATGGTTTAATTGAAAATAGCCGATATTGCATTTAGTGGCTATTTAATATTGAAATGGCTATATATATCTCTCTGAGTTAGGAAATATTGACTTGAATTATCTCCCTTTATGTATCAAACATGCACAACAAAATATAGACAATGTAAATAATTAAAAAAACAGCTCAATTTGATACACAATCCCAGGAAAGATATAAAACTTTAACAGAGAACAGGAAGTGTGTTGATAGAAGTAAATATTATAAATGGAACACAAGAATTTGTAAATATGTTGTTGAAATTATGTAAACCCAGCATGAACAAACACAAAATGAGAAAAACAAAGATCACATGATTCTTTTACAAAATGTCTGTCCAACCTTGTGGGTTTTTTCCAGGTTCTCTGGTTTCCTCTCATCCCTAAAGACCCTTACGCGCCAGTGACTTAATGAAATAAAATTGAACCCTTTATTGAATTGTGCTACAGAATCAGTTCCTATAGAAGTCTTTATAACAATGACAAATTATACATGTTTTTTTATTCTAGATGTATACCAAGAGCTATATGGAGATTGTTATTATTATTCTATTCATGTTTTCAGAAAACCATGATGGTCTATGTTGTCAGCTGAGTGGGGCATGTCCTAGAATTAGACCATCTGTTCAGTTCCGAGAATTAGAAGTCAATCGAGATGCCATAAAATTAATGGAGAGGCTGGGTGCTGGTTGTTTTGGGGAAGTATTTAAAGGTAATTTCATCATTAAAACTCTTTGTATTTATCAGGGTTCCCGCGGTCCTTGAAAATCCTTGAATATCCTTAAATTTAAAATTTCATTTTCAAGGTCTTGAATTTCGCGGAAATAGGAAAATATCCTTGAATTTCAGTTGAGATCCTTAATTTTGTTTCAAATGTCTTCAATTCCTTTTAAATATGAGATTATAACGATAGTTGGTAATGTTTTGGTTATTTTTAAGATGAAAAATTGTAACTTTAGGCCAAAAAATGTCCTTGAAAATCCTTGAATTTGACGTATATTTATTCTTGAATATCCTTGAAAAAATTTTGACGAAGCCGCGGGAACCCTGTTTATGTATTTATACATCCATATGTTTGGCACAATATAGCCCAGTTGGAGCTGACCTGTCATAAAACTCCATTTCATTCCTTCCTTCATTTACTCAGAATTACTATACCCGTTATATATACCTTGTAGATGCTCTACAGGTCGTAGTTTTACAGATTGTTTTGCTAGTCCTTAAGATAAGTTCTATCAAAATCCTGACCCTGCCATCAATGTTGTCAATGTTGTACATAGTTATTCCCCCTGATCAGTTCTGTCAAAATTATTAAACGTTATTGTTGTGTTTAATTATTGCCTCTAACCCACAAAACTTGAAAGCCACTCTTGGAGCTAATGGTGGTTGTATGTTCGTTGTGTGGCAACGCTATGCTTTATTTGCTGATTTGCTGTGATACTTGAGTTCTCTGAAGCTAGGCACTGCGAAAAAATCACTTAAATTGTAAATTGAATCTGGGAACCAGCATTAAGTGTCCACTACACCGTGTCTGTAATGATATGGGGGGTTGGATGGCCGAATGATTAGCATGTCTGTCATTGAGTCAACTGGCGGGGTTTCGATTCCCCGGTTGTACGTGACAAGGAGTAGGGTCGCCTGTTCAACCTTGTGGGTTTTCTCCGAGTCCTCCGGTTTCCTCCCACTGCTAAAGACCCCTACGCGCATGCAAATTATTGAAATAAAATTGAACCATATGTTAGTCCAGATTGGACGTTAAAACTTTACTCAAAATGACAAGCAAACTAACAATAAGGGAAGCACCCCATGAAAAAAAAGAGGAATATTTCCCAAACGTACTCTAAGACAAGTTATATATTTTCAGGAAAACTGCGAAATGTTGTTGATGTGGCCGTGAAAACTCTGAAAAAGGGCACCATGTCGGCTGATGCCTTTCTCACAGAAGCCAAATTGATGCATCGTTTACGTCATCGAAAATTAGTAGCATTAATGGCCGTGTGTTCACAATCCGAACCTATTTGGATCATCACAGAATTCATGGTTCATGGTTCCCTTCTAGATTATTTACGCAATGATGTGGGAAAAAATGTCCGGTTTCCAATTTTAATAGAAATGGCATCACAGGTTGGTTAATATGTTTTGTATATATTTTGATATTGAAAGCCGGGTTCTTACTTCGCATGGTGAAAGATGTATTAATCAGAGCTTGGCTGTTATCTTTTGTGGGTGGGGTGTTGATTGCCGAATGGTTAGCGCGTTGTATCATAAAGTCTGTCATTGAGTCAACTGGCATGGTTTCGATTCTCAGTTTGTACGTGACAAGGAGTATGGTCGTCTGTGAAACCTCAAGTATTTTCTCCGGGTCCTCTGGTTCCCTCCCACTGTTAAAGACCCCTCCCACTGTTAAAGACCCCTCCCACTGTTAAAGACCCCTACACTCAAGTGAATTATTGAAATAAAATTGAACCATATATTAGTCTTAAAATGACCTGGTTGGTGTCGAGTGGATGTTAAACCACATTTCTCTCATGAATAATTCCTGCTGCTGATAGAATGGAGAACAGGCTACTCTTTCAAATACATTTTACATAAAATGATCTAACTGCAGACAAGAAATTAAATGCCATTTCTTGGTGTATTATTATTATTATTATTTACAGTGCTTATATAGCGCTTATCTAAAACATTACTCTAAGTGCTTTACAATGCATAAAATCACATAAAATCCACAACAAAAAATGCATATATATATATATATAAAGTCATATATAAGAATCGTGAAAAAATAAAAATTATTCATTAAAAATAATTTAAAATTATTAAAAGATTAATAGATAAATATGATAAATAAAAATATACACAAATAGCGTTCATTTATTGACTATTTGAAAAAGCCTGTCTGAATAAGAAAGTCTTAAGGTTTTTCTTGAAAGCATTCACAGATTTAATGTTTCGTAGTGTGTTTGGTAAGTCATTCCACAAAACGGCGGCCCCTCTATCAAACCATCTCTCTCTGTATGTTATTGTTGTGACCTGTATTCTAACTATTATTGGGTGGCTAGGTGGTTAAGACGCTGGCTCGCTAGCCTGGAGGTCGGGTGTTCGATCCCTGCATTGGCCGAGAAAGTTCATCTGGATTTTCCGACGTGGTTTCCCCCTGTCAGTGGTGCAGAACGGAGGGCCTGACAAAGACAGCTGTCTAGTCCTTTGGATGAGACAAAAAACCGAGGTCCCGTGTATACATTGGAATGCACGTAAAAGATCCCTTGGCAGTTGGAATTCGATATAAGAGTAGGCGATAGTGCCGCTGCCCGGGCAAAATTTCCCTCATAGCACACTGTATGGCGTATGCCCGTGTTCATTAGCCCAGTATAGGAGCAGAACAGTAGGACGTTAAACCCCATTTCATTTCATTTCACTAACTATTATTCCAACCTTTCTATATTAGTTGTTCTATAATCTAATTATTAAACATAAATTATACACTATCCATGCCATCTTATGTGTCATGTGTTGGATTTTCACTGGATTTGAATCCGATTTGCTGCTCAACCCTCATTGATGATATAATCCAAAAATGGATAATCAAGACTATAGGAATGATAATCAAGACTAGGACTAAAATTCAAACGCTAATATCTCGGTTCAGAGTGGAGCAATTTGACTGAAATTTTCAACTTATTCCCTTTACATTATCTAGTTTTTATACACCCACATTTTCATGTGGACGTATATTGTCGTCGCCCCTGTCCGTCCTTCTGTCTGTCCATCCACAATTGTTTGTGGACACTCTACAGGTCACAAATCTTATCCGATTTTGACGAAACTTGAAATGTAAGTTTATAACGCAAAGATCTTGGTTCCTTAGCGCATAACGAATCAAAACTTCATGGATTATTGTTTGTACGAAAAATCACGTTTTTAGCTTGTGGACCCTATAGAGGTCACAATGTTTATCCGATTTTGTTGAAATCGGACCATAACTTCCTGAATTATGGCCCCTGATTGTACGAAAAATCACGTTTTTAGCTTGTGGACCCTATAGAAGTCATACTTTTTATCCCATTTAAAAAACTGTATTATTATATCACCATAACACCCTAAGGATGACTGAGTTCGAATTTCGTGAAAATCGGCCCAAAATTGACAGACAAAATGGCCGCCGTTCGTTCTCAAATAGCATAAAAATATGGTATATCAAGGTTGTGGACCCTATAGAGGTCGCAATTTTTATCCGATTTTGTTGAAACTTGAAATGTAAGTTTATAACACAAAGATCTTGGTTCCTTTCGATATTCACGCATATCGGACCGTAACTTCATGAATTATGGCCCCTTATTGTATGACAAATCGCGTTTTTAGCTTGTGGACCCTATAGAGGTCATAATTTTTATCCGATTTAAAAAAACGTATTATTATATCACCGTTACACCCGAAGGACGACTGAGTTGGAATTTCGTGAAAATCGGCCCAAAATTGACAGACAAAATGGCCGCCGTTCGTTCTCAAATAGCGTAAAAATATGATATATCAAGGTTGTGGACCCTATAGAGGTCACAATTTGAAACTTGAAATGTAAGTTTATAACACAAAGATCTCAGTTCCTTTCGATATTTGCGCATATCGAATTGTAATTTCCTGAATTATGGCCCTTGATTGTAGGAAAAATCACTTTCTTGTTAGCTTGTTCTCTATCCATCTCTCGAAAATGTTGGCGTATCCTGCCTGGCAACCGCTGGTTAACTATTATAGTGAGAACTGCCAGCGCTTTATATAATCTTCCATAATGTATCTTTAAGTAATGTAATAATCCATTGTTTGTTACAAAAATGTTCCAATTTCATGTCATTCTGGTTGTTCAACCTTAAAGACTTACATCTGTCAGGTAATAAATTTCTATCTAATGGCATTATTAGATATTTAAAAACAAAATGAAAGTAGATCTTCAAGCTTTAGTATTTATTTTAAACATTAAACTTTGTATTTACAGATTGCTGAAGGCATGGCGTATTTAGAAACAGAGAATTTTGTACATCGAGATTTACGTGCGGCAAATATTTTAGTGGGAGAACATTATGAAGTAAAAGTTGCTGATTTTGGCCTGGCTCGTATTTTACATGAGGAAGATATTTACGAAGCTACAGAAAGTAAGTTTTACCTTAAACTAAAGGGGCTGCGGTGGCTCGGTGAGCCAGACGTTGGCTCATTAACATGGAGATCCCTTGTTTAATCCTGATGTTGGCCGAGAAAGTTCCTCAGGATTTTCCTGCGTGGTTCCCCCTTGTCAGTGTTGCAGAACGGAGGATCTGGCAATTGACAACATATACTTGATTGACTTAATACACAGTGTTTAAGGTCATGAGACGAAGAAGCCTATTGATTTTCAACAATTTCCGATAATTACTGCCAGAGTTATGGCCATTGATTACTTTGAAAAATCTTGTGGACGCTCTAGATGCTAAAGTTATTTTCTGATTGACTTTAAATGTATACATAGTGTTCATGGTCATAAGACGAAGAAGCCTATTGATTTTTAACGATTTCTGATCATTACTGCCAGAGTTATGACCCTTGATCACTTTGAAAAATCTTGTGGACGCTCTAGCGGCTGAAGTTTATATCTGATTGCCTTAATACCGGAAGTATTATTGTACCTTCGTATACCAGAAGTATTAGGTTCCCCCTTGTCAGTGATGCAGGACGGATGGCCTGAAACGGACAGCTGTCTAGTTGTTCAGATGGGACGAAAAACTGAGATCCTCTGTACATATTGGTATGCACATAAAAGATCCCTTGGCAGTTGGAAGTCGATATAAGAGTAGGCCGTAGCGCCGCTGTCCGGGCAAAATTTTCCTCTTACAAGAGATTATCAAGATAATCAACATAGACTGACAGGTGTTTTATGCTCACAGATAATTGATTGGCGATTGCTTATCGGTTAACACCCACTGATTGAAGTCTGGATTATCCAGTGTTAATTGAACGCAAATCACGTGACAGGACCGCTGATTGATGTCGTAATTCCGAATATTCAGAATCTGTATTACTCAGAACTTTATTGGTTGGAGTAATAAGAAAATGACGACAGATTTCACAGAATGCTGTAGTATTCAGATGTCGGAAGTGACAGAGCCCACTGCAGTACGATTCTCCTCCACCTATTGTTTGAGAATATGACTAAAATCCTTTTTGCTTGTCTTTCAGATACCAAGTTTCCAATAAAATGGACAGCTCCAGAAGCAGCTTTAGATAGAAAGTTCAGTATAAAATCTGACGTTTGGTCGTTTGGTGTTTTGTTATATGAATTAAACACATTTGGTCGTGTGCCTTATCCTGGTAAATCATTAATAAACTTTCTTTTTAACAACAGTGGAGAGGCGAATAGTTCATGCGTTTGATCATAAGGCTTGTCAATGAGTCAAGTGGAGTGATTTCCCTTCATAATTCTACGGGACAGGGATTAGGTTCGCTTGTCCAATCTCATGGGTTTTCTCTTGGTGTTCTTGATTTCCTCCCAGAGCTAAAGACCCCCCTATAAGCAAACGAATTATTGAAATAAAAGAATCAAACCATGTTAGTCTTGAAATGACCTATGTTGTTTCGAGTGGAAGTTAAACCCCATTTTTCTCTCTATTTTAACAACAGAGGAGCTGCATAAGGTGCTCGCTCGCTAACCAGGAGGACTCGGGTTCGCTGCCGATGATTTCAAAAGGTCCGGGCAATGATTTTCCTTGTCAGTGGTGCAGTCGTGCAGGACGGAGGGCCTCGCACATTATCAGTTCAAGTAACAGCACCTTGTCGTCGTCCAGTTTTTACGAATAGCCAAGGTCGTGTGTGCACTTACAAAAAAAACCTTGACAGTTGGAATTCAAAATATGAGTAGGCTGTAGCCCATAAAATTATTTTTTGCAGGTATGTCTGGATCGGAAGTGCTGAGTCGATTAGGTAAAGGGTACAGAATGCCGAGACCAAGCGGTCCAGTCGGTTGTACAGATGCTTATTATGAAATTATGAAGAAATGTTGGAACAAGAGACCTGAAGAAAGACCAACATTTGAGTCATTACACAATCTTTTTGATGACTACTTCATCGCCACGGAACCTGACTACAAGGAATCAGACGCCATCTAAAACACAAATATATTATTCTAAACATTGGTAATCGTAAAGCAGTAATTGTCACCATGAAATTATTGATGATTTAAATGATAACGTAATTAACGCTATCTGCAATTACTTTCATTTTAACATGTCAGATGTGGCTCGAAGTTAAGCAATAGTAAAAAAAAGCAGTCATTAATTTTTTGCTTTGCAATATTGGAAAACCCATTAGGTTTGATATGTGATAGATTTATCCAACAATCATATTAAATATAAATGTATGGTTTAAACTAAAATGCCGAAAGAAAGAAAGAATAAGGTTTTAATTCTTACATAATATATAATATTTGTGCATTCCATTTTGTTGCTTATACTGATATTCAGCAGACTTCCATCTATTGTTTAGCAACCTTGATAAATGTTGCAACTTTGCAAAAATTTGATCAAGTTTGTGATTTCAAACATTTTAATGTAAATTAATTAGGCGTGGATATGACGGCAGATGGCAATTAGTGTGACTTTAAATATAGGGAAATTTGATGCAATATGAAACTTAGTTTCAGAATGAATTTAAAATAGGACAAAATAGCAATCTGATTAGAATACAGACCTATAATTCGTTTTTTTTTTTTTAATACTTTCGATGGCCTCTACTACATGAAGATCTAACCATTTTTAGTGAGACGTCGCGTTAAGGGTCATACGAGTGGCATTTGACTCTATGACGTCAGACTTTTGATTAACCAATCAGCATTAAAGTTTCTAGTGGAATACACACAGTTCTGTGCACCACACGGCAAGAACTCTCTATAACAGACCGTTTCATTGACTAATCACTAACATCAACAAGAACGTGGGTTATATAACAACTCTTCCAGATCCTAGTGTAGTAAAGACAAGTAAAATGAAATTTTGAACTTTAAAACACGAAATGAAATAGGATCTGTGTTTCAATCAGATTGGACAAACTAGATAATTATTATTCTATTGTACCATGAGAGATAATCACAAGGACATTATTCATAAAACTTATATTGAAATATTTTTAGAATGCAGCATTTTCATTGGTTGAGAGGTAAATTTCTGCTGTATATACTAGCTAATAGCCAATCAAACGTCTTAATATATTTTAGTTTTACTTTTTTTTATGAATAAAGCCCCTGAAATAGAATAATGTAACATACTTTAATGTTTTAATTTAAAATGATGGTTTGTGACAATCCTGAAGTTTTGATTTATATTAAGAGGGTATAATGCCGTCAGTGTACGAAAAATTCATTCCAGAATTAATTCTAAAAATAATTATTGTTTATTTTTATAAAATTGATTTTTCATGTCTTCCATTTATTAGCTATTTTTTTTTTCTATAAGTTTATTATTTAATATTTATATAGTTGAACATTCCGAACAATTTACAGACAATTTGCAAAATATTCTGATAATTTTATTCATTGACCAGGTTATGTAAATAGCTGCATCACTTTACTGCGACAGTCTACCAACAAGTGTTCGTTGACAACATCTACTGAAGAATATCGTTAGCGTTTAGAAATATATATTAAAATATGGAAGTTTTTGTGTAAGCTAGCTAGAAAATTGAAATCACTCATAGAAGAATATTTGAATTAAGGCAAATTTTAGAATATGAAAGTTTTTGTGCAAGCAACCTAGAAAATTGAAATCACTCATAGAAGAATGTTTGAAATAAGGCAAGCAATAAAACCCATTATTTTTTTTATCTTTTGGCCTTAAAATTCTACTATGCAAACTAAGCTAAAGATATATTCATGTATTTACCAAACTGGGCCTTAAAGAGAGTTATGCTCGCTCGTATAAAGCAGACATTTTATACTATAAATCTAACAAACTTGTGTGCATGTAGCTTTGTGTGTGGGTGCATTTATCTTTGTGTGTATCTTATATGCATGTATTTTATAATATAGGTCAACTAAACTCATGTGTGCAGGTGCATGTATCTTTGTGTAATGGAGCTCAGACATATACTTATTTGGTGTTCATTCTTTAACTGTACCGATATGCTACAGTCTTCCTTTATTTAAAATGTTGGCCAATGCAAATAGTTTTTCACTGGAAAACTAAGTCTACACAATGGACGAGGAAGTTGTCTCGATTGTCAAGATCCGTTGTTAAATAGATTAGGATAATGAAGCCTGGTTGAGCGAGACTTTTGAAACCTGCACATGTGATAAAAACAACTTAAAAAGCAATGTTGGATTTTAAAAGAAAATGATATATTTGCCAATTTCTCAACTGACACAAGTGAATTTTAGGATTTAGGACTGTGTGTATGGATGCCATCTATTTTAAGGCTTTATTTTAATATGTTTTATTTAAACATATCACTTTAAATGAATTCAATTATCACTTTAAACATATGTAATGAAAGCCTTATATTAGTGCTAATTATAGAAATTGTCATTCATATGTTCATCTTCTCATCATTTCACATGTCTCCCGATTATACACCCTGATGATTGAAGCGGTTTCTTAATATCACACAAGTCTTTCGATAACTTCAGCAATTCAATTGGAATTCATAAATTGACATTTTAAGATTGAGGAAGTGAAAACATTGTGTTCAATATATAAACATAAAAGATACATTATGTAAGAATATTTATTATCGTAACCATGGTAACAATGACATTGAGGCTACATCGTCTTCAAATGGCCATAACTCTTCTCAGAGTGAAGTAATTTCACTGAAAGTTTCAATATATTCTTTTTTCATTATCTATTTTTGAACTTTTTTAGCAAGAACTGTCAGCTCTTTGTCTAAATCATAAATAATGTAACTTTAAGACAGCATTATTTCTTACCTTCGATCATTATGTTAATTTTTATAAATTATATTTTTGGGCCAGGAACTAGGGCCCTAGAAACCACTTAGCATGTTGTTCTTCTTGGAGGGAGACACTCTTCAAAAGAAAACCACTAAGCTCCTGCCAATTTAACGATGATCAACATGGAACTTAACTTACTTGTTCCTCTGACAATTGTGCATTGATTAACAGACTAAATTCAAAGATAGCTGCTACGATGTTTAGCTTGGTTCCTAGTCCTAGTAAATTTAGATCAGTCAACATGCTTAGCTTATGATATTTTTTTTTCTTATAAACAATATTTTTTTATTGAGATCTGTATCTGATTAGGGATGGGGAAATAGGCGTAGCCTATATTAAACCCCTCTAGCTTATGATTGAACCCTCTCCATGTTACAATTTATTGAAAGAATTTAAATGTTTTATTTCTTCTAGCCGAGTAATTAATCAAAGTAGTGCATTATTTTATTTATATAGCTTGTGGACTTATTACATGTACACTGTGACATCACTATAACAATCTTCACTATAACGGATGGGTTCAGTATAAGACCACAAAGAGTGTTATAGTGACGTCCTTTTAAACAAGGGTTAAACAGTTTCACTCAAACTCTGATGTAGTCCCTGGTGAAAAATTGTTTTGTCAATTGAATTGGAGATACACTGGTTACATGTCTAAGGAATACTATTAATGCTTTTTGACTGAGCGACGTTTTGACTAATAAACCGGAACCACCTTAGTATTTAGTCTGGCAATATACAGGTCACAATTCTATGGAATAAAATTACTGCTTATTTACTGAACAGCATTTCAACTAGCCTTCTCTTGTCTTTATAATTGCTTGATGAAAGATTTGAGAATCCTAATGGAACAGTTGTCACTCAGTTATAAACATTTATCATCTTCGATAGAATTGTAAGCTGTGTATTTGATAATGATTAGAAAAGCTCAGTCATAAACAATAATTCTTTTCTATTGAATTGTGACCTCTGTATAACGTTGTGGATGTGCTACGATCGTCGATGTGGCCAGTGGAACCAAACGTCAGTGTTACAGTGAAACCTGGGTATACTATTACTATGTGTATTACCTGCTGATATATTTGTAAATATATATATATATATAAATCCCGTTATTGTATTATAGTCATATTTTATATCAATTGTAAATAGTTTTTAGCAATCATAATAATATAATAACATAATAACCATTTCATTGTTTAATTATTTCGTTCTTCGTTAAACAGTTATTACAGAAAACATTCCTTTCTACATATTTAATACAACATTTTCGCTAAAATATTAAATTAATTAAGACTAAATTCACGCTAAATAGGTACTCCGATTGAATATTTAATATTTAATTACGAAAACAAAATCAATATATATATATATATATATATATATTCTATCGCTAGATAATCTCCAGGCCTGGATTCGATCAGGTTTAAACTAGGCCCCTCAGATTCAAACTAGGCCTATCAGGTTTCTCTGCTACCAGTAAAAGATAGTGACGTAACCGTGCAGCATAGATCGATGAAAATTCAATTTAACATAACTCTGTAAATACTGAACAGAACTGAATGATTTTTAGGCAAATATTACTATTAGATATTAAACTTGGACTATATTGTAGTTAGCAATTTGTACTCTTACAGTAATAATTGACACATTGAGCCTTTAAAATCAAAATGTCCATCCTACCATACTACTTTATCATTGGTAGATGTTTCAAACAATAAGAAAAACTTGCTTCGTTAAAAGTGTCTATTATAGTTTGATTTAGAATATTATGTCAATTTTAGTCTTGCCTTCTTTTTTCTCTCCCTTGAGTTTTATAATGAGTTCGTCCGTCTGTCTGGAACACAACAACAATGCTTCTAATTAAGATACAATATTCAAACTTGGTGTAGGCGTTCATCAGGTGACTGGAACACAATAACTAAGCTTTTAATTGAGGTAGAATATTCAAACTTGGTGTAGGGGTTCATCAGGTGAATGGAACACAATAACTAAGCTTATAATTGAGGTAGAATATTCAAACTTAATGTAGATGTTCATTAGGTGAATGTATAGACTAACTTCAATAATGAGCATTTTCTTCTTAGGTTAAGTAAAGATTATGAGCCATTTGATTTATGGATGATTGGAACACTGTAACTTTTTATTCTAATTGAAACCTTAATTTCATTACATCAGTGCCTTGATAAAGATCGATAAGAGCGTTTTATGCTCAGATAAAATAGGGTGATTGATCGATGCTTTATTTAAAGATAAAGGGGCCAGTAATTAATATGTTTCATCTATTTATTTTGGAATTGAAACAGGGGGACATCAGCCTAACTTTTGGCTGGTTTTGATAATTTTCTTTTATTTTATATTTCATACCAGAAACATTTATTTTATTATTAAATACAATTTTTAATTCAGCCTCTTTAAAATAAATTTCATGATATGATTGGATCCGATGTATATATTTATAGATTGGGAAAAACCCACATTGATTAATGATAGATATAAATATTTTTATTGTTGGTAATTGCATGAATAAGGAAGCTGGCTTTCTTCATATATTGGTAATTCACATGCATTTCATGCTATGTAAATATATATATATTTCTTCAGTTGTATTTCCTGTAATATCTCAATATTCAACAAAATAAAGAAATTATGAAAATATTTCTGAAATAATATCTTTTAATTATTTGTGGCTTTCCTTGCCAGCGGTGGAATACCATGACCATAGATGCCTTTGTTGAATATTATTTGATTTTCTCTTTGTAAATTGTAAATCAGTTTCTCTAGGAATGTGTATGTAATTGTGCTATGTTATGCTGCTATGTTTTGCTTACATCCTATTTTACAGTTCTCTTTTTTTGCTGATTAAAGATTGTTAACGTAAATAACTGTAACTTTCACTTTTTCACATTATTGTGAAGTTGTACACCATTTTGAATGGTCCCTGGGGGAAGGGGGAATACTTTCAGATCTATCCCCCATCCCCCAGAAATGTAACTTTCACTTTTTCACGTTATTGTGAAGTTGTACACCATTTTGGATGGTCCCTGGCATGTGGGGGAATACTTTCAGATCTATCCCCCGTCCCCCAGAACACTTTGGCTTCTCTAAAGTTTATAATCTATTTTGATGTTCTATTTCAAATAGAGATTAATTTCTTCTAATTATTTGTGAATTTTTAATAAACCCTTTTCTGTACATTAATTTGACATATGTAAATATTATAATATAGCATTCCATGTATTTTATGAACAATAGCAATTAGTAAATATAATAATAACAACAGTATAAATTATTTATTCCAGTCAGCAAATAAAATGCAGTATTTTTGTATAAAATTTAAACAAAGAACATATCAGTAGGCTATTGACTTAAAGGACAATATTGCTGTCGGCCATTATTACAGGAGGTGACGCAAAAAATGACAAACACGAGTTATCGTTCTATATAACTGACTGAAGTAACAAGTGATAACAGATAATTTCTGCTCATTTCCTGTACTTCAGATGTTCGTTACACATCTACCTTAGCAATGATCTCTGTGTTAAAATTATATTTGGAACTTGTTTAACCAGTTTTATCACATATGTAATAATGGCTGACACCAATATTGTCCTTTAATTTTAAACCATTCCAAAGACGTGATATATGGATTTTTATAGAAATTGTCCATTAGATTACGAAACTTAATGTTTTTAGATATCACATTATAGAAAGGGAACAAAGCTTGGATATCACTCAAATTAGGGATCAACATCTGACAATTCAAAACAAGAATTGGCTGTCACTAGAGAAGAGAAAATGAGAAAAATAGAAAAGGCCTGTGCATTCCTATGTTTTTTATTCATTCTATACGGTCATAAAAAAAACCATGGTAATACACGTTTTCTTTTATCTAGTAACAGTCAGTTCTTTTTATGACTTGTCAAATATTCTCTCGCAGGGTTGAAACCGTGTTGAATTTATATACAGGGTCACACAACATGAGTTTAATTATAATTAGTAAGCGCTAACATTAGCCTTATACTTTAGTGAAACTTTTGAATAGAAACATCAAATGAGCTTTATAGGGAATGATTTGGGATTGTGTTGATAATGGGATAGAAATAGGATTTTGATCTGAACGTTGGTTCGATAAAATCTCAATATGATCACAATGCTTATTCCTTTATTTATGCTGTCTGTATATTTATGAGACGACATTCACTGTAACCCAGGTATCATTTAATCTTGTGTATTTAGCACAAATTTATTTCACATTTATTCAATATCAAATCTGTCAAAAATCGTTTAAAATCATCTAATTTGTACTTATGTCCAGTTTAAAACTGACCATTCAATTTTAATAATGAGTGTCCAGTTTACAAGTATTTAATTTCTCGATCACTGTTACAAAATAAACAACACGATTGATGTATAATGATTAAGTTTTGAACAGTATAGTCAGGAAATTAAATACTTGTAAATTGGACACTCATTATCAAAATTAATCAGTCAGCTTTAAACTGGACACAAGTAAAAATTAGATGATTTTGGGTGATTTTTATGAATTTTTAAACAAAGATTTGATATTAAATGAATGTGAAAGAAATGAGTGCTAAATACTCAAGATTAAATGATATCCAGGCTACAATGATGTGTGCTGAATATTTATGAGAGGACATATATTATGCTGACCGTATATTGCAGCACCTGTAAATAAATAACCTTTTTCATCCGCTTGGATCGCAATCTGTTTGCTTCAATAGTTCAAATCAGTCGGAATGCAGTCAAAGTGTAATTTAAGAATTTTTAAATCCATTCCCTTTCTTTAAAAGACAGTTGATATAGCTCCATATATGGTATAGATATAGCTCCATATATGGCATAGATAAAGCTCCATATATGGTATAGACTAGACATAGCAATATCAAAATTTTGTTTTAGTTTCATATATAGTTCATTATGTCATTCCACTATGATACATTTTGTGAATAAACTTTTTTTTTTACAATTATATGTAAAGACTTTTTTTTTCTGTGACTGTTTCATTTTTTGCTGCAGTAACATTTGTAAAACTTGCTCAGTGACATCAGATCACCACATAGAGCACAAAGGGGGTATGGAGAGGAATTTAAGTCATAATTCTAACCTAGGAATGGATATGCTTACTTCTACACATGTAACTTCTTACTTACACATGTTTAAATTAGCATTTGTATATAGCAAATTTATCATGTGAAAGTAAGAAGCAATCTGATTTAAACACAGATCCTATTTCGTTTCGTTTTTTTATAGTTCAAAATTTCGTTTTACTTGTCTTTACTGCACTAAATCTGGAAGAATTGTTATATAACAGGCATTCTGCTTGATGTAAGGAATTGGCCAATGAAACGGTCTGTTACGGCGAGTTCTTAGCGTACTGTGCACGGAACTGTGGGTAAACCATTAGAAATGTCAACGCTGTTTGATTAATCAATGTCAGACGTCATAGGGTCAAAAGCTGCTCGTATGATGACCCCTGACGTGACCCCCCACATTGAGTAATTAGTTACATGCATATTAGCATACGCATTCCTAGGTTATTAGGAGTTAGAATTATGACTTAAATTCCGCTCCATACAGGGGTGCTCACTGGACTGTAAGATTTGTTCTATTAATAAATATGTCATATGTCATAAATATGTCAGTGTTGATGTAAGGACACCAATGATATTTTTAGCCAGGGGACCCTTGTAAGCTCAATCTACCCCTGCGTAATATTTCATTAAGTTTGCGCTACATCTAGATTGACCTCGAATATCTCGGAAACGCCCCAACGGCGGACTGATTACCACTCGGCATCATATTCTACGAAAAATTTTACTCCAGAAAAGTTGGGTCTGGTTTTGTGCCCATTTGATGGACACCCCCGCGCACTGAGCCTCCATTCTAATGTATGTTCATTCGTATTTTATTACAACTGTCTTCCTTTTGGCAAATGCACGTTTCATCATAAGGTCTGTCATTGAGTCAACTAGCGTGGTTTCGATTCCCAGGTTGTACATGGCAAGGAGTAGGGTCACCTGTCCAACCTCATGGGTTTTCTCCGTGTCCTTTGTTTTCCTCCCATTGCTAAAGACCCCTATACGCGTAGGCGAATTATTGAAATAAAATTGAACCATATGTTAGTTCCGAAATGACTTAATTTGTGTCCACTGAGCGTCTCTCTCTCTCTCTCTCTCTCTCCCTCTCTCTCTCTCTCTCTCATCCTTCTTTATGACAGAGCAACAGCTATATGTATAATTGAAATTGAGGACATTACATCTGTTAAAATGTGATGCTTGTTTGGCACAATGCTAGTTATATTCTGACTGATATAATCTCTGGTACCAGTACTACCAAGGAGCCATAGTGACTCACTGAGTAATGTGCTGGCTCAGACAGTGTTGCCAGATGGGGGGTCTGGAAGGGGTACAACTTACCCTGTACACTTAAACATACATTATGTAAGAGCTAAATCTGCCTATTGCAGGTCTGTCTTTAGGCCTGAAATGTTATATAAACTTTTAATTTGACATTTATTAACAAAACAAGACCATAATCAACTATCAATGACATTGGATACTCGAGATTTTAACTAGATTAGAACGGTTCGCCATTTAAAAACTGAATTTAAAAATGGGAAAACGAGGCTAAGTCTCGAATATACCAGTGCCCATGTTAACACAATGCACACATCTTGTCAAAACTACAAATAGTGATAACTTTGCTAAGAATGAAGTAATTTGAATGACATTTTTTAATATTTTCATTTTATATTATGTATTTTTGAGCTGTTAAAGAAAGAAAAGTAGTTAAGAATTCTACAATAGCCTTTGAACAGAGGTGGGAAGAGCTGTATTTTACCGTATTTTCATATTGCAACTATATAGGGCCGGATAGGAACTGTCAGTGGACATCGTCCGCTCAGATACAGTTCCTAAAGGAACTAAAAAAACATATGCTACGTCGACGGAAAATGGTCTCAGAGCGCGTCAAGATCGCCAGAAGCGTGGTGGAAACGCCCGATATCGTGCTGCATGTAGTCTCGATGGTCGCCAATGATCGCCGAGTCTTGAGCAGATTCAACACAAATTTTTAAACGCCAAGTTTCTGCGATCTGACCTGGAAAGCTGTGAGAACGCAGTGGGATCTCCAAGGTCGCAAGACAAGTGCGGTAACATCTCCATGAACGTAGTACAAGCGCAGTACACGCGTGGCAAAGACGCTACCAAAAATTGTGACATTTGCAACCGCGACTTCATGGCGTCTTCACCAGACACCTTGTGGTCTGCCACGACCCCAACACGCGTTCGGGGTCCTTATGGCATTGTCATGCGATGATTGCACTACGTCCTATGGCGATCTTATGGACATCCTCGGTATCCCCAGTGTTCTCATTCCGTTCTACTCCACTATACACTGGGTTAATCCATAGGGTTTCCACGATTTCAAATTATCTGCCCTGGCCTTGATTATAGCTAAAGTCTACGAACCAATCAAAAACCAGTTTACAAACCAGTCGTTTGACCTTCGTTTTTATAAGGGTAGATAACCATCATCATGTCCATTTACAGAATAAAGGATATTAACACGGTTGCTTCTATATTTTGTGTGTATTCCTGAAGCCATAGCGGACGAGAGACCCCAGATTAATATTGAAAAAATATAAATACTGAGCATAATAAGGCCCGGATTCCATGTGCGCGTTTCCGCCGGCGAAAATAAGTCGGTTTAATGCAAATGTAATGGAACCGTTTCCATTTTACCGGCGAAAACGCGTAAATGGAAAAGGCGTTTATGCCTTTAATGATTTAACCAGTTTAACCGGATGCTATATTAAAGTACCAATGCGCCATTTTATGCAACATGAATCACTACAATATTGTGAAAGATGAATCTCTAATGTTAATATCAGTCCAAACATGTTTCCATTCCGTTTAGTACAATATTTACAAAGTTATGATAAATTGAAATTTATCGATCGATGTTGTTCGCGCCACCATCTTTTATCAGTAGCCAACCTCGTGGGTTTTCTCCGGGTCCTCCGGTTTCCTCAAACTGTTAAAGACCCCTACGCGCAAGCGAATTATTGAAATAAATTTGAACCATGTGTTAGTACCGAAATGACCTAGTTTGTGTCGATTGGAGTCTCTCTCTCTCTCACTCTCTCTCGCTCTCTCTCACGCTCTCTCCCTCTCTCTCTCTCTCGGTAGCGGAGAAACCTGGTTAGCAAAGTTTAAATCCGATTAAATGAAAACCAATCGATTATCTGCCCTTGGTATTTTAATGTTGTTGGTTTTTTTTAATTAAATGTTAAATAATCCTAGTTAACGTGTATTAAGCCGTGAGCATATTGATAATTTAGGTGACATGCAAATGGCGCATCGTCACTTTAAATTAGGGTATGAAATTCTCCGTGAATGGGTTGTACTAGGTAATGCCCGACTGTAAAAATAATCTGCCTTATAAAGCCGGTGTATTTATCTAGAGACGCTCACCGTTTAACAGACAGTCACAAGGACAGGATGAGTTCGAGATTATTATTTCGTGGACTGTTAATTTTGGTAATTTGTGCCATTCAAGGCATAGAAAGTCAAAATGGAAGATTTTGTAGTGAGATTGCCTGGACTAGAGGTTGTTCCAGTGTCAGTGACAGTGGCATAAGTCGACGGAAGAGAGATGCAGACAGTGACCTCAATAAAGAGCTTTCGGAAGAAGCCAACAAAAATCCCCCATTTGCCTTGGCGTGGGAAAAGGCGGAAAACGATGTCAAATTACCCGATCTAATGAAAATCTATACAGTACTGAAACGAAGCGAGATAAAACTAATTATGGCCTATACTTACAGCATAAGACCATATTTCTATGAATCTCTCAACGAAGATTGTCGAGATAATGGACTTAATGGAGGACAGTATCCAAATACTAAGAGGATTTTACGCGATGCCCTGATCAAATTAGGAGATTCTCAAAAACTAAAATCACCACTACCAGAAATGCTTTACCGATATCAAAATGCGTCGCTTTTGGATGACTTTATTAGTTTGAAGAACCAGAACAACACCGCTGAGTTGTTGCAGTTTACATCGACTAGCAGGTCAAGGAACGCTTTTTACTGTGGCCCAGACCAGGACGTCATGTTGGTTATCTTCAAAAACCCACAATCTGGTGCTGACATAGCAGAGTTTTCTGATTATTCTGAAAAAGAAGTTCTGTTACCGTTACTGAATGGGATCTTTTATGTAGAGAGTGTCGACGAATCACAAAAGGAAGCAGTTGTCGTTGGACCTACATCTTCAGCCAACAGTAAACCATCCGGACAAACTGGTGTACATTTCATCTACGTGTTATTTGCCATTTGTTTGGTCATCACACTCCAGAAACAGATAAACCTTTAATATAAACACTATAAAGCCACAGTTTGAGAACTGAATTTATTATTATTATTAAATTTAAATCTGTTAAAGGGTGAATAGCTCTATTCATTGGAAACTTAACATAGACGAAAATAGTTCAAAAAGCACACATTAATGTAATATGGGAGTATATAAAGTGATTTACATATATCCAATTTGTATTTTTTAATTGTAAATTCTAATCAGTTATGAACGGCAGTCATTTCCGACTGTTTTTTTGTATTTTGTGAATCAACCATTTTTAATTACTTGCGCATTGTCTTCTGGGATATGTTTCTTCGGTCATTACAAATGGCGTTCGAAACCTTTATATCCATAGAATACAGCACGAGTCGTGTAGTGATTTAAAAATGTTCATTGTGTCTTAAAAAGTGGATATTAGGATGACATATTTTAACGGTATAAGGTTATAACATGAACAGACTATTGATTGAAATTCACCGATATTGAATTGTAATTCGAGTCAATATGACGGACAATATTGAGTCAGATGTTTAGATCCTTTAATGTACGAGTTAGATAAAGAGCTGGTCGTTCAAATATAAATAACACAAAATGAATATATTGAACATTTCATTAATATTACGTTCTATTAAAATAAGCAGCATATATTTATAGCTAAGATCACTGTGACAATATAATATGAAATGAAATGAATGGCGTTTAAAACTGATCTGCTCCGACTGAGCCAATGAATTCAGGCATACGCCATGAAGTTTTCTATGACGGGCATTTTGCCCGGACAGCGCTACAGCCTTGTCAGTTTCCGAAAAATACCTGTGTGTGACAATCACTGATGTGATTTTTGGTTGATGGACATGGTGGTGGTTTCCAGGCGAAATATCTTTTTTTTTTTTTATTGTGCGAGCTATGTGTGAAGATTTACACCCATTTTTTAGCAAAGAATGTTTCCACAATATACGAATTAGGGCAATGATTATTTATTTCTGAAAACATAATGACTGGCGTGAGCTCAGCATTACCGTAATATAGGATATTAAAATCGGTGAATACATGACTCATTTCCTGATTCTATTGATCACCGACTAAGATCGTTTGTTTGTCAATAAATAACACCCAATGTATTGAAATAAAAAATAGATCGACAAGGAAAGATATGTTATAGATATGCAAATTCATAATATCCCCATAATAATTACAATTTAGACTAGGCACAGGGTTAACTATTTGTAAAGCCCATAGACATCGAGGCAAGAATAAACGGGTAATACAATGTATATTTAAAGGAGAGAGAGAGAGAAATAGGGTTTAACGTCCACTCAACACAAACTAGGTCATTTCGGGACTAACATATAGTTTAATTTTATTTCAATAATTCGCTTGCGCGTAGGAGTCTTTAGCAGTGGGAGGAAACCGGAGAACCCGGAGAAAACCCACGAGGTTGGACAGGCGACCCTACTCCTTGCCACGTACAACCGGGGATTCGAAACCACGCCCGTTGACTCAATGACAGACTTTATGATACAGCGCACGCACGCTAACCATTCAGCCATCCAACCCCCCATATTTAAAGGAGCTAAGGAGCTAAATTGACACAAATGGGTCGCAACGTTTATAATAATGTAATATGAATGTATATAAACTGATTTACATTCAATCGTTTCTGTTTTTACTCTAATTTCAAATCAGTTATGTTCGGCGAAATACGCCAGAAGTCTCAATCGAATTGTAATCTTTAGCGTCTGGTTATTTCAGTCTACACCGATAGTATTTATGGCGCATGCTCTCCAGATAAGAATATGACGACACTGTTTGACATGACTTGTGGAATATGTCTAGTCTCCTACTTCGAGTCCCTTGTAACAAATGGCACTGAAAAGTATTATGGTACACGATTCGTGTACCAATGGTAAAATGTTTATTTTGTCATAAATATTGAATATCAGAAGCCCATCTTTTCCCGGTAAGATCACATCAATGTTGATTTGAATTGACAAATAATTCGTGTTTTCAATGTCGAAGACTGGACTATTTTAAATGATGAACTAGTTGTATTATATATGAAATGTCCCTTTAAATGATAAACTAGTTGTATTATATATGGAATGTCACTTTAGATGTTGAACTCAGAATACATGGGGTTTGTGGATTTGTATTAAGAAGAAAGAGTAATCATTGGCTCAATAACCCCTAAATTTAGTCATCTCAGGGTGTAGTTTAAGGAAGGATTAAGTGCATGGATATGCTATTTATATTACGATGTATTGAATGCTATAGAAATGATTATTATTCATTGATTTCAAACACAATGCATGTCACGTCTTGTGTACTCGTAACACGTGCTCCAATCTTCACAAGGGCTAAATCTATTTGTTAAGGCCAGCTCAATTTTTGTCAAGGTCGCTGAGATGTAAATAAGGTTAGGAGAGAGAGGGAGAGAAATGGGGTTTAACGTCCACTCGACACAAACTAGGTCATTTCGGGACTAACATATGGTTTAATTTTATTTCAATAATTCGCTTGCGCGTAGGGGTCTTTAGCAGTGGGAGGAAACCGGAGGACCCGGAGAAAACCCACGCGGTTGGACAAGCGACCCTACTCCTTGCAACGTACAACCGGGGATTCGAAACCACAAAAGTTGACTCAATGACAGGCCGCATGATACAGCACGCACGTGCTAACCATTCGGCCATCCAACCCCCCAATAAGGTTAGGACACGTGATTGTAGGTTAGGATTAGGGTCAGCATTGGGGCTAGACCCAGGGTTAGGGTTTGAGTTGGGATTATCGCTAGCCCTGTTTATATCTCGTGATCTATGACGAAAAACTGAGGTGGCCTTATTAATTAGCACTAACCCTTGACAAGAGACAACAACTAACATTATGGCGGTAAAGAGCACACGCATTGTTCTCGCAAATACAAGTAGGTTACAATTGACTAACATAATATTCACAAAAATACACTCAAATACACGACACGTCTAGCTTGAAAAAAACATATAAACAGTGAACAAAACTTGAAAAGAAAGTTTCCCACTTAAACATTCATAACATGTACAATGTACATACATACAATAAGATCTTTAAATAAAAGAAAATATGCACATTGCACTATCATTACATCAAATACATGAAAATACAATATTATATCTGTTCAATAGGTCTATTAGGCACTGTTTTATTTCTTGTTAATCTGATTCAAATACAAATCTATATATCGTTTTGTATTTTTATACTTCGATGGTCTACACTACCACATGAAGATCTGACCGGTTGTACTGGAGGGTCGCGTCAGGGGTCATACGAGCGGCTTTTGACCCTATGACATCAAACATTGATTAATCAATCGGCGTTGACGTTTCTAGTACTCAACCCACAGTTCCGTGCATCGCACGCCAAAAACTCGCCGTAACAGACCGTTTCATTGGCTAATCCATCACTTCAACCAGAACGCCGATAATAAAACAACTCTTCCAGATCCTAGTGTACTAAAGGCAAGTAAAACGAAATTTTGAACTATAAAAAACGAATGGAAATATGATCTGTATTTTAATCAGTTTTATTTCTTGTAGAATGTCTTAAAAGTCTTTATATTCATGGCACTGTCTAATATCAGTATTTTGTTCAGTTAATCTATTTTCAGCTAGGCGCTATATCTTTACAATAGATTCGTTCAAAGGGTCAATCTCTAATATAATTTTAGAAAATAAAACTGCTTAATTTTTTCTTAAAAGCCCTTAAAATCCTCTACCTTAGGGCCGAGCAACAAACTCAATATACATGATACGTTTTCAAACAACTTAAACCCGCCCGGCCCAAGCTGTATTATACGATGTCTGGATAAAACCAGACTTTTATTTAATAAAAATAAAGTGTAGGTGAAGTTTACCTTTGTTATCAAGTACTGCACGTGTGTCAGGTACTGTATTGACCTCTGAAGAACGCCAATAGATTATCAGGTCACCAAACTAAAAAATTGACCCGAAATCTTAACAGGGTTACGTGTCCGGATAAGCGATTTTGACGTTCACGTCCAAACGACTCAATATTTTGAGGTGAAATTTTGAGACAAGGTAAATACACCACCCCTCTATATTTTGGCGTTTAAATTTCATACTTATTTGAACTTTTATTTCTGAGACTCTGGTAAAATCGGGATGGCCCCTTTAAGTCATTTGTTTCTTGATTTTACAACATTTCCATTTCTATGCGCATTAACATTAGCTTGTTGTAAATCCCTGATACCAAAGTTTTGTAATAAATCTGATTTCTGTAGAATATTTAGTTGGTTATTCCTCTCTCTCTCTCTCTCTCTCTCTCTGTCATGGTTAGGATTCAGATGTTCCACATCTTGGAAGTTGATCTATATGACGTTTTCATACCCTGCCATCAAAAAAATTATTGTGTATGACTAAAATCTTTAACCATAACGGGTTCGCCTGGGTAAAACTCACGAAGTTCAATTTTATTATGGGGGTTGGAACTAAGAGACGAGAATTAACATGAAAGTCAATATTGTCAATGGGAGAAAACAGTGGTGATCTGTGCCCAACTAGTTAAAGGGAGTTAATAAATCTATTTTAGCGTTATCTCCCCTCACCAGTGAACACGTGTTGCAATGTTTTGATTCGAAAAACGATTACTTATCACAAGAATTATTCAGATATTAGGTTTGTTTGTTTGTTTATATTTTGGGAATGTTATTGGGGAAGATATTTTGTACCCAAGGCTGATTGTAGTCAGCATTATCACTCTTTTGTCTACAGAATAGTAAAAAAATATACATAAATACAACACCAAAAAAAACGTCACCGAGCGGAACGTGGCTTGGAACTTATTGTTAGGCGAATTAAGTACTAGGCATAATGATAATCTTTAAGCGGAAGGGGGTGGTTTAAACCAGTTAGAGGAATTTTGCTTGGGTGTAATATGTATCTCCACTTCGAATTCCATATTAGATTATATGCTGAGGAGGAGGTCAAGTAGCTACAATATTTCAAGCTAAACTGTGGCTGGATTAAGACGGATTTAGACAACACTGGTATAGTATTAGTGGAAACATTTCTAGGGTGGAGGAGACGAAATTTAGAAGCGTCAATGCTGATTGGAGAAGGAATGGGCAGAGCATTGGTCATTGGACGAAGGGGGGGGGGGGGAGGCAGAGGGAGCAACAGGCATCCAATTAGGGCACATAATTTAATTAATATGTCTGTTTTACATTGATTTTGAACACAATTTGGAATAAAATAAGGTTATTTGATCTGTTTTTCCATACCTGTAATTAAAATATCCCTTGGGCCTATACACGTGAGTTCTGGGGCCATACAATCAAACCCCTGACATAACCTATCACCAAACCTCTAAACACTCTTGTAACCCAAACCATAATTTTGAGAGCCTACTGTTACAGAAAATAATCAGATTTATAATAACATTTTTATGACAAAAAGCTAAATATTAATAAAAGATTGTTTACAACCTTTTTCAGGCATCAACAAATCATGACAGAGAAAAGCAAAAAAAGTAAAAAGAAAAGAAAATTTGAAGATGAAGAAAAAATTTCGAATAAAGCACAGAAGTCGAAAAATAAAAGTTCTAATAATGGCACCATAAACAATGAATCTGAAAGCGAATTCGAGGGAATTAAAAAAAGGAAAAACAAGGAAAAGAATAAAAAAGATTTGCATGGAATACCAGATGAAGAACATTCAATACATGATGTAAAAAAGAAACACAAAAAACATAAAAAAAATAAAACAAAAATTGAATTGGAAACCAGTGATGTGGACATAACTGTGAAAAAGAAATCATTCGAAAATGAAAAACTTACTTCCGTGAAACACAAAAAACATAAAAATAAAACAAAAATTGACTTGGAAACCAGTGATATAGTGACTGTGAAAAAGAAGAAAATAAAAGAAATAGAAAATGAAGAACTTACTAACATGCTCGATGCAAACGATATCCCAAAGTGTAAGAAAAAGAAGCGAAAACATTTTAGCGGGGAAGTTCATTCTGCCGAAGAAACTCTTTCCTCGTCGAAAAAACTGAAAAAATCTAAAGGTTCTATAGACAGAGAACAAAATGGAAAAGCCAAAAACAATACAGGAAAAATTAATTGTTCAGGTGATGATGAAGACAAAATAAGCACCAAAAAAATAAAAAATAAAAATAAATCTGATGAGAAAAATGAAAGTGATAAACAATTAAATTCTGGAGAATCTAAAAAGAAAAAAAAGAAAGAGAGATCACCGCCATCATCAGAAGAAGAGGATAAGTCAGAAATAGAAATCACAAAAACGGAAAAGAGGAAAAAGAAAAAATGTAAAAAGTCTAAAATTAAAGAGGATATTGTAGCTGTTAAGACTCAGACAGAAAATGAATCGAAAAAATCTAAAAATATACAAGAACCTGTGAAATTAGGACAATGGAGTTCCGTTTCCTTTGATGATCAAAAACGGCAGGACAAATTTCAGCGTCTTTTGGGTGGGTTTAAAAAAGATTCTGGTAAACCTAAAAGTGGATTGTATGGAGGCTTAACGTCACGTGTCAGTGGAAATAACGCGTTAGATAAGGCGGGACAGGATGAACTTAATAAAAATTTACAAGCGCAGTATGATAGTGCGCTGTCTATAAAACTGGGAGCAACAAAAGGTCTTGGTTTGGGTTTCCAGCCTCTTCCTGGATCGGGTAAAAAGTTTTATATTGATACAGGAAAATCTTCCTCTTTAAAATTTGATGATTGAGTTTAAAAATTATAAAACAATGAAATTTATCAAAATTATAAAATTGTTTTTTCTTTATTTTTGTAAACATGAAGAAGTAAACAAAAGGTGGTAGCAGTACTGATATTCCGGTCAGGAAATGAAATGAAAAGGTGTTTAATGTCCTACAGTTCTGCCCCAACCAGGCTATTATGGAGACGGAACATATGCAGTGTGCTATGAAGGAAATTTTGCCTAGATAGCGGCGCTACAGGTTTCTCCTATTTTCAAATTTGAACTGTCTTATGTGTACACCATCTTGCACACAAGACCTCTGGTTATTGTCCCATCCAGATGACTAGACAAGTGTTTCTTGGTAGTATTTGTATTTAGGCCTGGCAATGAAATAATGTTTAATTAAGGTTATGCACCGACTGGGCTAATGAAGACCCGTATATACAACATAATATAGAGTAGTGTGCTATGAGGGCTGTGATACGGGCTACTCTTATATCCAATTCCAAATGTATGTGGTTTCCCTTTGTCAGTGATGCAGGACGGAGGGCCTGACAAGGACAGCTGTCTAGTCGTTTAGATGGGACAAAAAACCGAGGTCGCTTGTACATATTGGCGTGCGCGTAAAAGATTACTTGGTAGTTGGAATGCGATATAAGAATAGGACGTAGCGCCGCGCCGCTGTCCGAGCAAAATTTCCCTCATAGCACAGTTTAGGGGCAGAACAGTAGGACATTAAACCCCATTTTATTTCATTTCATTTCCAAATGTATGTTAACCCTCTTATTTCAAATAAAAATGAAAATCGGACAATTTGTCTGTGATGTCAGCCTCAGTAGCAGTGGATGTTTAACAACAAGAACAACAATAAACCTGGAAAATTCTGAGATTCTTCCATGGCCAAGGCTGGGATCAAGAGAGAGAGAGAGAGAGAGAGAGAGATGGTGTTAAACGTCCACTTGACACAAACCAGATCATTTTGGTACTAACATATGGTTTAATTTTATTTCAATAATTCGCTTGCGCGTAGGGATCTTTAGCAGTTAAAGGAAACCGAAGGACCCGGACAAAACGGATTTAGAGTCGACTGCCTGCGAGCGCCGCAGGCGTGAAACACGCCGGGGGGGGGGGTCTGGGAAAATTTTGAAAATCGAGAGCTTGAAACCGGCATCTGTGGACTGTTCTGGTGCAGTTTACATAGGGATTTATTTTGTCGCGAGCAGCTTTTTTCGCATGAAAACTAAGCACTAGGAAGACAACACACCACTTTCGTAACGATAATACAGAACTGTAAGTCAATTCGAGCTCCGGTTCCCCATCCATATTTCAATACTTAAAATCGCAGATAACACCGAAAATATGTGAAAATAAGTCAAAAACAAACTTTTTCAAAGTGAAAGTGAAATGACGATCAAGGTCGCAGCGGAGCGGACTGGATACCAAGCCTACTGAAAAACCTGACTAGTATGCTGATGCGGCTGGCGCTCACTCGACTCATCCGAGGTAGTCGCGAGTGAGTGCCAGGTGATCTGATCTGATCTGTGCAACTGACCACACCACAAGAACACAAGTAGAAACACCCAATTAGAGGTCAGGAGGCATCGCTGACTACACTTTTTAGAGCACTACACCATTTTTCAGAGCAGTTTTCTTATTTTCAAAGCACGGATTTTTCATTTCGAGGCACGTTCGTGCTCCAAGGCACGTTATTTTAGGCCCTGGAGATTGGACAGCCGAGCCTAAACCTTGTCACGCACAACCAGGGATTCGAAACCACGCCAGCTGACTTAATGACAGACTTTATGATACAACACGTACATGCTAACCATTCGGCCATCCAACCTCCCTCACTGGGATCAAACCTCAAACCTTCTTGCTAGTGAGGCAGCGCTTTTACCCACTACGCGACAGTGGGTCCCTCCAGAGAAATAACAATTTTAGTTGTGCCTGAATTACCAAACATTTTCAATTGCTTACTGGTTACAACCTCTAGCTTCCCCACCCTTTAACCAATTCCTAGATCTGCACTTAATATCTATCTTAAAACTCTAAATATCTACGGTGTAAACATCAATGTTGTGAAGTGGTATCAGATGTTTTTAGAAAGTATTAGCATACATGTCCTCAAGCAAGTTGATTGACTTCTTAATTAACAAGTAATAATTAACCCGTCGCAATTTAGCTGAAAGTAGATTGATTTATGATACCATAGTGGCCGGTTCATTGTTTTACCAATCGGCTTGATTGAACTTCAAGCGGCTAAAGGCGACAAAAAACAGCGATTAAGATCCCTAACGACACTAATGAATGAATAAAATGAAATAAAGTAGACAAGCACATCCATTGAAGTACCACCGCTACCATATACAAAACAAACTGATGATTACAAGCAACTCTGATCAGAGAGAGAGAGGGGTTACACATAGGCATAGTCTGTTTCCTAATCTAATTTCAAATATCTACTGAAAACTAATATGGGTTATTCCATGTCAAGTGGACCAAATTGTTAGAAAGTTGTAAAGTGCCCCCCTCAGAAAATTACGAAAAAATGTATGTTATAATACATGCCAAGTTGTGTAAAACTGCAAAGTTATATATGATTATGACTCTAGCATTAATATTGGCTGAGATATGACCCTTTGAATAGGGGTAACCTTTCGCCATGAAAGCCATATTAAAAGCCATATCTTTGTCTTTACAAAGTGGGTCACTTAAGCACTGGTCCACTTGACATGAAATGACCAATATTGATTATAAAAACAAAATAAACAAAAAAAGTAAAAAGTATACTAGGCCTACAGTATGCTAAATTACAGACGTGACGTCATCCTTTGATGTTGGGGTACCATTATTTCAAAAATTGTCATTGTGCTGCACCAATATATGAGTAGTAGCATTCATCAACAAGTGCGTGTTGTTTTTGGTCAATATCCCGCAAAGTATTGCAAAAAGTGACCAGCAAGGATAATAATGTTATAGATATGCATATTAAAATTCAAATGATGTCATAATTAATTGATCCAACATTCCAACCGTCGATCCGGATTAAAATTGGAAATTCAGTAGCCTTTGGACTGTTGAATTATGTTGTGGCGCGAAAACTTGCACCGTTCTTTTATTCTGGTGTTGGGCGAACAATGCCGTGTGTTACACCCAACGCTTACTCCGGTTTCAAGTTAGAAGTTCGTCACGTGTTTAAGCGGATGAATTATGTTTTGGCGGGAAAAATTACATCATTCTTTTCTCTCAATGATTGTTGGGGGGGGGGGGAGGGAGGGGGGGAGGGTGGCCGAATGGTTAGCACGTGCATGCTGTATCATACGGCCTGTCATTGAGTCAACTGGCGTGGTTTCGAATCCCCGCTGGTACGTGGCAAGGAGTAGGGCCGCCTGTCCAACCTCATGGGTTTTCTCCGGGTCCTCCGGTTTCCTCCCACTGCTAAAGAACCCTACGCGCAAGCGAATTATTGAAATAAAATTAAACCATATGATAGTCCGGAAATGACCTAGTTTGTGTCGAGTTGACGTTAAACCCCATTTCTCTCTCTCTATCAATGATTGTTTTTGGTCTGACACAAATTCTATGAGAGATAAACGTGGGTGGAATGTCGACGGTTGACAAAACGTGTCTCGACGATTGGGTGGTGGGATTGATTAACCTTTGGTAGGAAAATCTTTGTCTACAACCCCACAAGATTTTGTTATAGAAATTTCATTTCATTTTATGACGGTGGCTAAGTGGGTAAGACGCTGGCTCGCTAGCCTGGAGGTCGGGTGTTCGATCCCTGCATTGGCCGAGAAAGTTCATCCAGATTTTCCGGCGTGGTTCTCCCTTGTCAGTGATGCAGGACGGAGGACCTGACAAGGACAGCTGTCTAGTCGTTCGGATGTGACGAAAAACCGAAGTCCCGTGTATGCATTGGCGTGCACGTAAAAGTTGGAATTCGATATAAGAGTAGGACGTAGTGCCGCTGTCCGAGCAAAATTTCCCTCATAGTACACTGTATGGCGTATGCCCCTCTTCATTAGCCCAGTTCGGAGCCAAATAGTAGGACGTTAAACCCCCATTTCATTTCATAAACTATTTTTAAAACACGTTATATTTTTACTACTGCATCTGTTTTGTATCCATTTAAATATAGAATCTTCTGGTAGCGTTTTACTTCTTATGGACCAGTGCATGGTTCCCAACATTTTGTTGGTTGCCACCTCATTCTAGAAACTATCATCGCATCGCGACGCCTCGAAGAACAAATCCCTCTTTCATTATGAACCATCTAGGGTCGCCTGTCCAACCTCAAGGGTTTTCTCCGGGTCCTCTGGTTTACACCCACTGCTAAAGGCACCTACGCTCAAGCGAATTATTCAAATAAAATTGAACGATATGTTAGTCCCAAAATGACCTAGCTTGTGTCGAGTGGACGTTAAACTACTCTCTCTCTCTCTCTCTCTCTCTTAAGAACCATAATCATTTTATTCACACGACACAGATCAATAAATTATTGTTATGAAAGACGGAGGAAAGAAATAGCGGGGGAAGATGATTGGCAATGTGGCAAGAGGTAGGTGTACATAGTTCAGAGATTTTTTTATGCTTTTCATGAAAACATATCATTTTTAAAAAAAAGTTCCAGAGTATTCCGCCACGACCCCACGAAAAGTGCTCCGTGACCACCACTAGGATCGCGACCATGAGGTTGGGAACATTACAGGCCTACGTTTATCTTATGTTCGACGCATAGTTCAATTTTAAATTATATATTTATATATTCTATACTAAGAACTATTTTATTGTAAGGGCGCTATATAATATAATAATATGCTTTTGGGTAGGCTGTATAAATTTGCTTCAATTTTTTTATTTGCTGCATTAGCTTGATAGCTTTGAAACGAAATAATATCGCCTAAATATATTTTTCTTTTTAACAAGGCAGACCAAAGCTTGTAGTTTATAAGATTTAAAACCATAACGGGCCGAAACTTATTTTTAAGCTCTCGGTCGTCTGTTCTGTTGAGGGTCGAAATGTTGGTTAATTCCAACCAACAGAAGCTCTTGACGGCCACGTAGATGCCGACCATCGCTAACAATTTTGACCGATTTTGAACAGATTCCGAAAGTTCTTTTCGGCAACAGTTAAAAAAATCAAAATTCCACCGAAAAGTAAATTGTTAAATTATAAGTATGCTAAAGGCAATTTTATTATTATAGCATCATATATAACATTATTACGGGTTTTAAAGAAATTTATAAACATACGAGGCAGGATAAAATACCCTTCATTTTTAAAAAAAATAATTGTAGACGCCTTCCTTAAAGTCAAATAATGTTTCCACAACAAACATGTATTATCTCCCTTGAAATTCCATTCCCACTTTGGTTCAGCGAAAACCTACTTTGCAAATGGATCTGTGATATTGATCATATCGACGGCGTTTGCTTGTTAACCATATAACCCAATATATATATCGAATTAGGCTGTCAAATGATAATTATTTTCAGAGAACTGGCTTTTGGTGCGTCAAATATTCAACCGGAAGTAGTTTCGAGCAGACGCCATGTTTTTGGTGGTTTCCTGACCCCGACAGCAGATAACTGATATCATATTTATTTGTGGTATGTCTGAGTAACAACTGATCTAAACTTAGGCTCAATCCGTCGTACGGCACGATGAGCGAATCAAGAAGAAAGAGGTACACCGCAGGCCCGAAATCTCGGTCAGATAACGCAGAAAATCAGTACCGCAACACAGGTAGTGGAGTTTCAAGCTCAAATCATCGACAGAAAAATAACCACATCGGTGTAAGTAGATCTCAGAACTGGACAGAATTAAAATTATGTTTATTCCCTAAGAATAAATTATAGGATATCAGGGTATTCATTTTCATTTTTCACACACCTGAAGAAATGCATGATCTAAGATTAAAGTGTGCTGATAGAATACTGATGAAAGTTCGATTCAATCAAGTTTTAGAAATCTGCTGAGATGTCAACAAACGAGACTTGTCCCACAGTTGAATGCACATTGGCAGACATTTGTTCAGACTTGCTTCTTGTTTGTAACATGTATGTTTCACATTGGATCAATTTCAACAGAACTAGAACATTCTAAATTTAAACAGAGTTTTGTATGGTAAAGTGCCAGTCATTCAAAATCAAATTATTGCAGAATATAATAATAATTATGATGAGCATGCACATTTTTAATTTTTTTTTAAGTATTTTAAAACTTCAAATAAATTAATCGCTAAGCAACAAACTTGAAAAGACTTTATAAAGTAAAGTGGTTTAATCCAGGATGCGTTTCGGGCTACAGCCGTTCAACTGGTATTTTAAAACTTAACAGTGATTTGTTATGTATTATTTAAGAGTAGCTAAATTTGCCTGCTGTGCAGGTTTTTATTTTGGCCTCAAATGTTATATAAATTATTATTTAGACATTTAATCACATGACAAACCTATAATCAACTCTCTAGACTGAAGGATGGAGAGATTTAAACTGCTTGAAATACGATTGCCATTTAATGATTTAATCTAAAAATCGAGAATGAGACCGAGTCTGTTTAACAAGTTACGTTGCTACAATCAATCTTTTCCACATCTTGTTAAAACTTCATACAATGATTACTTCACTTGGAATAAAATAATTTGCATGAAACTTTCAACAGTTTTGAATTATTTATTTTGTAATTATTATAGCAAGAATGGCCAGCTTATTATCTAAATATTACATAATGTATCTCTAATAAAACTATATAGGATTATTCAAATAAATTGTTCAAATAAGCTTATTTATTAAATCGAGGGTGACATTTAAAGATGTTTCTTGAATAAAAGATTTAAAGATGTTTCTTGATAACAGGAATTTTTGGGAGTGCAAATTTAAATTCCTATGATAAATTTGTAAATTATAGATGAAACGGACGGGAAAAAAAGAATGTCACAGGTCTATCAGTCCGGAATGTTTAGTTATGTTTGTAATTACCGGGATAATTTACTCATTTGATGTCTCAGATAGTCGTTTGAGGGATTTTTCATACCTGACAAGTGACAAACTACTCGTCCGAAAAAAAGCTGATGATTATTAGCAGCTTTAACTTAAACATTCATTATGCAAGAGCTAAATCTGCCTATTGCAGCTCTTTATTTAGGCCTGAAATGTTTTCTAAATTATTAATTAAATATTAATTAACTGATCCAGGCCATAATCAACTCTCGATGGCGTCTGATTTCTCCAATATTAAATAGTTTAGAACGGTTCAGCCATATTTTGATTTAATCTAAAAATGGAGGAGCGAGACTTAGCTTCGAACAACCAGCATGGTGGTTGAAATTATTGCACACATCTTGTCAAACCTTCAAATGCTAATATCTTCGCTCGCAATAGAGTAATTTGTATGAAATTTTCAAATTATTCATTTTACATGATCCATTTTCAAACTATTATAGCAAGAATGGCTAGTTCTTTATATAGTGTATCTTTAAATGTGACCATACTGTTATTTAATGTGGAAAATAGCAAAGATTCCTCATTTTTTGCCTTTTTGTATGGTGCGAATGGTGCTCATGGATGGTGCTAAGCATAATTAAGAAAATATAGTCTTATTTAAATATATTGTATTACTGTAATGAAATAAAAAGTACATTTGTTTTTAAAATTATATACATGTAGAGAATGACCAGTTATGACCGAGTTAGGAAGATAGTCCAAGAAGAAGGAAGAACAGCAAGGAATTTAGTTCAGTACAATGTACCATTAGCAACAAATGGAGAAAGATCAAGTAAGTTATTTAAATGCTGTTTAAGTTATTATTGATATTGTCCCCTGCCAAAATGCCATACAATGAAGTTAAAATGATAGTTTTTATATCTCAAATTACTGAAAAGTCAGTGTTCCTGATTATAGAGGGAGGGTTGGATGGCTGAATGGTTAGCGTGCGCGCGCTGTATCATAAAGTCTGTCATTGAGTCAACTGGCGTGGTTTCGAATCCCCGATTGTACGTGACAAGGATTAGGGTCACCTGTCCAACCTCGTGGGTTTTCTCCGGGTCCTCCGGTTTCCTCCCACTGCTAAAGACCCCTATGCGCAAGCGAATTATTGAAATAAAATTAAACCATATGTTAGTCCCGAAATGACCTAGTTTGTGTCGAGTGGACATTAAACTCCATTTCTCTCTCTCTCTCTGATTATACAGTTTTTGGACAATACTGTGTCTAATTTTTCACAGCTTAATCTATGCTAAAATATACATGTACTCAAATTTATCATCTGACATTTCACATTTTATTTTTAATAATATATTATGAATTCATTTCATTTACTTTAAATAATATGTCCATTTCATTCACTTTAAATTAATCAATCCATTTCATTCACTTTAAATTAATCAATCCATTTCATTAATATTAAATAAATTATAAATCCATTTCATTAATATTAAATACATTATAAATCCATTTCATTCACATAAAATATTATACATTGATTTCATTCACATAAAATATTATACATTGATTTCATTCACATTAAATATATAATAAATCCATTTAAAATAATGTCTTGCTTTCATGAACCTATCCTTTGAAGATTATAAATCCATTTTAGGTCGATCTTTACTACGACATCGTAAAAGTTGTCAGGATGTGGGTATTTTAATGACAGGAAATTTGCCGCGATGTCGTGTTCTCTCCGTTGATTCTCATTTAGCCAATCGAATGGCGAGCGATATGACCAAGTCACCGAAGTCAGAAAGTGGAAGAAAACCAGATCTACGAGCAAGATATTGGAAGTTTCTATTTGATAATTTACAAAGAGCTGTTGATGCTATTTATGAAACCTGTGAACAAGATGAAAGTGTATTAGAATGCAAGGTATGTAAAAGAGATTTAGGGGGTTCGGTGGCCAAATAGTCAAACGTGTGGTTTAGAACCAATCTGATTAGAATACAGATCTATATTTCGTTTCGTTTTTTTTATATACTTTCGATGGCTTACACTACATGAAGATCTGACCGGTTGTAGCGATATGTCGCGTCAGAGGTCATACAAGCGGCTTTTGACCCTATGACGTCAGACATTTGATTAACCAATCAGCATTGATGAAATGAAATGGGGTTTAACGTCATACTATTCTTCTCCGAACTGGGTTCATAAAGACGGGCATACACCATATAGTGTGCTATAAGGGTAATTTTGCCCTGACAGCGGCACTACGGCCTACTCTTATATCGAATTCCAACTGTCTAGGGATCCTTTACGTACATGCCAATCTAAACAAGGGACCTCGGTTCTTCGTCCCATCCGAATTACTAGACAGCTGTCCTTGTCAGGCCCTCCGTCCTGTATCACTGACAAGGGGGAACCACGCCGAAAAATCTGGATGAACATTCTCGACCAATGCAGGGATCGAACACCTGACCTCCAGTCTAGTGAGCCAGCGTCTTACCCACTTAGCCACCGTGGATCCTAGTCCATAAATAACTCATGAGGTGCCATTTTTATGAGATTGTATAATGACTTGATTGTCTTTCTTTTCTTTTCCCTACTTTGTAGTGGAACGAGTTTCATTTCCTCTTTTTTTAAAGATACATTATGGGAGATTAGATAAAGAGCTGGCAGTTCTCGCTATAATAGTTAAAAACTAAATACTGTAAAGAGAATTTGCTGACAATTTCAGTCAAATTGATCCACTCTGAACCAAGATTTCAGCAATTTAATTTTCTACCTAGTCTCTTTCATCATTACTAAAGTCAGTACGATAAAAAACATAGTCTCGATTATCTATTTCATGATTAAATTATCAATGGAAGTCAAAATGGAAATGGCAACCCAATCCAAGAAACATCGCAGGCTAGCAATGCCATCGAGAGTTGATTATGGTCTGGATCGTACGTAACTAATGTACGAAAATTAATTGGTGGCTAGCTTTTTTTTCGCACGTATACATTGAATGGCCATTTTGCTCAGTAATCCCAGCCAGAATTTGGCTATTTTCTAAATTTGCGTTAAAGGTTAAAATATTTGTTTTAGAACTGAAACACATTAACTATTAGTCAATCCCAACGCTAAAAACATCAACAGAATTGATTGTGTATATCTGAAATAGACCCGACCGACGCACAAAATAGTGCAATATGGCGGCCTCTATGAACAACTGAGTAAGAATGTTGAATATAAAATAGATAAATACCATGTCTGAGAATTTCTCCGGGGGTTTTATCCCTGTATCACATCTAATGTACTGTATTGTTTGTTATGTCGTTGTTTTTATTTATCTAACAGGAAGTGATTATGATGTTAGATCAGAGCGCAAGAGATTTTAGATTATTGATTGAAAGATTGGATATGTTGAGGGCTTTTGAAGAATCGGCAAAAGATGGAGACAGGTATGATATAAGCTCAATTTCTTACGGAAATGAAATGTGGTTTAACGTCTTACTGATCTGCTCCGACTGGGCTAACAAAGTTATCCATACAGTGAGGGGGGTTGGATGGCCAAATGGTTAGCGCGTGCGCATTGTAGGATAAGGTGTTTCATTGAGTCAACTGGCATGGTTTAGATTCCCTGGTTGTATGTAACAAGGAGTAGGGTCGCCTGTCCAACCTCGTGGGTTTTCTCCGATTTCCTCCCACTTCTAATGACCCCTACGCGTATGCGGATTATTGAAATAAAATTGAACCATGTGTTAGTCCCGAAATGACCTATTTTGTGTTGAGTGGATGTTAAACTCCATTTCGCTCTCTCTTTCAAAGATTCATCTGTCACAATAATGTAGTTGGCATGAGATTCTAGATGCCTTAAATTACATTCGGAGACGTTTGAATAGAATCTAATTAAAACACAGATCCTATTTCGTTTCATTTTTTATAGTTATACTTGTCTTTACTACACTAGGATCTGGAAGAGTTGTTATATAACCTGCGTTATGGATGATGTGAGGGATTAGCCAATGAAATGGTCTGTTACGGCGAGCTTTTGGTGTGCTGTGCAGGGAACTGTGGATATCCCACTAGAAACATCAACGTTGATTGATTATTCAATCATAGGGTCAAAAGCCACTCATATGACCTCTGATGTGACCTTCCACTGCAACTGGTCAGATCTTCATGTAGTGTAGGACATCGAAAGTGTAAAAATATGAAACTAAATATAGATCTGTATTTTAATCAGATTGGTTTGAATACAGACTAAGAATAATTATATTGTTTGTATGTATTTTTTTAGACCGACGGCTATTGCATGGGAAGTTCGTAAAATGTCACCAGGCAAGATGGCAAATCATTCCGTTCAGGGTCGATGTTCACCTAGTCCAGCACAGCGTGTTTTAAATTTCTCTAACACCACCTCCTCACAGAATACCTCCATATCACAACCACGAACATCCGACACAACAACACCTAAAGCACAAACGTAAGTATCCGCTTATCTCTGGGAAGGGGTTGAGAGAAGAGAACGACACTCTGTTGGAAGGGGTTGAGAGAGAAGGGAACGACACTCTGTTGGAAGGGGTTGAGAGAGAAGAGAACGACACTCTGTTGGAAGGTGTTGAGGGGGAAGAGAACAGCACTCTGTTGGAAGGGGTTGAGAGAGAAGAGAACGACACTCTGTTGGAAGGGGTGGAGACATGGGGGCAGCACTCTGTAGGAAGGGGTCGAGAGAGAAGGGGACGGCACTCTGTAGGTAGGGGTTGAGAGAGAAGAGAACGGCACTCTGTTGGAAGGGGTGGAAAGATGGGGACAGCACTCTGTTGGAAGGGGTTGAATGAGAAGGTAACAGCACTCAGTGTCATCACAGGGACGGGAACTGAACTGTCGATCAAAAAGTCCCAGCTTCGAATCCAAAACCTGGCCCCAAGTTCACAAAACATTCTTAGACTTAAGTTAAGAATGTTCTCAAAATTGTTTGTCTTATTTTAACTAAAATATAGCCCTTTATAAAACTTTTGTTGTTTTAATGTATCAAATACATCAATAAGAAACTATGTGCAAAGTTTTGTGTTTCTGGATCAAAGATATTTCTTATAAACAGTGATTGAAAGTTGAGTAAATTATTATGTCTGAGAATACTTTGTGAACTTGGGGCCTGGTTCCAACTTGTTTGGGGTAGGACTTGTGTAGCCTATTGTCATGCACATAAGATCCTATGGCAATTTGAAATATGTGGAAATGCTGCTGTTCTAGCAAAATTCACCTCCTTAGCATTGCACGTGACCATTTACTTTGATGGTTAACTCTTTTCCCGTTTGCTCTACACACATTCTGCAGGATAGAGATTTGATGCAGACACTGGCAGGCAGCCGTCCACACCTGTTGGAAATAATGATTCTACCTGACATTTTAAATATTATAAATGTCAATAAAAGACAAATCTCTGGTTTCTATTTTTTTAGAAAGCAGACCCTAGATTGTCTGAGACAAAGCCTGTCTTTCTGAATGGTAAATGCGTGTGCATTGTATCATAAGGTCTGTCATTGAGTCAACTGGTGTGATTTCGATTCCCCGGTTGTACGTAACAAGGAGTAGGGTCGCCTGTCCAACCTTGTGGGTTTTCTCCGGGTCCTCCGGTTTCCTCCCACTTCTTAAGACCCCCTACGCGCAAGCGAATTATTGAAATAAAATTGAACCATATGTTAGTCCCAAAATGACCTACTCTCTCTCTCTCCTGCCATGAAGAAGCCTGGTATTTCTGATAAGTAATGCCGTATAATGACATGTTTGTTTATTTACAGTCCACCACCTAAGATTATAGGAAATAGTTGGGCTGATAAAGTAAAAGGAATAATTTGTCAACCTAAACCAATTCGACCGACTAGTCTAACAGAAATAGATTTTTCTGACACTTCTTCAGATATTGGTACCGGTAAGTACTGTATCAAATGTTAACAGGAAGACATTCTTTTCATAGAATGTCACAATTTGTTGTATTATATCAAAATATATATGTCAATTTACATATACATGGTTCCCCCTTGTCAATGGATGGGACGAAAAACTGAGGTCCCGTGTACACATTGGTTCAATTTTACACTTAAATTTTGTGCAGACTCAAACCGAAAATATCTAGGTTACGAATCTTGAAGGAACTTAAGTCCAGAAAATGAAATGAAATGGGGTTTAACGTCCTACTGTTCTGCTCCGAACTGGGCTAATGAAGACGGGCATACGCCATACAGTGTGCTATGAGGGAAATTTTGCCCGGACAGCGGCACTATGGCCTACTCTTATATCGAATTCCAACTGTCAAGGGATCTTTTACGTGCACACCAATGTGTACACGGGACCTCGGTTTTTCGTCTCATCCGAAGGACTAGACAGCTGTCCTTGTCAGGCCCTCTGTCCTGCATCACTGACAAGGGGGAACCACGCCGGAAAATCAGGGTGAACTTTCTCGGCCAATGCAGGGATCGAACACCCGACCTCCAGGCTAGCGAGCCAGCGTCTTACCCACTTAGCCACGTGATCCCCAAACTTAAGTCCAGTTTCCACTTGTCAAGGGAAGTGCATAAAGGACTGAGTGGGACAAGGAGTAGGGTCGCCTGTCCAACCTTGTGGGTTTTCTCCGGGGGCTCCGGTTTTCTCCCTCTGCTAAAGACCCCTAAGCGCAGCGAATTATTGAAATAAGACGAACCATGTGTTAGTCCCAAAATGACCTAGTTTGTGTCGAGTGGACGTTAAACCCCATTTCTCTCTCTCTTTTTCTTAGCAAGGTTGGTGCCAAAAAAATAAGAATTTATATTTTATTTCATTTTTTTTTTTTGCATCTTTTTAGGTGATACTGAAGGATGGGAAACTGTTCAAAGAGGAAAAGCAAAGGCAAAGAATTCACCATCACAGAAATCCTTAGAAAATCTATCAATTCAGAAATCCAATGAAAGTCTAAAATCAAATCTTTTCCGCTCAAAATCTGTTCCTGACTCCGCTAAAACCACATCCAAGGATAAAAAATCGATTAAAAGTAAAAATGAGGACATAAAAAATTCTGAGAAAAACAAACGTAAGGATAGTGAAAAGGAAAATCTACCTGTAGAAAAAACTGAAAATAAATTAACGGAACCCACAACATCGAGTACGTCAAATTTAACGCCTGCAACACGGAACACTAAGACTTCTAGTCCAAAACCCAAAGATACAAATTCTAAAAATTCAAAAAGTTCCGTTGCAGCAGTTAATTCGACTGCTACAAAGACAAATGTGAAAGAAAAAGACAAAAAACTTTCTGCTAAGGAGGCAAAAAATTCAAAAACTGTGAAAAGAACTGTGACATCTTCACCAGTTAATACAAAGACGGAATCTAAGATACAGAAAGGAAATTCACGCGGGAAGAAGATATGTAAAGATCCGAATGAAATCGTTAATACTATGAATACGTTGAAGGCTGCGTTATCTCAGACATCATTACATAGCGGTCTGGATGATAATGATAATGATGATGTGTTAGCAGAACAGCTTGATACGGTAAGTCACCATTCTCAACAATAGTCTCATTTTCTGTGGTGGGTTGGATGGCTGAATGGTTAGCGCATGCGCGTTGTATCATAAGGGATGTCATTGAGTCAACTGGCGTGGTTTCGATTCCCCAGTTGTACGTGACAAGGAGTAGGGTCGCCTGTCCAACCTCGTGGATTTTCTCTGGGTCCTCTGGTTTCCTCCCACTGCTAAAGACCCCTATGCGCAAGCGAATTATTGAAATAGAATTGGTCCCGTGTCTGATCCCTGCGTTGGCCGAAAAAATTCATCGGGATTTTCCGGCGTGGTTCCCCCTTGCCAGTGGTATAGTTGTTCGGATGGGATGAGGTCCCATGTACACATTGGCATGCACGTAAAAGAACCCTTGCTTGTTGGAGTTCGTTAGAAGAGCAGGCCATAGCACCGCTGTCTAGGCAAAATTTCCCTCATGGTGTATGCCTATCTTCATTAGCCCAGCTGGAGCAGAACAGTCGGACGTTAAACCCCATTTCATATATATATTTATAAACCTATTCCACATCTATGGTCTTTGTGATTAATTTTTGTTTATAATTTGTAATATTCAGGCATTGGCCTGTGCACAAGATGCAGAAGAAAGTCTGTCGTCCCAGCTAGAAGAGGAACAACAGCAGGCCTTGGAATCAGCCATAGAGGAGGAAGAAACATGGTTAAAGGAACTAGCTAGAACGGCTAGTACAGAAATAGAAGTTGATACTGAAAGTGAATTAACAGTACGTCCATTGTATAATTAATTTCCAACCTCATGCTTTTTCTCCCACTGCTAAAGACCCCTACACGCAAGCAAATTATTGAAATAAAATTAAACAATATGTTAGTCCAGAAATGACCTAGTTTGTGTCAAGTAGATGTTATAACGCCATCTCTCTCCCTCTCTCTCTCTCTATCTCTCTACCATGTCTGTAATGGCAACCGTGAAATGTTATTGTTTTTTTTTCAGGAAACTATGACATCTTTAGAATCATCTCAACCAACTTTAGACTGGGAAACAATGGAGGCAGAATATGAAGGTGACGATTTGTTGATTTATTTATTATATTTGTAAAATCATAGCTAAAAAGATTAAATTAGCTGATTGGAATAAATGGGATAAAGAGATAAGAGAATGATTTTGGTTGTGTGTTTGCAATATTTGGGGGGTTGGATGGCTGAATGGTTAGCGTGCGCATGCTGTATCATAAAGTCTGTCATTGAGTCAACTGGCGTGCTTTCGAATCCCTGGTTGTACGTGGCAAGGAGTAGGGTCGCCTGTCCAACCTTGTGGGTTTTCTCCGGGTCCTCCGGTTTCCTCCCATTGCTAAAGACCCCTACGCGCAAGCGAATTATTGAAATAAAATTAAAACCATATGTTAGTCCCGAAATGACCTAGTTTGTGTCGAGTGGACGTTAAACCCCTTCTCTCTCTCTCTCTCTTTGCAATATATATTTATATAAGGGTGAAATTTTTCGATTTAAAGATTTGACAGAATAATCCAGCGTATTATCAATCTGATTAAAAGACAGATCTATATTTCATTTCGTTTATTTATACCTTCGCTGGCCTACACTACATGAAGATCTGACCAGTTGTAGTGGAAGGTTGTGTCAGAGTTCATACAGACAGCTTTTGACCCTATGACATCAGACATTTGATTGATCAATCTGCGTTGACGTTTCTATTGGTTTGCCCACAGTTCCATGCACAGCACGTCAAGAACTCGCCGTAACAGACCACTTCATTGGCTAATCCCCGACATCAACCAGAACATGGGTTATAACACAACTCTTCCAGGTCCTAGTGTAGTAAAAACAAGTAAAACAAAATTTTGAAGTATAAAAAAACGAAACGAAATAGGGTCTGTGTTTTAATTGTGGACTGCTTGGACAACTTAGCTGCTGTAGGTGTATGTTTCGTTGTCTTTCAATCTAACTAATTCTGTAAAAAGAATTATAGATTTTATTTTTATTGACAATATTTTTTATTTGTGTAGAAAAAGGAAATAGTCGATCATGGAGTGAAATGGTTGAAGAAGCTGAAGAAAGAACCCCAGGTCACGGTGTACATATGCATGAAAAACTCTCATCACCTTCTAGAAAAAGGTAATTATACCTCGTCACCTCAAACCTTGTACGGCTCACAGAACTTTTGTGTTTAAAGACTCTTGTGTCAATTGCATTTTTCGGAACATTTCACAGCTTAAGGATACATTATATAAGATTTAGTTAAAAAGCTGTTCGTTCTTGCTCTAATAGTTCAAAAATAGATAATTCAAAATGAATATGTTGAAAATTTCATTCAAATTACTTTATTTTGACCAAAGTTACCAATGGTTGTATGCATTGATCATAACCACAATACTGGTCATTCAAGTCTTGGCCTTGCTTCTCCATTTTTGAATTAAATCATTAAATGGCCGAACCGTTCTGATCTACTTAAAATCGAGAGTTGATTATGATCTTGTATAATTGATAATTTATATAACATTTAAGACCCAAAGAAATGAAATGGAATGAAATATGCCTCATGATTATTAAATTGATTATGTAATATTTAATTAATCACACATTATGCAAGAGCTAAATCTGCCTATTGCAGGTCTTTCTTTTGGCCTGAAATGTTATATAAATTATTAACTAGACATTAACTAACTTATCTAGACTATAATCAACTCTCGATGCCATCTTACGTGTCGGATTTTCACTGGATTTGAATCTGATCTGTTGCTCAACGCCCATTGATGATTAAATCAAAAAATGAATAATCGAGACTATGTTTTTTATCGTACCGACTTTAGTAATGATGACTGAGGCTAGGTCGAAAAATCAATCGCTAATATCTTGTTAAACCCAATTTCTCTCTCTCATTCGGATGGGCTGCAAAAAAGTTCTTATGGGTATGTTGGTGTGCACGTAAAAGAACCCTTTGTAGTAACACAGTGTGTTGCAGGCCAATCTATTTTCATTAGCCCGGTTGGTGCGGAAACGTTTCTATTTCATTTCACTACATATTATGTAAATAAGACTTTAATGGGTTAAATGACTGGGTTACTGGCCTTTATTTTATTTTAAATGTTGCCTTGTTATTCAGGTCCCCAGCAGAATCTCGAAGACGTCATGAAGAGAAGCAAGCCAAGGCTCAAGAACTACGCGAAAAGTTGATGCAAGAGAAAGCTGAAAGACTGAGAGAATTGTCTAAAAAGGTCATTTCATAACATTTCATATTATTAGTCTAGATATTTAAAAATGATTGATGAATCAAATGATAAAGGATCTTTTAACCTGAAACGTTATAAAGATGAATACATCACCTCTCATTTCAACTTAAAGTCTATTTTTGTACTGCTGTCATGCAGGGATTTTCAAATATCTAATTGCCAACACCCTACTGAGCAGAGATAAGCAATTTGATCTGTTAATACTTTGGCTCTAATAGAGCAAGTGTGATGAAACTTCGTGAATAAGTTCATGTGAAAAGTAATTTGATTGGTTGATGCTGTATGAAAAGATTAATGTCATAAAGTAATGAAATGTGATCTGTTTATTTTGGAAATAAGGCAGCAGGGGTCAAGTCTCACTGTTGACTTATTTTGTAATTGTTATTTATTTATTTTTTATGTTTTTAGGTAGAAGAAGTTCGAGCATGGAAGGAAGAATTAATGAAGCAGAGGAAAGACACGATGGAACGAAAACTACAACGAGCGGAGGAGAAACGACAGTGTCAGTTACGTTTAAAATCAAAGAAAGCACATGACGAAGAAGCGAAGGTATCGTAAATTTATATAAGCTGATATCAACTCCACAGCTGCGCACTTACTTTTATCAATTTTTGTTTTTGCTTTTTTTATTTTCTAAGCTTTGGCTGTAAACTGAAAGTTACGTAAAGCATACACTAAATAAATGCAACATTATGTAGGGCATACTATGATGTTAACGGAATATTACGTAGGGCATACTCTAAATGATCGTAACATTACGTACGGCATACTCCAAATAATCGCAACATTACGTAGGGGATACTCCAAATAATCGTAACATTACGTACGGCATACTCCAAATAATCGCAACATTACGTAGGAGATACTCCAAATAATCGCAACATTACGTAGGGCATACTCCAAATAATCGCAACATTATGTAGGGCATACTATGATGTTAACGGAATGTTACATAGAGTCTTCTATGGAATATTACTTATACCGTGTTGCTAACGGAACATTGTAGCCCTAAAAAATTCTTGAATTTTGATCGGTCGAAAAGTAGTGTCAAATGATTATAACAGTCTACAAAATTTCATAAGGTGCCTCACTGCGAATGAATATATCCTTGGCACTAGAATGTCTTCGCAGCAGCAAATTGTTTTCCAGAAAATCTTTATGAAATCTGACTTGCATGTGATCCACAATAAAATTCATCCATTGACACATTGAATCACCTGTCTAAAACATATAAAAACTAAATGAATGTATTGGAAAGACGATAAGTAAATTTTATTTCAATGCTGGTCTGACAATGGTTGCAATGACCATTCAGTCATTGGTCAAATTCTAAAATGTTCTGAAAGTAAATAAAATCACTACACTGAAGTGTTACTAATTGATGGTGACATATAACACTGACTGATATAATAGGATTCTGGAGAATTCACTTGGTAATGTAAAAACCACAACGTTGAAATGACAAAGTTGACGGTGCTCAAACCTGTATACCAATCGTATCAGTACGGTAAATATGATATATCTAAATGATCAATGTATGGAAACAATATGCAATTTAATTCAAACTTAATAATTATTGGAGTTCAAAATCATGCCAGGGGGAAAGCTACCAGAAAAAAATGTTCTTTAAATTTTAAAGCTATTGAATTGAAAATGGTACAAGTAGTTGGAAAGGAAAAGTAGCATTAAAAAAAAAGAAAAGTTGTTGCCTGGCTAGCACATTTTTTGAGTGGGAAAAGTATGAAAAACGTAGGTACACTATATCTCTGTAACTAAATAAGATATCTTCACCAAATTTGCAGGATATATAAACAAATATCTACCCCAGAATCAGACAAAAAGCAAACTGAATTATCATTAATATTTCAAAAGATTGTGCTGAGGCAAATGTTTTAAACACCATTTTCCAAGAAACTTTAAAAATTATAGAGAAAAGCTCTCTGTCTGGTTTTAGGGCTTTCATTAAAGAATAAGCCCTCTAAAAATGAGACATTAATCTTTATTACTGCCAGAAATATGGTGTACCTACATTTTCCCCAAAAATATGTTACCCTGGAAACAACTTTTTTTTAATGTTAGATTTCCCTTGTTTATTACATTTCCTAACTACTTGTAACATTTTCAATTCAATAGCTTTAAAATTTACAGAACAATTTTTATGTAGCCTCACCCCGAATACATTAAGTGTAGTTTAATGGTCGAGTGCGAGACATTAAGTAATATATTGATATCGTACAGTGCTATATCTATATATTACACAATGTCTGGTACGAGACCATTAAACAACTTAAAATATAGACACTATCCAGCATGTGCATTTCAATGAAATACGTCACGCGGGTCCAGTATTTCAACTAGTATAGATAATTTACGCTTGGCACATTGCCCATACCATTATTTCAAATAATGGTACACCAACATCAAAGGATGACGTCACATCTGTATTTTAAAACCCTTTACGATTTCTGTCCCGATTACCACAGAGTGACCAACTATTTCACACTGACCAATCGCTAAGTGAAGAAATTAGAACGAGAGTAGCATATTATCTTATTACGTTATAAATGTTTTCTCTTTTTTTTCTGGTTATCTTAAAATCTGAAAAAGGACCGAAGAAAAGTATTTCTAGAACAATGTTAAAACTATTGAGATACCGTACAACATAGATCAGCACCTCCTGTCCATTTGATATCACCTTCTAATCACCTTCTCACCTCACCTGTCTTCTCTTCTTTACTTGTGGACAATTTATTTATGACAGGAATCATGACCACTACTTGACGAAGTTCGCAGGAAACTACAGGGCTATTCTAGATGGAGTCAAACTTCTTACATATCCCATCAGTTGAATAAAACACAGAAGAAAAAAAAATACACTACCTGAAATCACTCAAGTGGTGAAGATTTAGGCTGACCTTAAAGATATCTTTGTTTCACCAACAAATTCGAAGTGCTAATTCGACAGCTTGATCTTTTTCCAGGTGGAAACATTCGTCTTCTTTGCTTGTGGGCACACAAATCAATCGGTACTGATGACATCAGGATTTTTAGTGACGCACAACTTAAACATGGTTTGCCACGAAATTTCTTTCAACAAGTTTCTAACGATCGTGCTGGTTGTGCCTTCATGTTACTTGAAAACAGATATTGAAAATACCGATGTCATTATTATAACGATGCTCCACAAGAGTTCAGGGAGATCATTTTATGAGAATGGTCACGCTTTTTTCTGCAACCATTTTGTTGAGAAGAGACACCTATGACGCTTTCATGTTGATTAACCAGTTTCAGTAATGAATCAAACCATAGCAATAGTAAAGGGAAATAACTCTTGTGATATATTTCGAGTTGACAAACAAAATAAAATAAAAAGATCACGGAAAAGTGCAATAATATACTGTAAGTCGGGGGTGGTGTTAGCTGGGCGGTCGGGTTAGGCGAAACAGAGATATTTTTAAGGCCAGCCTTATAGACAGCAATGATCAGTGTTGGATTTGCCTATAGGTTTGGCAGACTGAAGTCTACGGCCACAAGATCTAGGATCTGCCTGTAGCCTTGGCAGACTAAAGCCAAGGACCACATGATGTAGGATTTACCTATAGGCTTGACTGATAGAAGCCAAGGACCGCATGGTCTGGGATCTACCTACAGCAGGCTTGGCAGACTGAAGCCTAGGCCCACAAGATGTAGGATTTACCTAGGTTTGGCAGACTGAAACCGAGGGCCTAAAAAATCTAAGGAGTTTCCGGCCAAGGTGTATACTATATTGGACACTGTCATAAGCTTTTCTTACACACACTGTAGTCTTAAAGGGACAATAACACTCTTGCTGGCTTGACAGCTCCAGTAAATAAATATTAGCCTTATTCTTGTATTAGATGTTTAAGTTTCCTACCTGTTGTGTAAATTATCCATTACATCCTATTTTACTTGTCCAGAGGGTTTAAAAATATTTTTAAATCCAAGTCAAATTTGAAAAGGTTTACGTTAGGCTTTTCAAATCATTTAGTTGAATTTTTCCAATTTTTTAAATTAGGTATGTTAAGATGAAATTTGTATCATTTAATTGGAATACTGTAAAATAGTACAATTTGTTGACCAGAATAAAGATTGGGACATATTATTCTGTTACAACAAGAGTGGTATTGGGCCTTTAAACATCCCTCATCATCCTGGCTTACATCTTCCTCTAGTCGTGAGAATTGGGTTTTTTGAAGGAGTCTCATAATTGGAGTTCCCGAGAGCCTCTCTTCATCTAACTCATCCGTCGTCATCCATGACTTTGCTCAATTGTCGTATTTAAAACACGTAAGGGTGGGGGGGTGGAAGGGGTCTAATTAGTAGAATAGCCTGGGGCTTCTCTTCATCAAGATTCATCACTGACAATGATAGATCCTTAAAAAAATATCTGATTCATACTTCCGTGGGAAAAGCTTAAAAATGACGAACAATTCTGTTCTTTTGTTTTTAGGCGAATGAAATAGCTTTCATCAACTCCCTAGAAGCTCAGAATAAACGACATGATATTCTCTCGAAACATCAGGAATCCGAGGCACGACTTAAAGAACAGGCTGTAGGTTTTATTTTCAATTTTAATTTTAAAGATGCATTATATAAGACAAAGAGCTGAATCTGCCTGTTGCTAGTCGTTATTTTGACTTCAAATGTTATATAAATTACGATTTAGACTTTTATTCAAATGACAAGCCTATAATCAACTCTCTAGGCTATCGGATGGCCGAGACTTAAATGGATTAGAACACCTGTGGAGTTTCAAAATTTAACGATTAAAATGGATAATTGAGACTTGGTTTCAGTTTTCAAGTACCGATACTATAAACAATCTACACTAAATCTTGTCAAAACTTCAAATTCTCATATCTTTGGTCAGAATAAAGTAATCTGAATGAAATTTTCGATATATTCATTTTTCATTATCTATTTTTTAATTAGTATAGCAAGAACAGCCAGCTCTATATCTAAATCTTATATAATGTATCTTTAAGTTTGGTGATCCACACGTGTCAATTTACATCCAATCCGTCCGGACAACAGAACGGGTTGGGATAAAGCATTGCGCTATGGATGCTAGATCTGTTGATAATTTGGTTTGGGTTAAGATGCGTACCTGATAGCCTAATAGTCTTTTCCCAGCTAGTTGTGCTATTTTCTCCCAAGTGGAACGGCTGGCAAGCAAGTTAATCAACTGAAGAATTGCTGGATTAGTCTCAAAATGACGTGCCATTTGATTAAAAGGAATATGATTGGAGAATTCCAGCTGATAGTCCATACTTACATTTTAGCTGTCTGTTTCCTACGCGAAGAGATTAAGAGCAGGATCTAGAAACGGTGTTGATTCAATGCGATAAAATGTATAGGAAATATCACCTCTCCCAGAGACATATATAGAGAGAGGGACTTGCTAACAAAATGGGCCTTTATTAAAATCTAATCTTAATGCTATTCAACTACACATTGTCCTCTCTGATTTACTGCATCTTATGTAAAACTATCATTCCGTTCGTTTTTCACTGAACACTCATTATTTTATTCCTTCGTTTGTTCTAATGTTGATTTACTAAACTCACAGACTAGGTAACGAACTAGCGACCATGGCCGCAGTTAGACAGACTCTCTCTCTATATATAACTCTTAAATTTGATATAATTCTAAAAGGAAATTATAGAGATATTTTCTCGACCAACACCAGGATCGAACCCGGGACCTCCTGCTTAGTGAACAAGTGCCGTATTCACTGAGCCACAAGTTTAATCTTCATATAAAACTAAAGCATGATGCTTTTATTATTTAGTTTTTCTTGTATGTGAAATTTACGAACAATTTAGCTTTTTTTATTTTGCCTAGCTACATTATTATTTGACTTCGAAAAATTTAAATCGTCTATTTTGTGAAAATGCTAGAAATTAATCCTGTTTTTTTTTACAATAATTATTTGAACCAATAGGAAGAAAGAGTGAGGAAAATGGAGGAGAAACAAGCCAAGGAGGCGGCTGTGGAAGAAAGACGTCGCGCCTTGGAAGCTGATCGAAAAGCTAAACTGGTGGAGATGCAGGAACGTAGAAAGAAGCGTGATGCAAGAATTGAACATGAACGAGAGGAAAGAGAGAAGGAGAGACACGAAGCCTTAAAGGCTAAAGAAAGGTAGGAAATGTAGGAAATAATAATTGCAATAAAATGCAAAAGACCAACGCCTCGTCATGTATCGAGATTCCAATGCTGACTGAGAAAGGTTGTTGGGATTTTGCAATCGGCTTTTCCCCTTGTCAAAGGTGCACGACGAATGTCCAATGTTTACCTTTGTCCGCATATTAAGAACTACTTTAAACCCCACTAAAGGGACTTCGGTAAGATTAGATAAAGAGCTGACAGTTCTCGCTATAATAGTTTAAAAAATAGATAACGTAAAAAGAGAATATGCTGAAAATTTCAGTCAAATTACTTCACTCTGAACCAAGAAATCCTCATTTTAATAACACTGTAGCCTTGATTGTCATTGTTACCATTGTTATGATAATAAAGTCTCGATTATCCATTTTTACGGTTAATCATTGAACAGCCATTGAATTGCAGATCGGATTCAGATCTGTTTAAAATCGTACGGCATCGAGAGTTGCTTACATGTATGATCTTGTCATGTTAATTACTGTCTAATTAATAATTTATATAACATTTAAGGCCTAATAATTTATATAACATTTAAGGCCTAATAATTTATATAACATTTCGTGCCTAAAGAAAGACCTGCAATAGGTAGATTTACCTCTTACATAATGTATGTTTAAGTTGACCCCCTGTTATTAAAGTAACTTTGCTTCTAATTGAGGTATCCTCCGTGTCAGCGATGCATGCATACCCTTGGCAAAACATTATGTACCTTACCTTACATTATGTAAAAATTAGATAAAGAGATGACTGTTCTTACTATAAAATTTCCTAAATAGATAATGAAAAGAGAATATCGAAGAACACTGTAGTCTCGATTGTCAAAGCTACCGTTGTTACAGTAATAAACAAAGTTTCGATTGAATGTTTATTATGATTATTACAGAGACCAGAAAGAAAGACTGGCTGCATTAAACGCTCAGCAAGAGGCTCATATACAAGAATTACAGAAAAAGATACAACAAAAGGTTTGAATTTTATTCTGATACTCAAATTATTTTTAACGTGCTTGCCACAGGTGCGGTGCTGATGTTAGGAATTTTGATATCAGTGAATTGATTAATATGTTAAGGAGACAAAAAAATGATATAATGCCTTTCATTTTAGTTCAAATTGAATAGCAAATACCAAAAAAATCAATTCAAGTAGCCTTGAATTCGAAATTTCTTCTGTCTACATTAGCCCAGTTAGTGCAGATCTGATCAAAACACAGATCCTATTTCGTTTCGATTTATATAGTTCAAAATTTAATTTTACTTGTCTTTACTACACTAGGATCTGGAAGAGTTGTTATATTACCGGCGGTTTGGTTGAAGTGAGGGATAATCCAATGAAACGGTCTGTTACGGCGACTTCTTGATGTGCCATGCACAGAACTGTGGGTAAACCACTAGAAACATCAACTCTGATCGATTAATCAATGTCTAACGTCATAGGGTGAAAAGCTGCACTTACGACCGCTGACATGACCTTTGAGTACAACCAGTCAGATATTCATGTAGTGGAGGCCATCGAAAGTATATAAAAAAAAAAGAGTATAGATCTGTATTATAATCAGATTGCCTTAATTTGTGTGAAGCCTACTTTCTATTTCTATTTTTATTATTAACAGCAAGATGAGAGTAGTCAACGTCATGAAGAAGTTTTACAACAGATTCGAGAGAAAGCGTTTGAAATGAGTATTTATAAACATTCTACCGAGGATCATAACGACGCCCCACAACTTACACTTTATGACAAGAAGAAACTCTGTACTATATGTAATACCCTGGTACGTTCAATTAACTCATTTAATATTCATATCTCATTTAAATATTCATAAGTTCTATTATCTCTATTAAATATTCATAAGTTCTATTAACTCATTTAGATATTCACAAGTTTTATTAACTGTTCTCTTATCTTTATTAAATACTCATAAGTTCAATTAACTCATAAGTTCCGTTATCTTATTTAAATATTCATGAGGTTTTTTTTCTTATCTAAAATGAATATTAATAAGTTCTATTAACTCATTTGAATATTCATTAGTTTAGATTATTCATTTAAAATGGCTGATATTTATTTTTAGATCCCGTCTGAAGTATATTTATTGAGTCATCTACGTGGAAAGAAACATCAACAAGCCTTAAAAGATAATAACGCAGGTCAAGACATGTCCAATCAGGAGATTGTAAGTTTTATTTATTTAACCTATTTTAGATGGGGGGGGGGGGGTGGCCGAATGGTTAGCATGTGCGCGTTTTATCATAAGGTCTGTTATTGAGTCAACTGGCATGGTTTCAATTCCCTGGTTGTACATGACAAGGAGTAGGGTCGCCTGTCCAACCTCATGGGTTTTTTCTCCAGGTCCTCCGGTTTCCTCCCACTGCTAAAGACACATACACGCAAGCGAATTATTGAAATAAATTAAATAAAATTGAACCATGTGTTAGTCCCGAAATGACCTACTTTGTGTCAAGTGGATGTTAAATCCCATTTTTCCTATCTCTCTCACTTACTGTTTACTACCACTAAAAGCCCAGAATTACACATCTATAACTATTTAAAATGTTTATTTTTTTTATGTTTTGTAGGAGAATTTTAATTTGAAGAATATAGTCGATGTACCTGAAAACAGTACTCATCCTCAACTAGTCACGGAGAAAGAACGACTAAAGTCTATGAAGAAACGCTACAAGAAATTACGTGTTAGGATGATCTCCAGGTAAGACTATTAAGACACCTGTTTATAAAGTCGTTGATAGAAGTTCTAGATAAATATCTAAAAAAATATTCTGTACGTAAATAGTGTAAAAGTACGTAATACCTAGGGATCGCAATTTTTTTCCAATTTAGATGAAACTTTAAATGTATGTTTATATCTCAAAGATTTCAGTTCCTTTCGATATTTGCACATTTCAGACGATAACTTCCTGGATTGTGGCCCCTGATTGTACGAAAAATCAGGGGTTTTTTTTTTTAGCTTGTTCTCTATTCATCTGTTGCAAAATGTGGGCATAAAAGCATTCTTTTTAGATGATGTGTTAACGGATGTTTTGGGTCTTTTTTGGTTTTAAACTAAGTCCATAGCCATGTTTGAAAATTTCTGTCCATTTTTACCGCAAGCTGTCATGACCAGCAGATGTGGCACTAAGGGATTCAAAATTCGTAAAATAATGAAATACATTCCAATCCCTATTTGTTTATTTTGTTGTTCCCGTTATATTGTTCACACTATATTAATACATGGTGACGCTAGGTTCAAATTCCATAAGAGACAAACTTTTATTCAAAATTTTAATTGTATATATTTATCATATATTGCGTTTTAAATATTTATATATGTAAAGGAATTGATATATCTATTTTTAATTATATTTTCTGTGATATTTGTTTTTATTTACATATATGAATTAATCCCTGTGATATTGTTTTAATTTGTCTCGTTAAATTCACCATATGTTTGGCGCAATATAGCCTGGTTGGAGCTGATGTGCCATTAAACAACATTTCATTTCATTTCCATAATATTGTAGTTTGCAATGGATTAAAAATCCCACAAGTAATGAAATACATTGTAGTCCTAATTTTTCCGCTTTGTTGTTCCTGTGTTAACGTTCACAATATTGTAGTTTGATAGGGTTTAACAGGGTGTTGGATGGCCGATTGGTTTGCGCATGCATGTTTCATAAGGTCTGTCATTGAGTCAACTGGCGTGGTTTCCATTCCCCAGTTGTACGTGACAAGGAGTAGGGTCGCTTGTCCAACCTCGTGGGTTTTCTCCGGGACCTCCGGTTTCCTCCCACTGCTAAAGACCCCTACGCACAAGCGAATTATTGAAATAAATTTGAATCATGTTGGTCCCGAAATGACCTAGTTTGTATCAAGTGGACTTTAAACCTCTCTCTCTCTCTCTCTCTGATAGGGTTTAACAATAGTTGTGTATCTAATTGATACATGATCAGTGGATATTTGGATAAACCCAATACTGTTATATTTATTTATTTTTTATTTTTTTAACAGAGGTGTGGAATATGAAAATGCGTTGTCTAATAAAATACAGGCTCAAGATTCAACTCATAAAGCCAAGTAAGTGTTTTCAATAATAACTTTCACAGTTACAATATCTTGTGTCCGTTCTCAGGTTACCGTTATTATCTGTTAGTGTCATACTGTATGGACGACTGTACAGATGACTTGAACGCTGTGGGTATATGTTCCCTGGCATGACACTTAAAGATACGTTCCCAGAAAAGTATTTATCGAGTGGTTATTTTCAATAAAAGTATGGCAATTTTGGTATATATGGAAAGTAGAAATATCCAATCTTACTAGACAAATACTGGATTCCCTGAAAAACACTCATGGAGCGAATACAGGACAAAAATGTAAGGGTTTCCCTAATCGACAGCCCGACAATTAGGAGTACCTGCACGCGTGACATCAAAGGTTGCACGCGGAGATTGAGCGCTTAATGTACATCTTGATACAATTTATGAAGAGTACAACACTTTCTGAGATAAAAATCACGGAAAAAGACGCGGGCAGTGGATAATTCGAGAATTTAATTAGGCTTCGATATTTGTAATAAATAGTCTGATTAAAGACAACATCGTCTTGTGTGTGCAATAAATTATCCTCCGACTTCGCACCCGTTGCTAGGCACCGAGAGAGGTAAGTCATGTGACACAAACATGACCTCTTTTGATCGATTTGTTATAGTCAGGTTATTCCCTGATAATTGCAATGTTTTGAAGTGGATTTGAAGCGAAATTATGATAAATTAATAGGTTGAATATGTTTTAGTCCAAATATATCATCAAATCACCCAGTTTGTATCCAGGAATGTATCTTTAATATGGCTTCCTTTAGGTTTATTGTTAGATTGAGCCATTGTTTTAGAGGTGTTTGTCAATTCACGGTAATGAAGACTGAAGCAGATAGAAAATTTTGTTGTTGTTTCTGCTCGGCCATATTTTCTGCATAATCTTCATATTTTGGTCCTTTTTATTTTATTTTTTTTTAAGTATGGTTTGTTGAGCACCTGAACAATGGCCATGGGAAATTTCTACTCATACAAATTATTATATATACTTATCTCACTTGTGCAAGTCAATATTTTGGCCAGTAGAGCCACTTACTGTCCATGAGTTTGCCCAGATTCTTATTATTGACGGGGGTCACGGTGGCTAAGTGGGTAAGACGCTGGCTCGCTAGCCTGGAGGTCGGCTGTTTGATCTGTGCATTGACAGTGATGCAGGACGGAGGGTCTGACAAGTACAGATGTCTAGTCGTTCGGATGGTACGAAAAACCGAGGTCCCACGTACACATTGCCGTGCACGTAAAAGATCCCTTGACAGTTCGAAGTCGATATAATAGTAGACCGTAGTGCTGTCTTCATTAGCCCAGTTCGGAGCAGAATAGTAGGACGTTAAACCCCATTTCATTTCATTTATTATTGACATTTTTATAGCACAAAACTTCATGATTGGTACCTATGTTGTGTCTTACGAAATAAAATAAACAAATGATAATATATTGAATGTTTTATAGGATACAGAAGTTAGTGAAAGATATTAGTAAGTTTATCCAGACATCGGATACAGGTCCATGGCAACAGAATAAAGTATCAGCTATAGATCGAGCTGTTGGTGAACTCGGGAGATTACTTGAGAAAAAGGTACGTTGACATATCTCAAAATTAAGAAAATAAGGTGGTCGAGCCTATTGATAGGCCAGATGGGAAGATCAGAATGAGATGGTCGAGTTGGGCTGGTCGGAATAAGATGGTCGAGTTGGGGAAGTCACTATTTCCCAGTCTTTTCAGAAGACATATTGACCAATCAGATGTTAACAATATGCAATAATTATATTTACTTTTGAGCACGTGGAAATCAAGCTTTAGGGAGATAGTTAGAAATCAAATTATCAGAGTTTCAGATAGAAGAGGTTTCCGTATGTAAATGGACCTCCCTGTCAAGTCTAACAATAGTCTCTCCCAAATAAAACAATTAAAGTATGTTGTGATATCTAAAGTTGTTTATGTTGAATACGAGACAGGGCCAGGATTATGTTAAAACTCCTAATAAGTGAGTTATTTCTGCCAGTTATTGTTGAGTAACTATATCTCTGTCTGTCAGTTCTCCCCTTTGTAGTACACACATATCCATAGAAGTAAAAATTAACAAAGAAATGTCGCATGACATTTAATGTCCTGCTTTTCTGCTCCGAGTCCGACTGAGCTAAGACCCATTGGGGGTGTGGGGTCTGGGGAATGTCTCAACATTACTAAAGTACAATGTTTACGCAACTTTAAAACAAATTTCAGTCATAATGAACTTTTTATTTAATGCCAGTGAGAAAACCTAATTCTATCAATTCAAAATATTATATTTTAGGTTCCGGCTGATTTGAATAATTTCCGTTTTCTGGGTTGTATGAATCATCTGTCCAAGATTTTATCAACAATCGATGATGCAACAGCCACGCTACCCTGTGTTGTACCCCCTAGGTAAGTTAAAATAAAATAACAATCTACGTTACCCTGTGTTGTACCCCTAGGTAAGTTAAAATAAAATAATAATCCACACTACCCTGCGTTGTACCCCTAGGTAAGTTAAGATAAAATAATAATTCACGTTACCCTGTGTTGTACCCCCTAGGTAAGTTAAAATAAAATAATAATCCACGTTACCCTGTGTTGTACCCCCTAGGTAAGTTAAAATAAAATAATAATCCACGTTACCCTGTGTTGTACCCCAAGGTAAGTTAAAATAAAATAATAATCCACGCTACCCTGCGTTGTACCCCTAGGTAAGTTAAAATAAAATAACAATCCACGCTACCCTGTGTTGTACCCCCTAGGTAAGTTAAAATAGAATAATTTCTGTGTTAGGTTGTAGTGCCAGATTGAGAGAGGTCTGACACGGACATGTTACCCTGCGTTGTACCCCCTAGGTAAGTTAAAATGAAATGAATTCCGTGCCAGATTTAGTGAGACCTGACATGTAAGAAAGATTTATAACAATCTGATTAAAATATAGATCTATATTTCGCTTTGTTTTTATTTTATACTATCGATGGCCTCTACTACATGAAGATTTGACCGGTTGTAGTGGAAGGTCACGTCAGAGGTCATACGAGCAGCTTTTGACCCTATGACGTCAGACATTGATTAATCAACCAGCATTGATGTTTCTAGTGGTTTACCCACAGTTCCGTGCATCGCATGCCAAGAACTCGCCGTAACAGACCGTTTCAGTGGGTAATCCCTCACACCATCCAGAACACGTCAATGATAACAGCACTTCCAGATCCTAGTGTAGTAAAGACAAGTAAAACGAAATTTTGAACTATAAATTAACCAGAACGCGACTTATACAACAGTAAAACGAAATTTTGAACTATAAAAAACGAAACGAAATAGGATCTGTGTTTTAATCAGATTGGGTTTATGAGGAATATGGTATTTATTTGTTTATATATATATACTATTCAAAAAAAGTAGGGGATATTTGATTTTGGGTGCATAATAAAAAAATATGCAAATGACTACGAAAAAAGTCACTATAGAACCTAACAGAAGAAACATTTCCAGTTACATGTGACGCCCAAACGCACCAATAGCTACCGCATGGAATGCAGGTGATGCTTGGGATCATCAGGGGGTCCAACCCAAGATTTGCACGACTCTGACTTTGAATGTTACAGTCATTGTGGCATTGAATTCCAGGGTGGAAACATCAGTTGAATTGTTTTAGTGACCAGAAAACAAATTTTGATATGCGTCGGCTTACCCAAAATGAAAGGTTACGTGCCCTTGGCATGCTACAGATCGGCACAACACAGGCGGTTGTGGCGCTGACGATGAATGTTTCTCAGTCTGTCATAAGCAGGCTATGGTCCAGATACCGTGATACACAATCTGTACAGGACAGACCACGCTCAGGTCGACCAGGGGCGACAACTCAAGCCCAGGATCGATTTATCCGTACCTTGGCCTTGAGAAATCGTGTCATCACAGCAAATCAGATCAGCGCTCGTCTTCAAACAGACACTGGTGTGAGAGTGAGTGGCCAGACGATTCGGAATCGACTGCAAAGGGGTCACCTTCGCGCCCGACGTCCTCGCGTGATCCCTTGTTTGAGAGATCATCACATTCAGGCAAGACGTCGTTGGTGTGGGGATCGTCAACACTGGGATAATCGACGCTGGAGCAATGTGATGTTTTCAGATGAGTCAAGGTTCACTGTTGATTTTTTGGACAGACGTAGGAGGGTGTGGCGTCGTCGAAACGAGCGCTTCCAAGACGTTAACGTCATCAGACATGATCGATTTGGGGGTGGTTCTGTTATGGTGTGGGGAGGCATCACTGTTGCTGGAAGAACGGCTTTACATGTTGTTGCAGGGCGTGTTACAGGCCAGTACTACCGGGACAACATCTTGGCAGTCCATGTTGTGCCGTTCGCACGACGTCATGGCCGCCGTTTCATCTTCCAGGATGACAACGCAAGATGTCACAGGGCCAGGATCGTTACAGGTTACCTCCAACAACAGAACATCACCACATTACCTTGGCCAGCACTGAGTCCCGACCTCTCCCCCATCGAGCATGTCTGGGACATGCTTGGACAGAGGTTACGTCAACGTCAACAACGTCCTGCCAATGTCCAAGAACTTGCTGCTGCGTTGCAACAGGAATGGGACAATCTGGACCAAAATGACCTTAGACGTCTCATTAGGAGTATGCCACGTCGGATCAATGCTTGTTTGGCAAACAGAGGAGGATTTACCCGTTACTGACTTGGTTGTGATGCTGTGGTAACTTTGCTGTTTGACCCCGGGTATCATTTTACCCTTATAATGGTCAGTCTGTGCCTTACTTAGTCTAACGATCATTTGGAATAAATCGATGAATGTGAACTTCATTTCATTTTGTCATTTGTTTCTTCGTCAGTTTCATTAGGTGACTTTAATAACACTTAAAAATCATATATCCCCTACTTTTTTTGAATAGTATATTACAGATTATTAAGTCATGCGTGTGAGGTATATCATATTTATATATTACAGGTTGTTAAGTCATGCTTGTGAGGTATATCGTATTTATATATTACAGATTATTAAGTCATGCGTGTGAAGTATATCGTATAGCTTGTAAAGGAAGTTATGAAAACAGTCATTATATGTTATTTAGTAATAAAATGGGTTTACTGGTTGATCATCTGATACATAGATTATCTGTAAGTATTCTTTTATACATTCAGTCAACATTTAGACAGAACTTTATACTTTTAGTCAACATTTAGAGAGAACTTTTATACTTTAGTCAACACTTAGAGAGAACTTTTATACTTTAAGTTCAACATTACGAGAGAACTTTTTTACTTTGAGTCAACATTAAGATAGAACTTTTATACTTTGAGTCAACATTAAGATAGAACTTTTATACTTTGAGTCAACATTAAGATAGAACTTTTATACTTTGAGTCAACATTAAGATAGAACTTTTATACTTTGAGTCAACATTAAGATAGAACTTTTATACTTTGAGTCAACATTAAGAGAGAACTTTTATAAATGGCAGCCATCCTCCCGTGTGGTTTGATAGTCGTGTGGTCGAACATGTACGTTAGACCATAAGGTCTGTCCCACACTTGTATGTGACAATGGGGGGTTGGATGTCTGAGTGGTTAGCGCGTGCGCGTTGTATCATAAGGTCTGTCATTGAGTCAACTCGCGTGGTTTCGATTCTCTGGTTGTACGTGACAAGGAGTAGGGTCGCCTATCCAACCTCGTGGGTTTTCGCGGAGTCTGTGGTTTCCTCCTACTGCTAAAGACCCCCTACGCCCAATCGAATTATTGAAATAAAATTGAAGCATATGTTAGTCCCGAAATGACCTGGTTTGTGTTGAGTGGACGTTAATCCCCCATCTCTCTCTATCTCATATAAATGCCAGCCTTCCTCTAATGTGGTTTGATAGTCGAGTGGTCACATCTTTTATATCACTATATAATTGAACTTGGTGCAAAGTTATTTTTTTTTTTTCTACTAGAAGCGAAGTCTGCTACCCAAAATCTTATGGGTGGTTTATAAAATTCTGAATTATGCATTTTGTAATTTTTATTATTTTGTCATTTATAGTTGGTGATTCCTGATACTCCAGTTCGTCCAATCTCACCATCCGTGCCTGGAGGTCAGAAGCTACCATCTGACCCAGTAGCGGGTAATCTGATGCAACTGATCGCTACGATATTAACAAGACTAGCGAAGAATAATCCCACGACTAAATGTAGCGAAGCTTCAATCGAGAGAATGAGTAGTAGTGGCGATGCGTTTGTAAACAGAGGAAATGACTTTATCAGGTTCGTAGAATTTAGTAATGTTATGATACAAGACTGATCCCGATAGTGACAAAAACATGAAGAGTCCAGGGGAAGAACGATCTAAGTCACATTTTTGTCTTTTCGCATAAAAGGCAAAACAGACTTTTGGACGAGTATGCCTGACGTGAACAGAACAACAATGATGTTTATACGAATCATAATTACCAGTACAACAACTGACTTCCACTTTTCAGCCAAATTAAGGTCAAATAAAGGGTATTATTCCGGGAGGCCATTTCAGAAGGGCCTTGGTTCGATGCGACTCCGATCATTTTTACCTGAAATTGATTGTTCCACAGAAAGCTTATACAATTTGCTACCAGATGGTGCCATTAACTGGGGTTCGTTGAAAAAATGACTTAGATGTTGTTCCCCGGGGCTCTTCATATGTCATTTGGATTCACAATGGATGGCTCAATGATATGATTTAGTCCCGGAGGAACCCCATTCTCTTTCATACAGATTTCTTTTTGTTTACATTTGAATTTAGTTTTGGTTTGCAGTTTAAACAATCTGATTAAAATACAGATCTATATTTCATTTTGGTTTTTTTATACTTTTGATGGCCTACACTACATGAAGATCTGACCGGTTGTGGTGATAGGTCGCGTCAGACGTCATACGAGCAGTTTTTGACCCTATGACATAAGACATTTGATTAATCAATTGGTGTTGATGTTTCTAGTGGGTTACCCACAGTTCCTTGCACCTCACGCCAAAATCTCATTGTAACGGACCGTTTCATTAACTAACCCCTCAAATCATCCAGAATGCTGCCTATATAACAAGTCTTCCAGATCCTGGTGTAGTAAAGACAAGTAAAACAAAATTTTGAACTATATAAAACAAAAGGAAATAGGATCTCTGTTTTAAGTTTAAAAGCCAGCTTTTTGGAATTTTGGATATGAAGAAATGTTTCCACTTATTCACACATCAGCTATGGCAATCCAGTGTGGTGTAGATTCACTAATCACGATGTTTGGCCTGGAGATTTCCTCAGGAATTTTTGCCATGTTTTTCCCTAGTCAGAGGTCGCATTGGTGGGCTTGACAAGGAACAGTGTCTAGTCATTCAGATTGGACGTAAAACCAATGTCCCGTGTATGCGTGCACGTAACGGAATCCTTGGCAATAACAAGAGTTGGTGGAGACTCCACTGCCTAATAAAACCACAATCAATTAAATGGGAATTATTGGAGATTTGATAAAAAGTTGACAGTTCTCGCTATAATGTTTAAAAGATAGATAACGTATATAGAATATGCTGAACAGGTCAGTCAAATTGCTCCACTCTAAACTGAGATATTACCTTTTGAATTGTAGGCTAGCCTCGATCATCATTACTAAATTCAGTACGATAGAAACGAAAGTCTCGATTATCCTTTTTTACGTTTAATTATCTTTCACAAAATGTATTCCAATCCGCTAAATATTGCAGTATAGCGAAGTCATCAATATTTGTAGTTTTGACAAGATGTATACATTGAATGTTTATTATCGTAACCACGGTGCTGTATATTCGAACCTAAGCCTCCATTCCCCATTTTTAAATGTAATCATTAAATCGCCAAACCGTTCTAATCTAGTTAAAATCAGAGCCATCCGATGCCATCGAGAGTTGATTATGGTCTTGTCATGTAAATAAATGTCTATTTTATAATTTATACAACAAACCAGTCCTAAAGAAAGATCTGCGATAGGCAGATTTAGCATAATGTATGTTGAAATAAGTTTAAATTAGTTCTTTTTTCTGGCTTCAAATGGGGATCACGTGGCTAAGTGGGTAAGACGCTAGCTCGCTAGCCTGGAGGTCGGGTGTTCGATCCCTGCATTGGCCGAGAAAGTTCATCCAGGTTTTCCGGCGTGGTTCTCCCTTGTCAGTGATGCAGGACGGAGGGGCTGACAAGGAAAGCTGTCTAGTCGTTCGGATGGGACGAAAAACCGAGGTCCCGTGTACACATTGGCGTGCACGTAAAAGGTCCCTTGGCAGTTGGAATTCGATATAAGAGTAGGCCGTAGTGCCGCTGTCCGGGCAAAATTTCCCTCATAGCACACTGTATGGCGTATGCCCGTCTTCATTAGCCCAGGTTTGGAGCAGAACAGTAGGACATTAAACCCCATTTCATTTCATTTCATTTCTGGCTTCAAATCTTATAAAATATTTAGACATTTATTAACATGACAAGCCTGTACTCAACTCTCCAGATTATCAGGTGACCAAGCTTTAATGCATCTTTAACATGCTACATATTGATTGGCTGCTAGAGCTAAGGTCGAATTTGTAAATTGTCAAGAACACATATCGAAGGCTTACTTGTTCATTTAGTAAATGTGATTCCATGCAAGACACTACCCTTGAGAACCAAGGACACCGAATTCATTTTCATTACTATGAACTTCTCAAGCATAATGAGTGATGTACAAGTTGGACCATTGCCCTGTTGTACGTGACAAGGAGTAGGGTCCAACCTCGTAGGTTTTCTCCGGGTGCTCTGGTTTCCTCCAACTGCTAAAGACTCGCCATCGAATTATTGAAATTAAATCAGACCATATGTTAGTCCCGAAATGACCTTGTTTGTGTAGAATGGTCATTAAACGCCCCCACCCCTCTCTCTCTGGTTTTAATTCCACCACTGCTAAAGAGCCAAGCTCCATTTTATGAGATAAAAATTTACACAGTGTTAGTCTTGAATTTCTTGGTGCTCCTGACATATTTACATTGGTAATTTCACAAGCCCTGTTGAATGTTGGGGAAATATAAGATGTAGAAAATTGGAGTTACCTCCCCTGAGCTGTCTTTTTTTTTTCTATCAGTCCTATTCAATACACTACCATCACTTAAACAGGCATTATATAAGAGCTAAATCTGCCTTTTGCAGGTCTTTATTTGGGCCTTAAATGTTATGTTAGTTATTAATTAGACATTTAATAACATGGCAAGAATCAACTGTCGATGGCATTGGCTGGCTTCGATTTTAAGAAGATTAGAACGGTTCAGCCATTTAATGATAAAGTAATTGTTTATCCATAGAACTTTTGTGTCTATTTTCATGTGTTCAATTACTAAATGCCATTCAAACAGCAATGAAAAAACAAGGCTAAGACTCTAATGACTAGTACGATGGTTACAATCAATGCACACATCTTGTCAAAACTACAACAATTGATAACTTAGCTAAAAAATAAAGTAATTTGAATAAAGTTTTCAATATATTCATTTTGGATTATCTATTTTTGAAATATTATAGTGAGATCAGTCAGCTCTTTATCTAAATCTTACATGATGCCCCTTTAATTCCTGCATCTATAATAAAAAAAAAAAAAAAATCTATCATAAAATCACTTGATTATTGAACTGTCTTATAATTACCAGAATAGGTTTAGTAGGTTTCATATTTGATTGAATTAAATTTCTTTTTCATAGTCATTGAAATATAGTAGATCTTGGCTAGTGTTTGTTCATAGTCATTAAACTATGGTCAACCTAGGCTAGTATTTGTTCATTGTCATGAAGATATAGTTAAAGTAACTAAGACTCTTAACTCAATATCATCTAAAGTCTTACACGTTGAAAACACAAATTATTTGTCAATTCAAATCAACATTGATGTTGTGACCTTACCGGGAAAAGGTAGGCTTCTGATATCCAATATTTAAGACAAAATAAACATTTACCAGGATTGGGTCATTTGTCCAATCTATTTCCTCCCACTGATAAAGACCCCTATGGCCTACGCACAAGCAAATTGTTTAAATAAAATTGATCCAGGTGTTAGTCCCGAAGTGACCTATTATATTCCACAAAGTTAGATGCAGTAGTTTTATAATCAATCCTGGTAGAAATGAGAGATTATATCATCTGATTTTTATGTTTTGATTAATTTATAGAAACTTGATAAACTTCTTTTCACAAAGTTCAATCATAGAGCAAACCTTTAATACATTTAACATGAGATTAATTAATTATTTGTGTTCATCATTTATATGGATCAACTACAGAGTTTCACGGCCATTGTTGTAATATTTTACTATGATTGATAGGGGGTCTAGGAGAATAAATAAACACACGAGACCTAGGTATCGCGTTACATATAATGATTAGTCTCTAGCTTAATAAAGTAATGATTATATTGTCCAATAAAAAACTCTGTTATTGTCTTTATAATAAATCTCCCGACTGTATTTCACGATGTTGATGATTTATAAATGAAATATTGGTCTTGGTTATCCAGGTCAATTGTTATTTGTTAACGGTCATGTTTTGATAACAGAAATATATCCCGTATAGCTGTCTTATTGTGTGTGCTGTTTGAAAATCGAGACAGCCTCTATTTCCGTGTGTCGAATGTGATGACAGCAAATTACTTTTCATTGGAGACAAATTTTCTGGCTGATGATATTTTGACGGATGTTCGCTATCACATAACCGCAGCCTTTCCAAATCCGTAAATTCAATCAGGAAACAGACCTGTCATTGTCCTGTCGTTAGAAAGCAGTTATTCGTGGCCTAGCGGGCGTGGTCAGGTATCATCATCATCATCTATTAATTACACTTGACTTGAGGCTATCTTTCCCATTGTCTTCAAAAAAAAAATCATCCTTTTCTTTTATCTTTTTTTTTTTAAGAATCCTGTCAAGATAATTTTTGGATCAAGCTTGAAATACTTTTGAGTCTGGGCTAAATATTTATCGACTTAGAAAACAGACGAAAACAAATTGTCTGGATTTTTTTTAATTTTTTTTTTTTTTGCTTTGATTTAGAAATGGATGTTACAGACAAGTTTATATTTAGAACTATATAAAACTCTATGTGATTGATTTAGAATTCTATTATTTATTCTGACCTTTCAGTTAGAAACCAGCAGGGGAAATATACATATATATATAGTAGTATATCATTGCTTTTATATATTCACAGACGATAGCTCCGCGGTCGGTGCAAAATCCGATGCCATTGAGAGTTGATTATGGCCTGGAAAAGTTAATTAATGTCTAATTAATAATTTAGAAAACATTTCAGGTCTAAAGAAAGACCTGCAATAGGTAGATTTAACTTTTGCATAATGTATGTTTAAACCCCGTTGCATTGCTATATATTCATAGGCTTAGCTCAAATGTCCCTTGACACTTGGAATACAATATAAGACTGGGCTGTAGCGCAAAAAATTCTTGTCTGCAAAATCACTTCGGTGGAAGTGGACGTTAAATAAGCTATTTCACACACACGCGCAAAAATTTCCCTCATGGCACACTGTATGAAGTATGCCCCTCTTCATTAGCCCAGTCGGAGCAGAACAGTAGGACATTTCATTACATTTGTTCAAAGTTTCAAACGTGTAAAGTGAAGCAAATTAAATTCTCCAGACCATCAAATGGCCGAGATTTAAATGGATTATGACACCTGCAAGATTTTAAAATTAACAATAAAATGAAAAATCAAGCCTTAGTCTCGATTGTCAAGTACCGTTGCTACAATAATATATAATCTGTGCTGCATCTTAAAACACTCATAACTTATTTGAATGAACTTTTCAATATGTTCATTTTACATTATCTATTTTTAAACTATTATAGTTATAGCAAGAGCGGCCAGGTCTTCATCTAAATCTTACATAATGTATCTTTAAGGAAATCATGTATTTGTCATGTTCTGTAATAATATCCATTGTTTATGTCCGGATGATAGATCCTATTTTGTGAACAAAGGTTAATTTGTTAGACGGCTAAATTAAGAATTAGCATTTTCATTTGTTCTATTTAAACATACATTATGCAAGAGTTAGATCTGCCTATTGCAGGTCTTTCTTTAGGCCTTAAATGTCATCTAAATTATTAATTAGACATTAATTAACTTATCAACTCTCGATGCTATCATTAGCCTGCGATATTTACTGGATTTGAATACATTTTGTGATGGATAATTTAACATATAAGTTGATAATCATATATGTACCAACATCAGTAATGACGACAGAGACTAGCCTAAAATTCAATGGCTAATATCTCGATTCAGAGTGATGCAATTTGACTGAAATTTTCAGCATATTTTGTTTTCATTATCTATTTTTGAACTATTATAGCGAGAACTGTCAGCTCTTTATCTAAATCCTACCTACTGCCCCTTTAACACAGTTTGTGTATGACCATAATATAGTATGTTTTAACACCCATACAAAATAAAAAAAATATAGGGGGTTGGATGGCTCATAAGGTCTGTATCATAAGATCTGTCATTGAGTCAACAGGCATGGTTTCGATTCCCCAAGTAGTAGGGTCGCCTGTCCAGCCTCATGGGTTTTCTTCGGGTCCTCCGTTTCATCCCACTGCTAAAGATCCCTGTGTGCAAGCGAATTATTGAAATAAAATTGAAACATATGTTAGTCCCGAAATGATCTGGTTTGTGTTGAGTGGATGTTAAACCCCATTTCTCTCTCTCTTTTCTCTCCCATGCAAAATAACAAAATGAAATGGGGGTATACCGGTAATGTCTTACTGTTCTGTGCAAAATAACAGTTAAATATAGAAAACAATGATTGCAATAATGAGCGGTCAGTTTCTGTTTTAAAATAGCCAGAATATCTCAGAATATTTATATGGCTGTCTTTAGATTTTAACCCATCAGCCAAGACATCACTAAATCTCATTCAGTAAAAGCATTGATGCACATGTACGAGATGTGAGTGAAGAAAGTGGGAGAATACAGTGCGATGTAGCGCTAATTGGAGATTATCTACTCAACGACAAAAGCTGGCCAATGAGACATGTAACGCTATTGAGCAGACTTGACCCGACCCTTTCTAATTTCCTGTAACTTTTGATTTGTGATGAAAGAGCAAGCTTCCCCTTATCCCCCTGCTTCAATGCTTCTTAAATTAACTTCTTCGCGGGTGCGTGTCTTCTTATATGGTGCATTCTGTTGGTGATGCCGTTTTAAATGAGAATTTGGACAGTTTTGATAAAGCAATTCCTGTAACTCAATCCAACATGGTTTTAGGACTACACTACAGGAAGTGCGCTTCGATTGATGATGTTCAAATCCTCTTGCCAATGTCATGCTTGCTGTAGAAGAGAGTTCAGTCAACGCCAGTTTTATTGTACGGATTGTGACGAGGCATAATTAGCCCCATTATCCCCTTCTTTGTTGGCTGACTCTTTTAATCATCTTCACAGAGGTCTTCGAGGAACATAATGAAGGCAGCAAACTAAATCTCTTTAAATTAAAACCTCTTCATTTCAATAACAAGGGAGATGTTGGTGGCAATAATTAGTACAAGATTTTGGAGTATTCATAGCTAATAGTCCCCAACTCCGTTCTCTCTCTCTCGGTGTCCCTAGTATTGTTACAACTTACACAATTTAATAATAAGACCTTGTCTGTGTGTATATCAATATTTGATATTCAGTAATTGACTACTATGATATTTCAAGTGAATTGTATTAGCACATTATCTTTATAGTTCATTGCTAATTGACTACTATTTCAAGTGACTTTGTTAGCATATTATCTTTATTGTTCATTTGCTAATTGTTTTAGTAATATTACAAAACTGCAATTGTTGAAATTGTTCTTATATTTTATTACAAAGGGAGAGAGAGAGAAATGGGGTTTAACGTCCACTTGACACATACTGGGTCATTTCAGGACTAACATATGGTTCAATTTTTATTTCAATATTCGATTGCGCTTAGGGGTCTTTAGCAGTGGGAGGAAACCGGTGGACCCGGAGAAAACCCAAGGCTAGGCTGGCGACCCCACTCCTTGTCACGTACAATCGGGGATTCGAAACCACGCCAATTTACAAATTATTATTAAAAAGCTAGAATTCATTTTAACAAATTATCAATACGAAGCTAGAATTCATTATAAAAAATCATTATTGCTGATTGTTTTAATAATATTACAAATTAAAGCTGGAATTCATTATTCATTATTACAAATTATTATTGCTAATTGGTTTGATAATAATATTACAAATTAAAGCTGGAATTCATTATTTATTATTATAAATGGATATTGCTAAGTTTTCTAATAATATGACAAAGCTAGAATTGACTGCTTGTTGTTCTCATAATATGACAAAGCTAGAATTGACTGCTTGTTGTTCTCATAATATGACAAAGCTAGAATTGACTGCTTGTTGTTCTCATAATATGACAAAGCTACAATTGACTGCTTGTTGTTCTCATAATATGACAAAGCTACAATTCAGATTGGGACAGACTGTTGTATGAAGGTATTTAAATTCCTTGGTGTTGCTGGAAATTCTCCATTTGAAAATGATAGGGGGTGCAAGTAAAGAAAGTATTCTACCCTACTTCTATATCGTAGAGCTAAAGATAAGATTGCTTTCCACATCTCGGCCAACACCAGCAACGAACTTGGGACTTCCTGGTTGGTGACTTGTGATCCAGCCCGTGTTCATTTAGCCACTTTTAGAACATAATTTTTTTTTACTTATTTATTCATTTCCTTTTTCTTCTAATGCCGAGATCAGGAAACGTGTATTACAAATGGATGTGATATTTTATTTTATATAATTTCAGCAACGTAATAAGCGTGGGTGTCATTTGATATGATACTTTGTACATTTTCACCTACGTAGTCAGCGTGTATGTCATTAATATTATATTTTATATATTTTCAGCTACGTAATCAGCGTGGGTGTCATTGACAAATTGCGACAGTTTTTTAGTAGTGTCCGTGGACCTATAGATGATGATAAAGAAGCTGCAGAATTTCTACAACAGAGTCTTGGTCTATTAATAGCCATGACTAAATTCATGTCTAAGAGGTAAGACAACTCTAATTTATTACAAAAATTTAATTTAATAATTTAAGGGGGGGGGGGTATCTTTTTGGGCATTTTGCAAGCAGAGAACTATAAACTTTAAGAAAAGCTCTCCGTCATGACTGGCCACCATATTGAAAGATTAGTGTACTGTTTTGTTATGCAATTCTAAAACTGTTTCATACACACAAAGACTAATTAAACATCATTATGCAAGAGCTAAATCTGCCTATTGCAGGTCTTTAATTAACACAACAAAACCATAATCAACTTTCGATGGCATCGGATACTCAAGATTTTAACTAGATTAGAACGGTTTGACATTTAAAAATTTAATTTAAATATGGGAAAGCGAGACTAAGTCTCGAATATACCAGTGCCCTGGTTACCACTATGCACACATCTTGTCAAAACTACAAACAGTGATAATTTGGCTCAGAATGAAGTAATTTGAATATTTTCTCTGTTTTTATCATCTATTTTTGAATTATTATAGAAAGAATGACCAACTTTTTATTAAACTCTTAACTTATGTATCTTTAAACATTTTTAATTTCATTACATGTGAAAATATAAGTGGAAGTATATTTACATTAATTTCATTACATGTGAAAATGGAAGTGGAAGTATATTTACATTAATTTCATTACATGTGAAAATATAAGTGGAAGTATATTTGCATTAATTTCATTACATGTGAAAATGAAAGTGGAAGTATATTTGCAGTAAGCTTATACTTTTCTGATAAAATAATGGAAATGGGAATTAAAATGTCTGTGAACTACCTTCGTGTCTTCTCAAATGGAGCTAATTCAACTAATTGTAGACAGGCAGCAAAAGTCATGTATGCTTTTTAGGGGGTCATTTAAATATTTTGTCCATTGAGTTATTTGCAGTAGTGATGCTAAAATTAATTTTAAAAATCTGTTTTGTGAAAATGTTGTTGGTCAGGCTGATGTTGAAGAGTTTTAGTTGCTAGCAAGTGGTGATTTGGTCCAATTTATTTTACTAAATGACAATTTGTGAAAATTTGATCTGTTGCGATTAATAAGTTGTCAAAATATCACCATCTATAAAAGAAAGTCTGGTAAAACAGTAAACATGTAATGTTACCCAAGCAGCACCTGCGAATTACTTCAAAAAGTTATTTTTAAATAATTCTTTTAGTTAGATAGCAAATATTTCTTTCAATTACTTTTTTAAATAATATTGCTGAAAACAATATTGTTTCAGTTACTTTCTGACTAAAAACAAATATTTTCTTTTAATTACTTTATGAATATAAAAACAATAGCCCTTTCAATTACTTTTTTGCAAATACAGATATTAATTTCAATTTATTTCCTGCTAAAACAAATATTCTATCAATTAGTCTCTTGCTAAAACTTAAAACAACTATTTCTTTCTATTGCTAAAAAAAAAAAAAAAAATTCAGAGAAAAAAAAAAAATATTTTAAAACCATGCATATATAAGGTCTAATTTAAAAGAATGTTGTTTTTCAATATGTTCACACAATAGTAGGAATATTATATTCTCGATACCTGCTAATTTATTGCCAGCATATCAAGTTGGTCTATTGACCTCTAATAGGTTTGCGTGGCTTCGAATTCCCGGTTGTAAGTGACAAGGAGTAGGGTCGCCTGTCCAACCTCGTGGGTTTTCTCCGGGTCCTCCGGTTTCCTCCCACTGCTAAAGACCCCTACACGCAAGCTAATTATTGAAATAAAATTAAACCATATGTTAGTCCCGAAATGACCTAGTTTGTGTTGAGTGGCTGTTAAACCCCATTTCTCTCTCTCTCTCTCTCTAATTGGTTATTGGTTCAATAGTTAAATGGCAAGCAACAGTATCTAGTTATTGGAATAGGATGATAAGTGAGGGTCCTGTATACACATTGGTATACATGTAATATAATCCTTGGCAGTTGATATCTGATTAAGAGTGTGCAAAAACGCCACTGCCAATCCAAATACCCTCATAGCACACTGCTTGGCCTATGCCAGTCTTCATTATCCCAGTTTGTGTAGAACAGTAAGACGTTAAATTTGATTTCATTTCAATAGTTCAAGCGAAAATTGGTTTCAGAAAACTAAACAGATTTTTGATGGATCACTGACAGAGATAGAAAGTTGAAGAAGATGTCGAGTGAATTATTTTTTGTTTTCCTCATGTTCTTGTTGTTTTACCTGGAGAATATTGAACACTGTTAGATATCTCTGGGGAGCTGTCTACAAACAATGCACGCCATTCAACTCCAGCCCACCCAATTCTATTGTGTTTTCTTACCTTCCTTAATAAATACAATCGGTCGTAAACTTTAAGTGAACGACTTTCAGATTTTACTTGTTGTAAATGAGTTTTACCTGGATCGACAGGTCAGGTATTTTAAAGTTCCTTTTTTCAGGGTTTACCTGTATGTACTCAGATTAAGGGCCTAATGCACAAAAGCTTAAAGCGATAATTTCATATTTTCTAAAAAAAAGTCAAAACATAATTATTTCTATGACTTTTGCTCAATAGGTTGTCAACTCACTATTATACGACCATAGGTATCATTCTCCCTCTTAAAAATCCTTTGACCCCGGAAATAATAACACAATTACCTCCCTTGTTTTTCTATTCCCCCCCCCCCCCCCCATGGAATAGCTATCTTCAAACTTTTGAATTTGCAGTTGAAAATGATATTTTTGCCAATTTCTCAACTGGCAATAGTGAATTATAGGATTAATAGGATTATTCTTTAACAAGGTAGGACTGTTTATAGCTACCATCTATTTTAAGGCTTTATTTTAATAAATTTAATAAATATAACTTAAAAATATGAAATTGCAACTTTAAACTAAATTACTTTAAAGATTCAGCCTTTTAATTGGTTAGGGGATTGATTCAGCCTTTTAATTGGTTAGGGGATTAAAATCCTACTCCAAGATTCAGCTCTTGATCAACCAAAGATCTGAATTATTAAAATATTTTAGGTTTGTGGATATTTAAGAAAATATTGAGAATGTATATTGATTTTATTAACAGGATTTGCGTATAAATGACTTTTTGGACTTTATCCATAGTTTCAAAATCTTGAAGTAAAAATTAAGATTTTATATCTTTACTGTTGGTGAGGTTACCATGGTTACCGCTTTATCGTTGCTGAGGTTACTGTAATTTTATGATATCCAAATCTTGAATTATTTTAAAGTAAAACTATAAGATTAACAAGAAATCCACTGATAGGCCAGTTTGGAAATAAGGATTGTAAGGATTATAGATGTATTTGAAACACCCCAATTACTCTAAAGTCTAATTGTTGTACTCTGTTAATTTTGGGGGGTTGGATGGCCGAATGGTTAGCACCTGCGCGATGTATCATAAGGTCTGTTCTATCTTTGAGTCAACTGGTGTAGTTTCGATTCGTCGGTTGTCTGACAGGGAGTAGGGTCGTCTGTCCAACCTTGTGGGTTTTCTCCCACTGCTAAAGACCCTATGCGCATGCAAATTATTGAAATAAAATTGAACCATGTGTTAGTCCCGAAATGACCTAGTCTGTAGCGAGTGGACATTAAACCTGATTTCTCTCTCTCTCTCTCTGTTAATCTTCTGTTTAAAAAAATCATTATTTGTACATCGTAAAAATTTGAAATTCCTTTGACATTACTGCCATTGTGTATATCGAGACAACACAGGATTAATTAATTGTATCATTTGAAAAACGGTCATACCACCTGAAATGTTATGAAAAATAAACCACTTCTTAATGCTGCTTATAATCTGTTTGTACTACTGTTGAGCCCAGATTTTTATATTTTTAAATATTTTAAATATAAATAAATAAAATACACTGAATATGATAAATCTGTTGAGGACATAATGACGGACACCTGGGGCCTGTTTCACAAAATTTTAACTAAGATAAAATCCAAATTTAAGTAATTGATTGGATAATATTAGATTGATTTTAGTGCTTAGCCAATCAAAATTTAAGTATCTAGTCACGAATTGTGACTAACAAAGTCTGATTCTACATGTATACCAGACATTGTCTGTGACAGTCGCCTTATTTTAACGTTTGTTTATCAGACTTGTAAGGCTAAGAGCATGTTTTAAAATAAAAATTCTGTAGAATGAAAAATGTAGGAGGAAAAAAAATCTCACAGGGACAAACGTTTAAATTTTGCTGTAAAGTTTTGTTGAAAATAGTTCGGAAATTTGGTGGATATTAGAAGGGTGTTGGGTTGTGATTTTAATTTTAGATAAAGTTAGAAAGTCTGTTGAATTACGACTCTTATATTTCTTGTAACCTTTTAAAGTTAAAAAAACTTGGCGGTTAAAACTGGCATTAATTTGAGTCGGTGTTTGTTCAGTATCAGACATCTTGTTACTATTCCACGGACCACCATAGTTTGATTAACGCTAGATTGATGTTAAAACGTACAATATGGCCGCTTACAGAAATATCAACAGTAAAAAGGTCCCGTTAGTCCACTCTTTGACATTTCTCGTGGATTTTGATGAGCGAATCTCTTAATAGCCTTTCTGACGGTGCCTGCTCCAATAGGTCACCTCATAAACTACATCACTATTGATGCCACATTCTTCGTTTTCTTATAAACACAACAATTATTGTTTCTTTCTGTTGCCATAGTATCAACATCTAATAATACCACTTTATATTTAATTAGGTTACCATAGTATCAACATCTAATATACCAATTTATATTTAATGAGGTTACCATAGTATAAACATCTAATATACCACTTTGTATTTAATTAGTTACCATAGTATCAACATCTAATATTTCAATTTATATTTAATTAGGTTACTATAGTACCAACATCTAATATACCACTTTGCATTTAATTAGGTTACCATAGTATCAACATCTAATGATACAACTTTGTATTTAATTAGGTTACCATAGTATCAACATCTAATATACCACTTTGTATTTAATTAGGTTACCATAGTATCAACATCTAATATACCACTTTGTATTTAATTAGGTTACCA